TTCTCCCGTTTCTCGTAACACAATTTAGCCGGATGTGCAGCCGACCAACCTTTCACTGGCGCTCCTACAAGCACACCCATTCTCAACTTTCTGCATTTTTGAAACAGCTCCGCAGGGGGCGTTTGGATCCAAGTGACGGATCGTTTTTCACCACCAAGTAGGTAATGAACTTACCACTCCTTACTAAGGTCAAGCGTGGTATAGATTGCAAAGGAAGCGTGTATACGAGCTGTATACGAGCTGCATACGTGCCTGAGGCTGTCTTTCCAGAGGCGGGAAGTCAACGTTCCTCTTCGACAGGAACCCAAACGAACCATGTGAAAGTCCAGCAACGTTTCAGTTGTTTCTCTCGCGCTTCGCCAACGGGTCCTTGGCAGAAAACGCAGAGTAACGGTTCCATTTTTCCGATGAAGTCTGAGAAAGGGGCGACGGGGATGTTTCTTCTGAACTGTGTCGCTTCAGTGTATTGAAACCGAAGGTATGCGGCCACGACCGCATCCTAGCATACCGTCTTTCCTCAACGCTTCCATGAAGGATGATGGATAGGGGCATAATGGTGCGAGACTGGGTCCCCGTGGGTAGAGCCTAAAGGCAACCAGTCCCAAGTTTCTGTGCCTTTCACATCCCCAACCGCCCACTACTGTTTGTCTCTTGGTATTCAGGCCTTCTTTGACTGGTAACCTGACATGTAGTTGTTGTAAGGTCCTGATGGAATATGGATATTTCCAAAGATTTCTCGGAGCATTCCATTTCCCGGAACGTTATCATCCCTGTCTTAAATGTCTCCGTTGGAACGCCTGAAGGCCGTGGCCCGTCGTCACCGACTTTGTGGATAGAGACCACCACTGTACTTAGGCATAACCTTGAGAAGGTAGTTTCAGAAGCAAGGCCGACACGTGTTAGTACTTCGGGTTATACAGGGGTGGCCGGGGCGCGCTGTCTTGGTAGAGAGAAACACAACAGAGCAGAGCAGCAGATGTAGCGGCAAATAGGACCTATTGCATCCTGCCTAGCTCGATTCCCAGAGACGAGGACAGGTATGCACACTGTGACCACACCCTTGAGGGACACATTGGGAAAAGAAACAGCAAGCGCTTCTTCTGTCAGGGACAGCGAAACGGGGACATACTTCACTCTTGCCAGCCTGTAGAAGCCAAGACAGGTGTATAGGGGAAGATAGGACGAGGCAACTGACTGTGCGAGATAGTAATTTGCTAGAAATACTACATGACCTCATGCGAGTACTTTGTGCAGTCTGTAGTGCTGGTAGAGGTAGAGGTCCAGTAGAGGTAGAGAAGGCGTAGGCGATAGGTCCCCCGCTCTCCTGCTCTTCTCCTCCTCCAGTTTTTCCGGTGGGGATAATCCGTCCCGGCCTCTAGCCTCCTCCTCCAGCTTTCCGTCCTCCAGCCTGCGCTCAGACATCCCCCCGTGGCCCCCTCTCTTTTCTCTTCTTATTTCCGCTTCTCCCACCAGAGCATCAGCCTCGCCTCACAGTCAGTCGCGGAAATATCTCCACGCCTATCCACTGCCCCGTCAACCCTTCCAAGAAGCCCTCTTGTAAGGGAAGATCTCCAAAATATCATGGTTTCCCATAGCGTCGCTACTGGCACCGGCACCGGATCAGATGCCTCTCCCCAAGCCAATGGCCATGGCGAAAAACGCAAGGCCGAAGCTGACCCAACGGCGGAGAAACAGTCACACACGAGGTCAAAAAGGAACAGATATATTTCAATTGCGTGGTAGGACTCCCGGGGAGAGAATAGCGAAGACAGGAGATGAATGAAATATGCTGACATGGGCTCTCTCAACGAAACAGCAATGAGTGTAAACGGTCGGTTGCCCTGTCTCCCACGTCCTCTCTCTTCCACACCCACTTGTCAAATAGAGGCTGACCTTTTATACAACTGCAGGCGCAAAATAAAATGCAACGGAAACACTCCGTGCCAACGATGCGGCAATCTGAATCTCGAGTGCATCTATGCGCCGAATTGCTGCACGAACTCGCTCAAGGACTCTGCGTGCGTCTTCCCTCTTTACAGCTGACAGACCCAACTGACCTTGGGAGCAGTGAGTTCAACCAGATGCGCGACCACATTGCTGCACTCCAAGAGCAAGTAAACGACCTTTACGCCAGCTTGAATGAGTTGCGAAGCAGAGCCGACATCTCCTATTCGGCTCCCATCGACCCGCAGTTCTCCCACGATGGCTCAACCCGTTCCATGTCCGTGTCGGCGTCCCGTACGCTACCACCCCTCATCTCGCCCAAGAGAGCACAGCCCAAGGCCTTGCCTCAATTCCATGGCCCGACAAGCACAGTCTACGGATTGGATGTGGCCAAATCTTCCCTTCAGACCATGGGGATCACACATAATGCACCGGACGATGGAATGATGTCTCGCGATCGAAGTCGAGCAGCATCACCTATCATGATGCTTCCGCCTCATCCAAGCAAAGACCCCCTATGGTTGATTGACCATCCCGAAGTGGTTCGTCTGTGTCGCGTCTATGAGGAAGAGATTGGAATCATGTATCCTGTGGTGGACATCGATAAGGTTTTGAAGCAAGCGACCTCGTTATACAAATTCATCGCAGCGTCCCTGAGAACTGGGCTGGGTCAACCCGGTCTCCCAGGCGCAGACACGTTCGACGATGAGGAGACCACCGTTTTAAAGATGGTTCTGGCGATAACGCTGACGGTTGAAGGACACGGACGAAGTGAGTTGGGCCAAAGATTCTTTGATGCGGCAAAACCAGCGACGGATCTGAAGTTAGTTACCGCATTGGACATCAAGTCCGTCGTCTTGACGGTATTGACGGTAAGAGGAACTTTCCGTTACGCCACTCAGGTTGTGTTGGCTGACATCCGTCAACAGGCTACTTTCTACTTCCAAAAAGATGAGGAGGCACAGGCATGGCGGTTCATTGGTATCGCAGCGCGCATGTGTATAGAAATGGGGCTTCACAGAAAGGACTCGTTGCTCAAATCCTTTACGAACGAAGCTGAGTATCAGCAAGCCATTCGTATCTTCTGGACCGTCTACGCGCTCGATCGTCGCTGGAGCTTTGGCACAGGCATGCCATTTGCATTGCAAGATGCAGACATTGATCCCGCTCTGCCTGAACCCGTAAGTCACCTTGATCCGTTCCCAGTTGCCTTATTGATGTCCGGCAGGATGAGAGTCATCCATATTTAAAACATATTACCAAGTACAATCAAATCGCCACAAAAGTCTGGTACCACAATCTGGCGTACGAGGCGGGCCAGAACACGAAGAAAGACGAAATAGGATTTTTGGACTATCAGATTCTGCAGTGGTATGCACAGCTTCCCGAGTCGTTGCAATTCAACAATCGGGACCTTGCCAGAGAAAATGAGATACCTGGCCGCGGAGTGCGCCGTCTCCGACTCCTGATGTATTTGCGCAAGAACCAGGCACGAATTTCTATCTATCGGCCCATCCTCCATTCCGCGACCAGCATTATGGAGAACCGCCACTACGCACAGAATGTGATTGACGTGGCCAAGGACACCATCAACACGTTGACAGCAGTGAACCAGATGTCCGATATCTACAAAACCCAGCAAGTGCTGTACAACTACTTTTTGGTCCAGGCACTCGCTGTGCTCTTCCTGTCAGTGGCTCATGCTCCGGCCGTCTTTTGCTCCCAGACCAGGCAAGAGTTCTACGCTGCGATAGAGATTGTCAAGGGTTTCAGCACCAAGTCACACGTGTCTAAGAGGCTCTGGCGGACTATTCGAGGGCTCAAGGACATGGGTGACAAGATTGGTCTACTGGCTCGCGGCGTCAGCGGCATGAATGATGCTGAACAAGACGCTCACTCAGACGCCGCGATGGCAATGGCTGGCCTTGCCGGACACAAAGTCGACTACCAGCAGCCGTATGGCAACTCGAGTTCGAACCAGGCGAATGGGGGTCAAAATCAGCAAGAACTAGGAGTCAGCCCGGACGATGCACTGCAGATCACGAATGAGTTGTCCAGTCTATTCGAATTGGCTGGTGGATATGGCGCTGCGACTCCAGGACCGGAGTCGTTCAATTTCGTTGGCGCAAACGGTGAAATTAGTATGGCGGAGGGATTCAATGCGTTTGGAAATGAGCCGGAATTTGCCAGAATTATGAACGAGTTGTTTTGAAACCGAGCAGTTTGATGACACTTTTGGGGTGCCTTAGGGTACAATGATGACTGCACAAATAAGGAATTGAATGCTTTCTATCCGTCATCTTTCTCGTTGCACTGAAGAAAACAGGGCGCGCTGTACATGCAGACATGCAGCAATTGATCTCGAATCACATGATTTTTGCCAAGACTTCTTGGGTCGGGGCTGATTGGTCAAGATTGGACTTCACTGCGCCCATCCACTTCGCTCTCTCGGGGCGCATGTCAAAAGTGCGGCCGTGGAATTCACATCCAGCTATCGTCCACCTATCATTCCTATATGATTCTGCAGACAAGACTTGCGATCGACCTTGACCTAGAGCACGCGTATCTGTGCATGTTGCCACATTAAAGACAGGTCCAATTGGTTTTTGTATGATTCCACTGCCTGCCTGCCCCTGCTCCTGAAATCAATACAGCCCGCCGAGCCACCCTCTGACTCTCCCACCTCTAATTAACCGCTCGAAACTTCCAAGAGCCAGGCAGCGAAAGCGACCGTGAGACGTCTGGTACCGAGAAACGAAGGCAGTCGTGCAACCCTCCTCCATGCCTCCCACGAGTCCTGTCCTTCCTCTTTCCTGACCCCTCCCACCCCGCGCCAGACCACTCGCTCGTCTTCTCGATCATCTTACCTTCCACCAGGAAGTTGAGGTCTCACAGACAGAAGAATCTGTGTTGAACGCGACTTTTATCCCAATCTGTCTGCCCAACAAGCCTCCGCCCTGGCCGCTGGCCTGGACCGCCTCGACATTGCTTCCGAATACTCTGAATCGCTCTACTACCAGCAATTTACCAGTTCCTCCGCCACACTCTCCGACGCAATGTCTCAAACTTCTTCTCAGAGTCCAGATAGCTGGATCGGAACTTTCTGCAACCTGGTCGGCCATGAATATTTTGCCGAAGTCAGCGAAGATTTCATCGAGGACGATTTCAACCTGACGGGATTGCAAGCCCAAGTCCCCATGTACAAGGATGCATTGGAAATGATACTTGATGTGGAACCATCAGAAACCAATTCGTCAGCTCTGTCAGAAGAGGAGGAGGAAGAAGAGGAAGAAGAAGACGATGGCATTCTGGGCGATGAATTGGACGAGCCAACTGCGAATCAAAACGGGGCATCGAGGCGACAATCCGGAGGCCCAGCAGGCGGTAGAAGACATGGTCGGACCTCATCTGATACTTCCGTTATTGAGTCATCTGCGGAACTTCTGTATGGTCTGATACACGCTCGGTACATCACGTCAAGACCTGGGATTCAACAAATGATGGAGAAGTATGAATTGTCACATTTTGGCTTCTGCCCTCGGGTGTATTGTGCCGGGGCAAAAGTGTTGCCGGTCGGTCTGACGGACACCCCTGGGCAACAGACAGTCAAACTCTTTTGCCCGAGCTGTCTGGATGTCTACACTCCCCCGAACTCTAGATTTCAGGCCGTCGACGGTGCCTTTTTTGGGACGACGTTTCCATGCCTGTTCTTCATGTCCTACCCAGACTTAGACGTGGCCCCAATTAAGAAACGAAATCCCCGAGATCCCAGCGGCCAAGGGAATGATGATCTCGAAAGCACCTTGAGTCCCAATGAAGGGAATGCCACGCGTGGAGGCATAACGGCCAGTCGAAGTTCGAGCCTGACCCTACCTCAGGCCCCAGCGATTCCTGGTATCACATCGACCAAGGACGAGAAGACCTCTCTCTCCGCGATGACTCAGAACACTTTACCTCCGCAACCAGCAACGATCAATGGAATCGCCACCCACAACCTTGCACCTGGTTTAGGGAAAGGTAAGATCTATGAGCCCAAAATTTACGGCTTCAAGGTGTCGGAACGAGCGAAGAGCGGACCCCGGATGCGTTGGCTCCGGTCCAAACCTCTAGACATTAATGAACTCGACGAAGCAAGACTATGGCATGAACGATATGGTGGCACAGTGGACGGTGACCCTGACGAAGAATTGCGGCGCCTACCAGGAGGAACACAGGACAACGAAGATGTTGACGACGATGATGAAGAGGAGGGAGAGGAAGAGGAAGGGGACGACGGCGCTGGAGAAGGCGCTGACCAAGACGGAGATGCAATTATGGCCACCCAGGGCCAGAGTCAGACGCCCATGGCTCAAAGCAGTCAGCGGGGCAAGTCAAAACGAGAGCCTGATGCCGATGGGGATGCGTTAATGGCTAGTCAAAGTCAAGGCGGTGGTCGAGGCAAATCTCGACGGAAGCCAGGGACAAGGGGTCAAGGAGTTGACGTCTCTGTGCAACAAAGGGGCGAAGGAAATTGGATATGAGTATGGCAATAAACGAAGATGACGGACGATGATGCAGATGACAAACACAAGCTTGAATGAGCAAGGGTGCCCCCGAAACCGCCCAGCACAAGAGTGAGCATGCCAACTGACTTTGTTGATGAAATGAAAATGGGAAGAAGCGTGTCTTTGATTCGCAGTACAGCAAAGCATTTACTCTCCCAGGTCTTGTGATCTTCCTTACTGACGGCCTTCCCCAGCGGCGCAATGCATGCAGATGTCTCCCGAGGAACTTTGCAAGTACGCAGGAAAAGATGGATGGCGGAGGAGAGGTCCTAGGGTTCGAGTTCTTGCCAAGTTCGCTACCACTTATAACACGCATGCTCGAAGCTCGCTCAAGCCTCGCTGCAATAGGAGAGGAACAGATTCTGCGGCTCACAACAGCAGCAGGCAATGACAGAACCAGTACAGAGACTAGCAGCGTGCTAGATCAGATGGAAGATGATATTACCGAAGGCGAAGAAGGACAGGCAACAGCACTTGAAGTGGAATAATGGAGATCAACTGACAACCCGGGATCCATGCCAGGAACAAGGGGAGGAACGCGCGTTGATTGATTTGGGATATTGAATTCTCGCAGGAGGCAGACTTGTTATTACACATAGTGGACTAAGGGCAGTATCTGGCATCTACCCTCCTTGCACACCATCTTGTCTTCCGGCTTTCTGTTCTTCACTTCTTCTCCTTTGTCCTCCTTGGCGTTGGATCATTCCCACACACACACACACACACACACACTTCCATTCCCTTTTTTGGATTGTGTGCGCACAGAAGAAAAAAAAGTCACCATCCCCCAGAAGAGCAAAAAAACTTATCCACGAAGCAGCTCAACTGTGGTTCGTGGGTAAGCGAAACTCCCCCTTTCGGGTTGGTTTTTCTCGGCCGACCGGTTATACTACAAATTTCTATAAGTTGAGTCGAATGGAGGTAGGGAGGGAGGTTCGATCGAGGAGGATTCGGAGGAGGTTCGAATCGAGGATCTGCTGCCTGCTAACCCGGGTGTTAGTTTGACCTGACAGATCCTAGATTTTTTGTGTGTGTGTGGCGTCCGATCGATCGAAAGTGAGGCTCGAAGAGGGAGTCATGGGATTCGATTTCGTTCGCCCTTTGTCGTAGGAAAGGGGGTCTTTGTGTGCCAGAATTTGGCGAGAGTGACATTATATACCTGCCTTTTCTTTTTCTGCTGGACCTACCCTGGAGGACCCACGGCTGGGTTGGTGATGGCAAGGCAAGGCTGAAGGTACGTTACTTGAAAGGCTGCGCACATCTTCACTTTCAATACGGGGGGTGGGCAACCCTTTGGCTATCGACGTCGACAGCTCTACTGCTTCGAGCGTGTGTGATATATGGGATGTGGAATGTGAGACTCTGGAGACCTATTGACCAGCTCGTTTCCCTCCCAATCCTCCTGCTGCCCCTGTGGTCAACCAACCCATTTGTTGCAATATAAATGTACCAATTGATACACGCGAGCAGATTTCCTACATACAGCACTCGTCCCAGGGCACACACCAAACACACGTTTGGAGAATCACTCCCCTGGAAGAAAGGCCTGGCCACCCTGCCTGGCTGGACTCGATTCATGAGCGACGACGGATAAGGACGAGGTTGTTTGATACGAATACGAGACATGGAAGAACACTGCCATGTGAACTCGGGGGGATTTATCTGAACATTCAAGTGGGTCGAGTATCCGCAGCGGAAACAATGAATACGCACGCTACGGTTTGGTTCCATGTCCTCTGTCAAGTCCGGGGACTATCGCACAATAAATAGATCAATCCCTGACATCCATGGTGACACCCATGGCGAAACCCACGTACAAGGTCACCTGGTTGTATCGACAAGCAAATCCAGACGAGAAGGCCGGAAAAGTTGGCTAAAAACCCTTTCTTGATCTATTGAACAAGAAGATCGTATAGTCGTGGCATGGGTGGTTGGTTGGGTACACCGACAAATGAACATGAACTTCTCTTTTTCCCACGATGTATAGACTACGACCATGAAGAGATCTGGCCACGACAAATATTGGCCTGCCGATGATGATTTGGCGAGGCGAAGTGCTTTGCAAGGGCAAAAAAGTGCAGCACAGCATTTGAAGCAGACTATCAATTAACAGGGTACACGAGGAAGCGGGAATCCAGAACTGCACAAAGGCTCTCACAAAGGCTCCCGATCTACAGATCGAGTAGGTTTATCTACACAATTCTTCGAGAATCAACAGTTTATCTCTGTTTCCATGTTTTCAGGTCTCGACACCCTCATCGAAACCACCAATTCACACTGGCTGTGACGCCGTCGCCGACGCCCTTGACACTGTGCCACCACCCTTTCGGCGTGAAGAGTGCATCACCAAGCCCAAGCGTGGTCTGCAGGCCATGGGTCCGGATGACTTCGTTGTAGATACTCGACGGGTTCCAAATGGCATCGTGGAGTGCCACCTTCTGTGGCCCGACCATCATCTCCTCGCCTCTGATTGCAGTGGAGAAGGATGTTGACGTTGGAGATAGTCGCGCGGTGACATCGTGATATAAAGCGTCACCAATCTGCGGCGGCAGGAGACGTATCGTCTTCTGCCCGGCTAGTTGGATGAACAAGTTCGGGTTCGGGTCGCGGTGTAATGGGGTGTAGGTGGGTGGGCGACCGAGCCACAGGGACGAAGCGTAGATGTCGCCTTTTACTGTGCTGCCGTTGCTGTTGCTGCCGCTGGACGAGGAGGATGGGTGTAATACCTCGGGGACAGGGACGTCTGATCGTATCGAAACTGGCAGGGAGGAGAGATCGCACTGGGCGAGGTAGATTGACATTGAATTAACATCCCGAACATGGTCGATGCGTGTCCTTGATTGTGGTGGCGGTGATTTGGAAAGATATGCGACCAGGATCTGTAGAGGCGCTTCGATGCGCTCAAATCCTTCACTCTCGCCGCCAGCGCCGGGGATGCTGCTGCCCTGACCGAGAACAGTGGCTGTTGAAGCATCTTTGGTGGTGGTGGTGGTAGTGGTGGTGGTTATCTCCAGCGGCACAATTGTCGCTTCATGCCCTGACCAGAACGACGTCCGCAGTTCAGACGAGCGAGGGACATTGATAATCCCATCGCTAGATCGACGACCCTCTCCAGAATCACGGTCGGCAGTCACGCTGATGGTGGAGGAAGGGCTAAAAAGGTCATAGTCTGGGTTGTCGTCGTGGATGAACCATTTTGAGCAAGCCGGAGGCAGATGCGCCCTCGAACGAGGCAGACGTGCTGGTACATTCTGCCTGTAGGCTTGTCCGAATACAGTCGCATCCCAGGACGAAAGGGTGGGTACCTCCCGAATGCCACTGGCCTGGCGACTTGAGATGGAGGAGGACTCGAACCGACCACGGGGTAATGACCGTGAGGAGGCGGAGGCAGTAGCGGGTGTGTGTCGTCTAAGAACTGAGCAACCCCTTATCCGGAGGCCGAGACATGGCATCTGTTGACTCTTTGGAGATGACGATGTCCCGCTCTTCGTATCCGTCTGCGTATTGTGCTCGTGTTTGTACGGAGTACTGCAGGTAGAACGAACGCCTTTAGTCATGGACTTGGACCGAGAGAAAAGCCTCGGCAGCGCAGGCTCATTTCGGCGTGACTTGGCGCGCCCGCGTGAAACGAGGCTCTCAGTGGCTCTTACCGAGTCCAGATCTGGGAGATGCCGACGAGCTACGAGGTACCTACCACGCCTACGCACTACGCTTTCTTGTCCGCTTTTGGTATCCCAGCTGTCCAAGCTTTTATGCATCAGGCCAACCAGACATGGCACCATCAATTGCGGGCTGCCTGACGACACAATCGCGTCCACCCCCTCCAATCACACCTTCTAAGGGTTCCGCAAAGAAGGGCGCAGCCATGTGAGTTCGTATAACATCTGATGGGTGGTGGATAGGTGAGAGACCCGGAACATTTATTTCCTCTGTTTCCTTACCTTCACGGAGCTTCTGCTCGCTCTGCTCTCTCTAGCTCTCAGCATTGACGCTCTTCGTGTGCTTCGCTACTCATTATCCTGTGTCGTAACATGGGGGCTCGGATCGACCGCATTCGCCATGGCGGGCCAGCCAACAAGCCTGGTTACACATTCTACCCAGTCCTGATCATCGGCGCCGGCGAGTCTGGCATTGCTATGGGCTGCAGACTGCGGCAGGTTCTGGGGTTCGATCAATTCCGCATCTTTGAGCGCAGGTCTGCCTTGGGAGGGACATGGCATACCAATCAGTATCCCGGAATTGCTTGCGATGTGTAAGTCTTTGGCCCTTTCCGTGTCCTTGCTCTATGGGAATGGGTTGCGTTTGAAAGATTCTGACGGTCCCTCGATCGACGAGAACCACAGCCCGGCTATCCTATACTCGTTCTCCTTCGCCCAGAACCCTCACTGGACGTCCTTGTTCCCCTCGGGGCCCGAGATCATCCAGTACCTCTACGACGTATGCGAAAAGTTCGAGATCCTGGATAAGATCCAGCTCGACACCTCGGTCAAGGCGGTGCGTTGGATTGACGACGTCGAAGAGTGGGAAGTCGAGCTTGAACATCTCGCGCCGGGAGTTGGCGACTTGTCTACCCGTGAAAGGCGGGCGCTGGAGGCAGGGAGCGGACCTAATTCCAAGACGGTCCTGCGCACAGAGATTGTGCGGGCAAAGGTGGTCTGCAGCGCCGTGGGCGGGCTGGTCGAACCAAAACCACCCCTCGAAGTCCCTGGGATTGACACGTTTGAAGGCGACATCGTCCACACTGCGCGCTGGGACCCCGACCTCAATATCCGGGGCAAAGACGTCATTGTCATTGGCACCGGTTGTTCAGCTGCCCAGGTCCTGCCTCAGCTCGTCAAGCCCGAACACGGCGCCAAACATGTCACCCAGCTGATGCGCTCGCCGCCGTGGGCCGTGCAATTCCTCCCTAACGAAGCGCAGGAGTTCTGGAAGAAATGGATCCCGTTCCTGTCCACATACATTCCGGGTTTCCAGAACGGCCTGCGCAAGTTGATGTTCGCCATGCTCGAGCTCGAGTTCGTCGAGCTGTTTACACCCAGCGAGGCCGCGAGGCAGCGACGGAAGAAGAAGGCCAAGGAGCTCCTGGCCTACCTCCACAAGACGGTGCCGGAGGAGTACCACGAGATCCTGACGCCGGACTACGAAGTCTTCTGCAAGAGACGCATCGTGGATGACGGGTGGTTCCAGTCCCTCTCCCTGCCCAACGTGGAGATCACCACGCTGCCCATCACGTCTATTCAGCCGCGGTCGGTGACCCTGGGCCCTGGCCGCCTATACCCGCCCATGTCCAAGACGGATTCCAAAGCGCCCACAGAGCAGCGTACGGTGCCGGCCGACGTCATTATCATGGCCAACGGCTACGAGACCAACCAGTGGCTGCACCCGTTGGACGTGACGGGCCGGCAGGGGCGGTCGCTGTACAAGACGTGGGACGAGCGCGGCGGCGCCCAAGCGTACCTGGGCACCGCGATGGACGGGTTCCCCAACTTCTTCATGATCTTCGGCCCCAACACGGCGACGGGCCACAGCTCGGTGATCCTGGCGAGCGAGAACATGGTCAACTACTCGCTCAAGTTTATCGGGCCTGTCCTGTGCGGCGATGTCTCTACCGTCGAGGTCAAGGAGAGCGCCGAGCGCAAGTGGACGGCGGACCTGCAGCGCGAACTGCGCAAGAGCGTCTTCATGTCCGGCGGATGCGTCAACTGGTACAACGATGCCGCCACGGGTTGGAACGCCACCGTCTACCCGCGCACCCAGGTCGACTTCACCCTCCGCTGCATGTTCCCCGTCTGGCGCCACTGGGACCTCAAGTACACCACCAAGGGCCGCGTCAAGCTCGCCGCCTCCCGCGCCCTTAGGCTCGCCGGCCTCGCCGGCCTCGTCGGCCTCGTCTGGTCCATCGTCTTCACCCGCAAGCACGGCCTGCAGAGGACAAAGGACATCGTCCGCGAGCTGCTCAGAACAGGTGTGCAAGGCTTTCGAGCCGTACTGCTCAGGTTGAGATAGACAGATAGATAAATACTGCGTGGGCTTTCGTAAAGACATTGACGGGTCTGCGGAATACATACATAAATAAAGGTCAATACGCGCCTATTCACGGAATAAATCTATAGATCAAAATCAGCGACGTCTTCCCTCTTGCTCTCTTCCTCTCAATGAATGCTAAGCAGACAGGCCATCTGGTGCAAACTATAGGACGCTCAAAGCTACACCCAGAAACCAAACATTCTAAACCAAACATTCATCTATTAGTTTCATCTGAACTTCCCTTCTCCGATATCCCAAGGACACGGGAGACCTAGCAGAGAAAGTCATATGCGCATGCTCGCTTGCTCTATCTCTATATACAAAGCCCCATTTTGGGATCAAAGTTGTCCATGTGGACAGCCAAGATGATACACTCGGAATAAGTCCCAAACTCGCAACGTGCTTTTTGTGCCTGAACTCCTCCAATGCTCTCACACAATAATGTATCAGGAGAGACTCCCCTTCTTTGCCGGATCAAACAACACCGCAACAATCTCGTCGAGAATTGTAAAGACAAGATGCTGATTGAGTCGGGCGTTGTTCATGGTGGCCGTAATTCTTCGAGCAGCAGCTTGCGCATTGGCTCTTCCCACCACATTGCCAGCTAAATCGGGGATCAGAGTGGCCAACATCAGAGCTGCTTCAGACTTTGACTTCTTCTTCTCTGCGCCCGTTCGTGGTTTGGCTTCTCTCAGCTTGCCACCGCCGGGCCACATGGTTTCCTTCATCATGTCAATGTACTTGAGCAGTGACTCCTCTTGAACAAAGCCTGCAAAGATTTCGCGAATTTTGCGCTCAACCGTGCCTCCGAGCAGTTGATGGAGGACCACAATCACGGCACGACCACGAAGCCAGTTGTTGCCTCGATTCAACTCAAACGTTTCGAGAAATATGTCACAGATTGGTTTCACAAAGGGTTCCAGTTCTTTGTCCTCAAAAGCTGCCAACTCGGCCTCGGCCTCGGCCACCGGCCCAGGCTCCAGAGGCACAATGTCAGCCTGGTTCATTCCCAACTGATTTGTGGCAGCCGATATCAGGTTCTGTCCGGCTACCGAGAGTTGATCCAGGACCGACACATTACCCAGGAATTCGTCCATGCCCTCAGTGACAGAATTATAAATCCGGGTCACGATATCTTGTGCATTAGATTCTTTACTCGTGTCCTGGTGCGACTTGATGCTTGATTGTGAGAGAAACGAGCGCAGTTCTCTGCTGCGACATACATCTGGCATTTGGAGTAATTGCTGCAAATAATGTTCAAGTGCAAGACGTCGATTCTGCAGGAACTGCTTTTGGAGTTTCATAACAACCCTTCTTCTGGGAAATTCAAGATTCCTCGTGGAAGGATATCTGCGTCGTAGTCGTTGATGCAATTCATGAAATTCGGAATACCGTCGAGGAATTGCCCACGCTGCGGCTGGCATTTGATCACCAGCCTGCCTCTGAACTTCAATAACGTACAAGGCAAATTCTCGCCCGTCGTCTTCTTTTCCCACCACAACAGACTTGATGGAGATGCTGGATCGACCGTACAAACTGTTGTCGCTTTCTTGGACAATGTATTGCTGACGTTGAAGTTCTTTCCGGCGGATTTCCCTCTGAAGACTTGATTTGGATTTGTTCAGAATACGCAGCTCGGCGACGTTGTTTGTTAGTTCTGCCTTGCGCGTCAATGTGTCCACCACCGATTCCTGGGCTACTAGGCGCTCTATGTCGTTGTTAAGAGCTGTGATCGCTTCGGCAAGACCGAGATCTCCTGGCGCAGCCTCGTGGATCTCATCTTCGTCCACGCCGTCTCCTTTATTGTCGTCATTGTCGACATATTCATCTTCGATGAACTTTTCTTCGTCAGGAAATAGGTCGTTGTCGGTGAACACACCTATACGAGAGGAGGTATTGACAAGTCCAAGTGTTGCCAGGCTGGGTTTGGGTTTATTGGCCTGTTCGCCGCTGGGGATGTCAAGGGAGCTTCGCGGTGAGTCAAAGTTCTTCGAAGATTTGGTCACGGATACCGGGGAGCCAAACAGGGTATCGTCGTCGTAGCCCATTGTTTCGTCCATCGGACTGTCTGTCATGATGTTGTTCATTGCTGCCTCCATATTCTCGATGACTTGACGCTGATCCAAGGAATCACCATTCAGAGACTCGTGTCCAAGGCTGTTAGTGGAATGTGCCAATGGGTCAGTGTCGTAACCATCATCGAACAGGGGTGTGGAACCGCTAGACCGTTTGGCAAGATCTCCATCCTCAAACAATTTGGAGGAGGCCAAGCTTCGAACATCTGACGACGACACCGCAGCTCGCCTTAGATCCTTATTTCGTATGGCGAGTTGCGAACTGCTTCTCGTCATAGCCTGGGTCGGAGCTCTGGTCGTCTCTGCCCCAACCTGCCCGTTTCCCTCCGCAAGGTTACCCGTACTCTGCTGGCGAGGACGTGCGGCGGCCGCTTCGGCAGAAGCTAGAAATTTGTAGTAGAGATCAGATTTTCTAAAGTTTGGCAGGTGCCGTGTTTCTAGCTCTTCCAACACGGCCGACTGAGCGGCCAAGATGGCAGTTCTGGCGGCTCGATATTGTTGAGGAGTTGCTTTCCGACCAGCGGCCAGGAATGCCTTGATAGCGTCCCTGGATTCTTGTGGGATGTTCAGTTCTTCTTTCAACATGTATTTTTCACTAATTTGAGCAATGTCCATACGATCTGCATCAGTCCAACTTTGTTGAATGCCGGGGTTTAACTCATCCCCAAAATCGTCCTCGAGAGGGTTGCGGAAGCCGTCGACCACCACCCAAAACTGGACCAAAGACATACGATTCTGACGATCCATATACTCCATGAAATATGACAACCCGGAGGCAGTGTGCATAATCTCCACCATGGTCCACTCGCGAGGTTTTGAGGCTGGAATGGGGCGAGACTCAAGCTGCGGTACCGCCGCCAGCGGGACGGGTCCAGTTTGAGTGAGCTTTGCAATCTTTTGGTCCAATACGCGTTTGGCCATTTCCAACCTTCGCAGATAAACGGGATCCTGACCTTCGACAAGGCTCTCGCGCTGAATCTGGCTAACGACGGAGTTTCGAAATCGCCGAGCATCCGACAGGTTCTTGGTTTTGCGAATGGCTCTAACAAATCGCTCAAAGGCGCGCTCGCTGTCATTGGGAGCTAAACGGGGCAACTCCTGGCCGGGTTTATGTCTTGGGACTGGAGATGCGTGCTGATCCAAGGCAGCTCTCATTCTGCGCACTGTCTTTCGATCTTGTAACGCAGTACGCCCATATGCTTCAATAATTTGGTTCCACGTATCCGGATCGGAAAGTAGCTGCATGATTGGAAACAGCACGGCGCCAGCGACAATCTCCTTCACGAGCACCAGAGTAGCGCGACTGCCCATCATGCTCGGGGACAAAAGGTCCGGTAAAATACGGACCAAGATTTTCCGGAGATGTTCTTGCTGCACGGTCTTTGTGTCTGAGTAAGTAAGGGCCGCCGCAGGGTGTAGCTTGCCATCCTTGTACTTGGCTGCGATAGCCAATTCCAGTTCCTCTGATTCGGTGACATTGCGGTTCAGGCTGCGACCTCGAACAGCTCGCTCGGCCTGATCAAAGTCCCGCAGGTGTGCAGTGATCAAGGGTACAATTTTGGACACGAGGATATTGACAATGTCCTCGGCGAGAATCCGGTCTCGAATCTCCACCAACGCGGCGCGAATGTTCCTGTCCACCTCATTGATAAAAGTCGGACTCTTGGAGATGTTCTGGTACCAGGAGGCAACGAAGTCGCGAAGCGCAAGACCAATGAGGGCCTCGAGGGCTTGGGAGACCACAAACGATTGGTCGTAGAGTTGTAGGGGTTGGTACTGTTGGGAGACTCGGAGGACTGATAATTCGGGATCCCACCTCGGGGGAAGAAGGAAGGCAGGGGATACATTGGGAGGTGAGGACAGCGTCTGACATGCCGGGCGCGACCGAGAGACACTCAAGGTTGCTGCAAGCAGAGTTACAAGAGTGACCAGGGAGCCAAGTGTGAAAGCGTAGCCCAGAAAGCGCAAGACTGGAAGGGCGCGGACTGCAAGACCCCAAGCGATGAACGCTGCAATGGCGGCAGACAAGACATGTCTTTGGGTGAGGTTCATTCTTGATCTCGAGACCAAGTCATGTTTGAAGAATCGGTATGGCTCCGCAGCCCGCCCGGTGGGGTGGAAGACGACAGCCTGACATTTACACCATCTCACGGGGCAGTCGGGAGGTGGGGAATGGAGAGGACATGACGAGGATATTCTGCTGGCAGAGATCAAGCCGGGCTGTGAGCATCAGAGCTGAAGAGAAGATCAGAGCAAGAAACAATCAATATTATACGAGGTGTGACATAGATGGGGGATGGTGGTGATTAGCAAGGTGCCCAACTAGCGCAGCCTGGGCTGGAAAGATGGAATGGTGGAAGTCGCGATCGTCACACCTTCCCAATTAATGGCGGAGAATCGTGGTCACCTGCGGTCACCTGCGGCGACCGCCGTGCACCACCTTGCAGCATCCAACCCGCCTAATGCATGATCTGCTCTTCCATCTCTTCTACTGGTTACTTCCCCACGCCCCGTCGGCTTCTTTGGATCTCTTCTTGTGTGCAAGGGGAGGATGGTGAGTCAAAATCTTGTTGTTATTGCTTCTGCGACATGCAGAGGTAGCGTCCAGATGTCTCAGCCAATATTTTCCCATGCAGCCATGCTTCACTCGTGCCCGAGATGGATCCCGAGATCCAGGAACTCTTCCCCTTCGCAGTGGCCGACTACCTTCAGACTCGCTTACCCTTACCATCACTTGCCTGAGACACATCTTGAGCCTGGTAATTCGTTCTTCGCGTCGCGGCTCGAGGTTCCGAATCCACAATGCATGTCTCCTACCCTTGCTGGCTCCTGTTTGTAAAAGATATCTCAAGGATCCCTGGCAGAAATCATCACCGATCCTAAGATTCTCGCATGGGCTGTTAACTGTGGAGGGGACCATCCAGTTTCCTCCGTCCCGTTGTCGATGTTTCCACCTGCAGCCGGTGATGCCCAAGAGCTTGCATTAGACAAGTGTGATATCGAGGAGTCGTGCGCGTGATTGAGCCAGAGCACAAAGAACACCGCAACCTGGTGCTGGAGTTTGATGGTGTGTGGGCTGCTTCCCCTTCTGGACCGTCATCTTCCTATCCCGGGCAGCTGGCTGCAGAAAGAAGATCTTGGACGGTCACCGCTAACAGCTTGCAAAGGCAATTCCTCGTATTGCACACATCGTTCTGTCCTATTTTTCAGCTGGCAATAGTCGGTGCGTCCAGGAACGGCTGCCACAATGCTCAGTTGAGCAAGGATTATTGTACGGTAGCACAAGACAGCCGAATAGTTTTTTACATCCACGATGCGCTGGTTGCCTTGGACGTCTGACTGTCTCCACATGAGGCATCTTTGATCCTGCAGAGCATGCATGAAGTCGAATCGCCACCAAACGAGCACGGGCGACCGCTAAGTCGATGCCTTGGACTGCCAATGGCCCCGAGCAAGGCGTCGCGGATAGCCTTAGCATGCGCTTGATGTCGGAGCCGTAATGGGATTGCCAAACAAGTTTCTTGATTGCACAAGGGTACCGCTCTTCACCAAGTCAGTCACACGGGAGGGACCATCCCGATCGGGGCCCAACAAGTGGTGGACACAGCGCCTAAATCCTCCAGATCGATAGTATCCACATGACGCTAGGCACCGCCACACGGTCCAGAAGCAACCATTTTAGGTACAAAAGGAGGGCGCCACAATGTCCCCTCCATCCGCCCTCCCCCCCGTGGCATTGCTGCTTGTTCCTGCGACTTGAGGGGACTTCCCAGACGGCAGAGAGCGGAGAAGTCGTCCTTACAAAGTAGTACTCGCTCCGCGTGGGTTGACGGAACATTGGTCGACCTCGAAGCTTAATGGCTGTTCAGACTTCATCACAACTTCGGATTCAGCCTCCGTAACACAGGCAACATCTGGTGGCGCACACCTCTGTCCCTTGTCATCGATGCTGACCCGGCCATTCCCAATGCCTAGGTCTGGCGTGCGTCGAAATGCTTCTGAGGCCTTGCCGACATCCTCCACGACGCACAGGTCAGGCGGTCATTCAGACACACTGAGCCCCTTGGAACCAAAATCTCTCATGCTGCAAGCCATCGCTTACCCATGACCACCTGTCAGAGACTTCCCGTTGATTGCCTTCCGGGCGTTCCACTACGAACAAAACAAGGTCATAAAAATTGTCGATTATGCAAGTGCCATCATCAAAGCGGTGAATCCACCGACAATCCATATGCGAGAACGGGGACCGACACCCCAGTCACTCAAACCGGGTGCGTTGGGTGCCATGCCTGATAAACTCCCTCTACACGTTGCAATGGGATTTTCTTTTGCATGTACGCTGTACGTAGTCGAAACTCCAGTCCGGCACCACCGCAAAGGGTGACATGGCTACAGGGCGAACAAGGTGGGTCGAGTCGACACGCGAGCAACAAGCAAGCACGAATACACGCTCCTGAGTATGAATGACACGCTGGTATTGCCAGCCACAGACCCTGCTCAATGACATGGACTATCCAGCAGAAAGAGAGCCTTCGGGGAGAACTGTGCGGATCCCACAATGGCGCCTTTCGCTTCTGCGTGCAAAGACCGCGACCATGGCTCAATGCCGGAAAGTTTTCGACCTAAAAGCCACCCATCCAATGCAGGAAATGTTTCCAAACAGGCTGCGGTCTTATAACACCCTGCAACGGCTTACTCCGTGTTGTGGTATCTGGTCCACCAGCTGGGACAACAAAGCAATTACCCCCCCAAGTATTTGCCGCATCTGTTATTTGTGGAGATGCGCAAGACAACAGGGAGTCTTCAACCCTCCAGCAGCCGTGCGTCCCGCTTTCGGCGTCGACTCGCAAGGGGGTGGTTGATCAGAGACTGCAACCCTCCAAAACAGGTCGATCTTTTGAGAAATCACCCAACTTTCAGTGTCCATGTTGAAAGTTTGCAAAGACGTTGGTTGAGGAAGGGCTTAGAGAACACCCACATACCAGCAATCGGAATTGTGCCTTTCCACTGGGGTTCTTTGCCGGACAGGTCTGGGCTGAGGAGCTTTTAGCCCGAGGCCCTAAGAAACCCTACTCCTAGGATTGCCAGCAAGCCCCTGGTTACAGCCAACCACCCTGGAAACGCGGAACTGCAGGCTGCCCCTTCCGGGGAATCCAGCTTCCCCGTCGAACGGTGCAAACAGGCACCCCCCAGCTTCGAAAGCCCACAAATGGTCCTATCGTGGATGGTTGACAGCACGCTGGATGGACCGTTGAATAATATCACCAGGGCTTCTCGTTCGTCAGCCTTCGAGTACCGAGTAGAGCACGAGAGCTGGGAAAACGAGTCTGGGAAGAGTTTCTTCGCCCTTGCGACGCTGCACTCTGAGCGAACACCCGAACCTCCGAAGCCTGAGCGGCTTGCCTTTGGGGTGAGACGCCCCTTGTCAAGCCGTTCGCGTTACGCACTCCCTCGTCCCCATGTGCTCTTCCTTGGGCTTCAAGCCTTTGGACAGGGCTAGTCTTGCCTGAGTTAGGTGGTGCAACCGAGCTTGAACCGCCTTCGATTCCTGAAGCTCGTTGACGAAAGAACCTTCCGGGGCGTGTCTCACTGGGGCCGTGGGACTCAAACCTGTTCTCTGCAAATCTCAAACTCCCCGTTGGCTTGCATCTCTGGCCCCTCTCCCGCTTTTGTCTTGCCAGGAAACACACAAGCCGACAAAAATCGAGGCAATCCTCCCCTGCTCCCCAGGGCTTGCGGAGACATGCTCCCGCAATGCTATTCTCGGCTAATAGATCATTCCATCATGCCGCCCATCAAGGAATCATTCGTCTGGAAAATGTGACCGAACGGTCAACGATGAGCCCTTCGATGCAGAGCTAGGGCGGGTAACCCTGGACCATCTGCCCCCCTCAAGGGTGTGGCCCATGCTCTCTCAGACACCCCGGTCAACGACTATGCCACTCTCTGACCACTACTGTTGCTATCTTGTTCTTATCCAAGACCACTTGTCCTTTCTCCTCCCACAAAATCCACACACCCTTTTCATCATGCAGGCCGCAGTAGTGCTCGATGTCAAGCAGACGGCTCGCTTGCGGACTGCTACCCTCCACCATTGGCCGCTTCGCCTGTTCGTCCTGGCTTTCGAGCGTCTTGCTCACACGCACCTCTCCTTCTCCGTGCCTGCACCAGCACCGCGCCGCCGATCTGCAAGCCGGACCTCCACCGCCTGTGTCGCTCAGCTGACCCAAGATCGTGCTGCACTTCTCGAGTCGTGCTTCTCCTTTCCCCTGCTTTCTTACTGCTCCTGGATGAGTTGGGAGAGCCGGCGTGAGCTAGCTGTGCGAGTCCACTGGCCGCATTCGATGTATCAATAATGTGTTCCACACTGTATCGACTGCATCTGGTGGGCCCCGGGATGACTCCCCCCTCCCTCCAAAAGGCCAACGGCACCAACGGGACATTGACGAGCGAGGCTGACTGCCTTCGCGTCGGCAGAGTGGCGAGGTGACACAGCGCCAGGGACCGACGCCCTGCCCTTGTCCCGGTGCGTCGCTCATCTCTGTCAATCGCTCGCCTTGCAGACTTGCTAACGAGCGCACCGCACTTTTTGAGATATCCAGCTTGCCAGATCCATTGCCGCGAGCCTGGCACGCTGGCTGTCTCTTCCTTGTCCGTCTTCCCTTGAGTGCGGTCTCGTCAAGGTCTATCGGCCCAGGGAAGTTTGGGTGGTTCCGCTCCCTGGCGAGCCCAGACATACGCACCTCTCTCAAACGGGCAGCGCTAACCCGATAACTAGGGGAAAGAAATAGACAAGGCCACATGGGTCGAGCTGCAGAGGCGCAAAGCTGGCACGCAAGTTTTAACCATCCCATTCCCCACAACGATCACAGAGCATCCGGTCCTTTGCGTAGAAAGGCAACCAATTCCTCACCCTTCATCTACACCGGGCTATCCTCTTACCTCTGCTCTGGTTCTCCTAGGATGTCTTCGTCTATTTAGTTCCCTTCGTCTCTGTCTCTGTCCGGCTGGGCTAGTCAATTGCAGTATGGCTGTTGAATGAGTCTTTCCCTCACTCTGGGGTTGGATTCTTACGTTTGCGCAACCATCAGCCTGCCGGGACATGATTGGCTTGTCCGTCATTTTGCCCAACTAAACAGGCTTACGACCTGTTTATATTGACAGGGTGGACTCGCAGAGTAGAGTGCTGTCTTTCCAGCTTCACCTGAACGTCACCTAGACTTGACCTGTTGAGAGCTTGTGGTGGCCGCGGACGCTTTCTCTGCCTGTTTGGTAGCACAGAAAGACATCTCAGTTTACCGTCACGCCCCCAGGGTGATATCGACTCACTACCGGATGGTGACTGCCCCTTGCTCTTGCCCCTCGACACGGTATTCACCTCCAGGCAGTGACGCCTCGAGGGACCCTCATAAAAATCCGCCAGCCATGCTTGTTCTCCAACAGAATGCCCTCAGACCAACCTGGCGAAACCCAATAAGCAACAAGAATTCCTTGTCAGCCAACCTCAATCCTGTTCTCTTGCCTTGCGCTTGCCCTGGTAAACATCATTCTCAAGGAATAGCTCTATCATGACTGATTTCACTCAAGAACTCGATCCCTTCAAGAACGACACAATGTCAGACTTCGTGAACGGCTCCAGTCCGGACAGTGCTTCACCCACGACCTCTAACCCCTCCGAGAACCATACAGACCTTGACCCGTCCGACGACCTTCATACGAATGGATCTGCAATCCCCACCAACGGTATCGGCCGTTCTATCAGTTCAGAAGTCCATACCGCTCTCGAGCCCTATGATCACCCGGGCTCAGATCACGTCATTCAGTTGTCCAGTATCGAGCACTGCATGCCTAGGTCGTACATCCGCATCTGTTTTGCGTATCGCTTACCGAGCTCCGAAGCACTCCCAGAGGTGGTGGAGAAGTTAAATCGCTTCGTTCGGAAGACTGTCGACGCGAAGCCATATCTGAGTGGATATGTGGTGGCCGTGGACAATCCAGGAAATCGGGTGGGTGCAGTCGAGATCCGATTTTCCGATACGGATTTCCTCGAATATCCCAACGTCAGTGTACGTCGATTCACCTGCGAAGAGTTCCCGTATACTTATGACGAGATCTGCGAAAGAGGCCTACCACCCAGCGTCATCAAGCCTGAGCTGGTCTCCGCGTTGGGCGAGTCTGCAGACGAGCACCGGGCTCCCGTTTTCAGAGTCCAGGCAAATGTGGTGGAAGGCGGCATCATTGTGTCTGTCTACCTCCACCACTGCATCTCTGATGGCACCGGCTTTGGCTTGCTCGCCTCAGGCAGTGTGTTGGACGATGAATACACGTTTGACCGTCACTTGGATACTCGCGGTCACGATATCCCGAGTCTGTCGATGAGACTGGACGCGTTCGCTACTCGCATGAGTATTGTCAGAAGGGAGCTGTCCTACCCATTCGCCAATCAGATCACTAATCGGGAGCTGAAGTGGAAAACGGCCCACCCGATACCTACAGACGATGAACCCATCAAACCTCGGGCTCGTGGCTGCGTTTTTGCCTTTCCCTCGAGCAAGCTGGAGGAGCTGAAGCAAGGGCTCCAGGCTCACGCCGATGGCGCGTTCGTGACACAACATGACGCTTTGCTGGCTCTGGTCTGGCATGGAATGACAAAGGCTAGAATCCCTTCTGTGCCAGATGTCACAACCTCGAAGCTTCTTATTCCCGTTGATATCCGCAGAAAGCTGAAGAAGCCGCTTTCAGAGTCCTACTTCGGAGCCGCGGTCGATTTTGCCTCTGTGCAACTGCCCCTCCGCCGCTTGGCGGACAATGGTGTATCGTCGATGACTGAGACGGCATTGGCAGTCCGCAAGGCCATCAACTGCGTCGACGAGCCCTATATTCGACAAGCGATTGCTTTGGCAACGTATCCAAATCCGAAGATCGACATCCGAGATTTGCAAGCGAGCAACATGGACCGGACGAATGGGGCAGATATGTACATCACGAGCTGGATGAAGCTCAATTTCTACGATTCGACGTTTGAAATGGGCCTCGGTCGGCCAGACTGGGTGCGGAAGCCCTGGAGTAAGGATCCTGGCTCCTGCATCATCTTACCATACGATGACCGGAAGGATCAACTTGAGGCGGTCATACAGCTGGCAGAAGCAGATATGGCTCGTTTGCTGGAAGACGCAGATTTCATGGGATATGTGACCAGATGGATAGAATGATATTGCTCAATGTTGGCAGCACGTTTTCTTTACGGCGCAAGGAACAAAAAAAAGGAATCCGTGGAGTTGCGAAGTGTGTAGGTTTGCAACCTGGGACTGGGACTTGGGGGAGGGGACTCGAAAAGCATTGTGAGTGACGACATGGGTTTTTAAGCAAGGGAGATCCGGAAGGACATCACCACTTACCTGGCAGGCTGGGAAGGCTGGAAAATCCCATAATGGAAGGCAAAGAACGGGAAGGGCGAGCAATGTACAACTACTCTCAAGCGTGCAACGCATCGATCATCGACTGGCGGGAGATGGAGCTGGCAGATGGAACAAGGGGCGACTATTTGAACTAGGATGACCAAGACTGTTTCCGGCTGGAGAATCAACGTATTTCCTTGACATGGATAAGAGAATTCTTAGATCGTCTCATCTGACTTGTAGTAGGCCGGGGGCTGAGGTGCGCAAAAAGGAGGTACAGGTTGGTGGCGATAAGTATCACGTGCTCTCGCGTTCGGGTAGAACGTTGCTCCGGGGTGCTCAAGCTGCACGTAAACCCACCAGACGCGTCGAGGCGTCATACACCCACAGCAACACGCGATTTCTCTTCGGCCACCTCGTCCACAGTACCCTACTTCCCACATAGCAACCGACTTCTCGACCCTCGTCGCTTTATGCTCGTTGACTTTGCACACCCGCTGCGCTTGAGAAGACCATCATGACGCAAATTGAGAGTACTGATGCCCCTCAGGATGAGTACGAGGACATGCCAGGAGGCCCTGGAGCACCCATACCAATTTCTCAGTTGGTGGTAAGCTTCCTCAGCAATCTGATTTTCCGCTTTCCAGAAGACTGAGTCGTTCTTTTAGGGCGTTGCAGGTCTGACTGAAAGAGACATCAAACTGGTCACCGAAGGCGGCTATCACACGGTCGAGTCGATTGCATACACGTAATTGCCAACCTCATAAACAGACTGTGGCCGAGCTCACCAGTCTATACAGGCCGCGCAGACAATTAGAACAAATCAAAGGCATATCAGAGGCAAAGGCCTCAAAACTCTTGAATGAAGGTTTGGAGGCAATCACACCTTTGACGATCTGCGCTGATGTGTGACAGCAATGAAACTGGTGCCCATGGGCTTTACCACCGCCACCGAGATGCATGCCCGAAGAAGCGATCTGATCTCGATAACCACTGGTTCGAAGAACCTCGACCGACTTCTCGGTGGTGGCATTGAGACGGGCTCCATCACCGAAATCTTTGGCGAGTTCCGCACTGGAAAGAGTCAGATTTGTCACACAATGGCGGTTACATGCCAGTTACCCTTTGATATGGGTGGCGGAGAAGGCAAATGTTTATACATCGACACCGAAGGCACCTTCCGACCTATTCGTCTGCTGTCCGTTGCACAGCGATACGGTCTCGAAGGGGAAGAAGTCCTGGACAATGTTGCCTACGCTCGGGCATACAATTCTGAGCACCAGCTGCAGCTGCTCCAGCAAGCGTCACAGATGATGTGTGAAACCCGGTTTTCGTTGCTGATTGTTGATTCGGCGACTTCGTTGTACCGAACAGATTATAACGGCCGAGGAGAACTCTCATCACGACAATCGCACATGGCGAAATTCCTACGCACGCTACAAAGACTTGCGGACGAGTTTGGCATCGCAGTGGTCATCACCAATCAAGTAGTTGCACAAGTGGACGGCGGCCCCAGCGCCATGTTCAACCCAGACCCGAAGAAGCCCATCGGCGGCAACATTATAGCACATGCAAGCACTACCAGGCTGAGCTTGAAAAAGGGTCGAGGCGAAACTCGGATCTGCAAGATCTACGACAGTCCATGCTTGCCAGAGAGCGACACTTTGTTTGCCATTTATGACAGTGGAATTGGCGATCCCCAGCCCAAGGACGACAAGGAGTGAGTGGGGGGGGGGGGGGGGGAAGTATATCATATCCACGACTGAAGATTCATGCATCGAGCAAGTGGCTTTATGTGAAACATTGTTAGCAGTGGCGCAACGGATGTCTTCTAGGTACATGAAATTGTCAGAACGAGCACTGAAAGGGGGGGGTTCGGGGTCACCCAGGAGGTCATGGACTTGTTAGCTGACTGGGCACAAGTTCCGATCTCCTTCAGAATACGAGGTACAACCACCAGCTGAAAAGGTCAAACAGGCATGCGTCAGGGTCAAAGTTAAGCATTGTGGCTGATGCCTATCATGGTGGCTAGAGCGAATGAGAGACGAGGCACGCATGGTGGATGCTGGCTAATGAGCCTTGAATTTCAGGTTTTGGGAGGGAATGTGACCTGTCAGAGCACGTCTGTAGCAAGTGCCAGCCTATGGCGGAATAGATCGACAGAGAAGAATTATGCTGGTAGTACTAAACACAGAGTATTTGCTATCTACAAGACATCGGATATGCAAGTTATACGAGGTACCGAGTACATGCTAAAGACATTGTACCTACTTCGCTACACATTCACCCAATAGTCGAAGCAAATGTCCGAAAGCCAGTTCAGCCAGGGGCGGGCGGGAGCCAGCTGGAGCAGTTCGCCAACGAGACCCACTGATGGATGGGATGGCGTTGCTGTGGGTGATTGCCTGTGGCTGGTCAGTAAGGCCTAGTGGTGCCGAGGGAACCCGTTCTCCAATCCACCCGGGGCTGAGGCCCACGCCTATACCACAGTGGGCAGAGCACTGTAGAGTAGGGTGGTGTGCACGAGTACAGCCTGGGCGTGAACCCCTTGGCGTCATCATACATGACCCAGCTAAAGCGCAGTCCGGAGTACCTACCCAGTACGAATACAAACAATTATAATGCGTCTGACCAAGCCCTCCACGCCTCTCACAACCTTGGGACCGATCGACTGCATTGTGAAATCCACGAGGGACACATCAGATTGCATCGCTAGCACATCTGGCCCCCTCGTGAAACTACTATTTCCTGGCCCGTATCCTTCTGAAATCTCCCCTCTCCTTCGGAATTTATTTTGAGCTGTGGTCGCTGTAAACAACTTCCTCTCCTTGATTTCGCTTCTATTCTCTCGACCCGCATTCTTCTTCCCTGTGTTACTACTATTACTCCCTAGAGCTTGGCTCTCCTCTTTACGTTGACACTTTACTCGGGTATTGAACGTACTGAAGGAACGCCTCTAGCCTCTCGCCAACGGGCACAGTGAGCTGCCGATTCAATTATTAGTCGCAAACAAGCTGGTATTGCTGGACAGCGGACCTGTTACCCTCAATGGAAGGTGAGCTTCGTTCCCCTCGACCCCAGCTAACCTGCATATCTGGCTAACAATGACTGCTGCCAGCGCACCCAGACGGAAACACGGACGGAGGCCAGTCCCTGCGCACCGCAGAGTCGCGGGATGGCCACGGGACCGGGCCCGAAATCACCAATTCCAGCTCCGACTTCGAAGTCCTTTGTGGCCCTCTGCTGAATTACCAACGTATGAGCGATGAAGGGCCCTCGAATGTGTTCTGGCACGGCTCCGTCCTCCTCGTCACGACCCCCAACAACAATACTCCGGAGCTAGAACTGAAGAGCCTGGGAGCGCTGGAATCTGGCACAAAGTTGAAGTCTTTGCCGTCGCAATCGGTACAGGGTTTGAAGCTTTACTCGGATCCGGATAAGACATTCTGGCGGTTCAGCCTCAGGGTACCTCTAGTCGAGGCCGAAGCAAAATGGCAGTACTCAATCCCAAACATGCAATTCCTCACCGATGTTTCCAAGGAACCGTCCAGGCAGTTTGTAGTGCCTTCTGCCACGCAATCGATGCGCATCATGTTCCACTCCTGCAATGGATTCTCGGTCGGGACGGATGAAGATTTCTGGTCAGGTAAGTGTTTTTGGACCGAGTATGAGGGATAATGCACGAGTACGCTGACAGGAATCATCTAGGACCTGTCTTGTGGAATGACGTCCTGCGCACTCATGCGCAGCGCCCTTTCCATGTTATGATTGGCGGAGGTGATCAGATTTACAACGATTCGATCCGGGTCAAGGGCCCATTGAAGGAGTGGACGTCCATTTCCAATCCTAAGAAGAGGCGAGAATACCCTTTCGGTGGGGACCTCAGGGAGCAATGCGACAAATACTACTTTGAGAATTACATCCGATGGTATTCCACAGAACCTTTCGCCTCGGCCAATTCTCAGATCGCCCAGATCAATATTTGGGACGACCACGACATCATTGACGGGTTCGGTTCCTACACCGACCATTTCATGAGATGTGCTGTCTTCCGTGGCCTCGGTGGTGTCAGTTTCAAGTACTATTGCTTGTTCCAGCATCACACTGCCCCACCTGTCTCAACGTTCACCACGGATGCGCCCAAGACCATGGGTGCTAATGCCAATGGTACGGCAGGAGTTGATCCGCGTCAACTGAACAATACGTATGTGTACAAGAGGACAGCAGACGACCCAAGTTGGATTGTTGGCAAACGCCCTGGTCCGTACGTTGAGGAACGATCGAGAAACCTGTACATGCGCCTGGGTCGCCGCATCGCTTTCTGTGGCATTGACGCGAGAACGGAACGAACAAGAAAACAAGTCAATTATCCAGACACGTACGACCTGATCTTTGAGAGACTGGAGAAGGAGTTTAGGGAAGCGCATGGAGAAATAAAGCACCTGATTCTCCTCCTTGGTGTGCCCATCGCATATCCCCGGCTGGCATGGCTAGAAAACATCCTGACATCGCCCTTGATTGCCCCGGTTCGCTTGCTGAATAAGAGGTTTGGCTTCGCCGGAGGCTTTTTCAACTCGTTCGATGGCTCTGTTGATCTCCTGGATGACCTGGACGACCACTACACGGCGCGCCACCACAAGACCGAACGGCGCGAGTTGGTTCTTCGATTACAGAAACTCTCTGCAGACTTCTCTGTTCGAGTCACTATCCTCGGAGGAGACGTACACCTTGCAGCATTAGGTCGCTTCTATTCGAACCCTGCGGATAACATGGATCCAATCGAAGATCCGCGATACATGGCGAACATTATCTCCAGTGCTATCACTAACAAACCACCTCCTCGAGCTGTGGCGAACTTGCTAGCGCGGAGAAATAAAATCCACCACTTGAGGGATGGAAATACCGATGAGACACTCCTCAAGATGTTCAACAAACAACCAGGGGGCGTGATGAAAGGTGCCGACTGGAATCAATGCACGATGCCAAGCAGAAATTACGCATGTATCACTGAAGTTGCCGATGATGAAGACTCGCAGCCTGCAAATGGTACCGCTAATGGCTCCGCGTATCCGCCATCGATCTCACCTGCGGTGAGTACAACGGGCAAGAAGGGCAAATCTCGTCCACACACGAATAAGGGTGCGCCCGACGGACACGGATACCTCCATGCCGGTGAGGAAGGGGCGGGAACAACACATCTAGCTGCAGATGGTATCAGCTCAGAGGCTGTCGGCCCGCAACTGAGGGGGGGCCTAAATGTGGCAATCAAGGTCGAGATTGACAACCAAGACCGAGAGGGGAGAACCGAGGGATATGGGATGAGCAGTAAGACGATACCCTTTTGTCATACGCGCTGACAAGCCTACTAACGTCTTTGATAATAGTTCCGAAGCTCACGATCAGGACTACACCTCGGACGCCAGAAACACAAACATGAACACTGCCCACGCCGGCGGTGGTATTCGCTCTTTTGGCCACATTTCGACTATTCGATCTTCAAAAAATCATTCAGTTCTCAATACCCCTATTATTACTAAACGCTATTTCTATTCGCGGCCTCGAAGAGGGTTCATGGTTGAAGAGCACCACCACCAGCACGAATCCAGCACTTCGCAGACCGAGCTTACAGTGTACACGCTGTGATGTGGGGTAAAGATGCCACAGAACAGTTTCGACACCAGTCGCAAAGTTTATGGGGTGTGGAAGATGGGTTGAGACCTTTGTCATCGACTTGGTCTTCATGACCAGCCCGACAATGGGAAAGAGCGAGGTCCCACAGCGGGGGAAGAAGGGCAGCGCTATGCTAGTGGGAGGGATTTGTGCGTCTCTACCCACTATGTTTCTCCTATGTTCACCAGGAGATGATCGAAGAGATAAGAGGAGAGAGGAGAGAAAAGGGGAGGATAATGTAATGTACTAGTACAGATGAGAGAGACAGGTGAAGCTTGTGCCTGATACCCTGTGCCTTAGTGCCTTGTGCCCTCTGCGCTGGATACGGAGCTGTAGGGACGAACGAGTCCTTCTGACCACGGCTCGTGCAAACGCGCAAACATCCCTGTAAGTGTCTGACTGTCCGTTCACCTTGCCCATTGAAAAAGGACCCCAGCGTGTGCCGTATCCGTAAATCCTGCCCATGACCCCCCGTAGGAAGAGAACGACGTGGTGGTCGTGGTAATGTTTATGACAGGACTCGTTCTTTTTTTTTCTTTCTTGGGAGGTAGTAGCAAGATCATCTTCATCCCTTCTTATCCCATCCCCCATATGACCTCCACGATATGACGTGAACTCAGATCCTGACATGATCCTACACCCTCGACTCGTACATGTGATTCAGGGTGCCGCTCCTCTTCAACCCCATGCCGTTGGCGTAGACATTGTCCTTTTTCTTGCCGTTGTTTGCTCCCGCCGACGACGGATGCTTGGGCGGTATCGGCGGCGGCAGGGGCCCGACACCGCTGGCCCAGCGACGCTTGCGGTCCTCGTCCTCGTCACGCCGTCGCGCCTCCGCGGCGTCCCGCTCGCGCTGTTTCGCGGCTTCGGCCTCCTCGGCGCGGAAGACGAGGCGGGGGCCCGAGATTGTGACGGTGGAGAGTTCGACCACGCCGTTGACGGGTTTCTTGGAGGACGGTGAGTTGTCATTACCACCGCCGGCACCGCCAAAGTCCACCCCGGCGCCCATCATCCGCACGTGCTGTCCGCGCACCAGCTCGGCGCGCATCCACTCCCGGCGCGCGCACTCGACCAGCCCCGCCGCCAGGGCGAACATGGCCCACTGCAGAAAGTCCTTGACCGTGGCGAGCGTGCCCAGCATGTTTGCCAGGTCGCGGTCGCCCGTGTCGCGGAACCGCGACTGCGGACACCACCGCGCCACGCGGCCCTGGTGGCCCGCGAGGATGGGCGCGAGCTCGCACGACGTGCACAGCACGCTCTGGGCGAACCACGTGAGCGTGTTCAGCACCGAGACGCACAGGATGAAAAACGTCGTCGTCACCGCGTACCCGGCGTCGTAGGGCCGGGGGCTGGCCGTTCGCGATAGTCTTGGAGATAATGATGAGGTGGTGCGTCCGTTAGGGTAGGGTGGGCAGGGCAGGCCGTTGAGTTGTAATGCCGCCAAATGGGAGACCGTGTATAGCAGGGAGATGAAGGGGATGGTGCCCACGTAGAATACTAGAGGTCTAACAAGGGGGTTTTGGGTCAGCCATACATCCAAAAGAGGTATCATGTCCAGGGGCGACTTTTCTTTCCCGATCCCTCTCTGATAGCGAAGAGGACATTGGCAGAGAGATAATCACTTACAGCCAGTTGCCCGCCCCCGGAACCATCTCATGTGACCATGCCGCATATTTCGACGAGGCTATGAGAATGATGATGGCCAAGATCAAGGAACATATGAGCAGGATGACTTGGACCGCTCGAGTCTGCATCGTTGCATTGGGCGTGGTTGTGCTTTTCGATGCCGATCTTGGATCTTGGATCTCGGGCCTGGTTGCCGACTCGAACGAAGGGGATTCTGAAAAGGACGAAAATGCCCAGCTATTGGAGAGAGAACGAACGAGTAGCGTCCTGTACCACGAACGGAGGTGTCGACGTCGATTGTTTTCTGAGTAAAGAAGAGATCGATATCACACAAAAAGGGCTTTGAAAGAATGGAAAAAGACAGAATATCTGATAGCGTCCAGCGCTCAGCGCCAGCGCCTTCGAAAAGAAAGGAAAGCGAGAATTTGAAAAACCCACAGAGAAAAAGAGAAAGGGAATGGATTTGGGTCAGTCCACCTTTGTATATGATAACGAGAGTATAGGAAAGGAAAAAAACGACAAGCCTACCCACCTGGGGGGAGATGCTGGAGACAAAGAGCAAACGAGAGATTGGCGAAGAAGGCTACTGAAAGAAGAGGAGTGAGTCCCCAAGTCTGCTACAATTGCCCGGACGACAGGGTATCCGAGAGTGGTGTCCTAGTGGTGTCCTCCTGGTCAAAGAGCCGCAGACCCATGCTCGGCGGGTAGATTCAGATCAAGATCGTGTGGAAGGGGGTGACAGATTAGGCATGTCCAAACTCTCATGACGTGACAGTATCGACGACGGCAGGCCGTTTGGGCCACAGTATAACATGATCTTCGCCGCTCAGGAGATCCCAGCCACGACTCCTGTAGCACATGGCGGCAGATGGAGGAGATGAACTGGATCAAGCGCATGGTTTAGCATCAACCGGGCGCGGGGACCAGACAGTTAGTGACGCAGATGAGGCTCCAGAGGATCGAAAGTCTATTGGGGAAACAGCCAAAGGGTGAGGCGCCAGCCTGGCAACGACGAGATGCGGGGGGTGTCTTGAGACTGTAGATGCAGCAGAAGTTGGTCTGAGACTGAAGGAGGTTGAGCTTCGCGTCTCAGGTCGTGTCCCTTCGAGGCCGCGCTAGACCCAATCGGGCAATAAAGGGGCTCAGTATTCGAGCCCACGTGATTGAGACACGGGTTGACAAGGCTGAGACCGAGGACGAGACAGGGATCTACAAGGGGGGCGGCCAGCTGGGGGACAGCGTTGACAGATCATCTCAGTATGACCCTCTTCCAGTTAGGGTGATTTTCGGGATCCTTGCTGTCTTGGAATATCTCTCCGTCGGAAAGACCGTGCACATACGCTTCCCCAAGGAGCGTAAAGGCTGGCGTGCCACCAACATCACCAGCATCCGCTTTCAGTACAAATGGTAACGAACCTCCTTTCAAGATGACGATGTGGTCGCCTCTGGTGACATTCTTTGGCCCTATACCCATATAGCCCTTCTGCGTCCTAAAAAATCGCCTACCGACGACTGATCGTCGAAGGGCGACATTGTAGTGCTCTCCGTAAGCTGGCTGCTCATTTTCGAAGAATTCACCCGGACGGGGATATCTATCTCGAGCAAGAAGAGCGATTTTCCCTTCTTTGTGGCTACTGGTACTGCTGTCATCTGAGTTGCTGGAATCGACGTGCTTTTGATTGCTCGCTCGCACCCATTCGGGGCAGATGCACGCAGGCTTCTCGTCCTTGATCTCAACCTCGAGAATCTCAGGATACGCCATGAGGAAGCTTTCGGCAAATCCTGCTGGCGGTACAGCAAGTTGTTGGCCTGAGATAGCTCTGTTTGCTATCAGCGTCCTCCAAAAGGCATCAAACGGACGTTGGCCCGTGGGGTAGGTGTTGAATTTGACCCCAAAACACCACCAGAGACTCAAGAGGTGCTGTTTCATGCTGATGATGCGATGTGCCTGTAGATCGGCCTTCCCGGCTACTTCGACCACGTCGGTCTCTCCAGCAGCTCGGGCAGCTTCCATAAGCACTCTGTCGGCGAAATATGCATCGACCTCGAGCATTCCGGGAGTGCAGGCCGTAGGTAGGACTGGTGTTGTTCCCAAAGAAGCTCGGTAGTTGGCCGTTGCTGCTAGTCCGAATGACAATAGCAATGCTGGCTCTTTGGGGTAGCTGCTCCAGTCCGGTACCCACGAAGGCAGACCAGGTTGTTTCCGTGACTTGCCACGACCAGCATCAGCGAGCATGTCCATGGAGTTTTCCTCGGCCAAGGTAAGTCGTGCAATGTCCTCGTAGATCTGTGGCAACTGTCGGTCGTAATCGACTCGAATTTCTCTTTTACCATCAACGTCTTTCAAATGGCCAGGCGGCTGCGCGTTTGTGGCAACTGCCCTCGAATGAACGACGTGATACTGGTCTTTGACGAGGCCAAGAAGTCCATAGACTTTATCAGCCGGGTTGGTGGATTCCTGCGACCATGATCTATGGAGAAACCAGTGGAGGTTCTGCGCAGGGCCTTGCTTTGATATGATCTTATAGTACTCCAGGAAGATAGCAACCGGTACGGGATTCCAGCCTGTGCTCTCAATAAAGGCGCCTCTGAGTTCCGGTGTCACAACCGCGGGGTCGTCGATGATTTGCAGAGGAGCCAAGCCGAACTGCGTCAATGAATTGACGAGATCGATCCATTTGATGGAGTGGTCACCACAGAACACTGTCGGCGGAAAAGCTTGGTATACATCCCATAGGCAGACTTCTTGAATCACCCAAAGACGCTTGAACCAAGCCAATTCAGAGAACCGGGTTAATGCCAGAGCCTGGTCCATGGTAATTTCAGTCTTCCGAAGCCGCTGCGAATAAATTGGACCCGGTGCAACATTGTCCGGCTGCACCAGAGATTTGTTCCTGTCATCAAAGCTCTTAGATGCATCTCTGATCATTTTTATAGCGACGTCAGCCCCTTCGGATGGATCGCCGAGATCAACAAACACCTGGTTCGCATGGCGGTAGATCTCGTGCATATTAGCGACCTGTTTTCAGTATCAGATAAAATCAATGCTGTCGGCCAATCCACGAGATAAAACAGCCTCTCACACGCCGTGCATCTTGCCTGTACCTACCTGGGCAGACTTCTCTTGGTTGTTGTCTTGTTGGATGCAAATGGCATCTGCCCATATGCGAAGCCAATTCTGCTTTTCAATACGCCTCCATTTGCGCAGGGCTTTGTCGAGGGTCACGTAGATGTCGAGTCTCTTGCCATTGCAGTAGGAAGGTACTTTGTTGCTCACATCGCCGCAGACGTAGCTGACTTGACGGAAGGATCTCATATCAGTTTCAAGGGGAGCTTGCACCACGACTGGGTGGGAACCCACTGGCTATATACTGAGCCCTCGAGAGCGACTCTAGTTGAGTGTAGTGCAGAGCGTATCGCAGAGGCTTGTCATCCGGTCCTGGGAAGAGATCAATAACTCTGATGTACGAGTCGCTTGGAAACGGCTCGTAATGAAAAGGACTGTCGTCGTCCTGAGGCTTCCCGCTCTTCTCCCAAGTACAGCCCGGGCAGTTGCTATAGGTGAAGTAACGGATCAGGCTTTGGGTGTCGGCGTCGACAATGGCGTCGCCCCGTACCCTGCAATGCAGAAGGACGTGGTCGTCATCCTCGCATCTCTTGTTCTCCGAGTGGCATCTTTCACAGATGGCGAAGTCTCCGCTGCGGCAGACCGAGCAGTGGTAGAATGTCCGTTCTTGAGGAATGGAATCACCACATATATCGCAGATCATGGACATTTGCAGAGACGCAGTGATGACGGAGCTCTGGAATGGGTATTTTCAGGGACAAGGATAGCAATTACCTCTTAGTCTGACGAGTAGCACATGGGTAGGGGTGGTAATTGTAAACATACTCAAAAGAGAGAAGGGAAGATGAGGATTGCGGTGTTGACATTATCTGATCGACCGAATAATTCCGGCGCAGCATTTGATGTATCACGCAATTCCGATCTCGTCTTCAACGGGTAGCACAGGTAGTCACATAATTTGTCCTGCATGTCTTCTGCGTCGACTCTAATGAGGTCTGTGTCAAAGCTCACTAACGATATCTATGTACGTTGACAGCAGACACTTCGACACTGACCAAGGCGGAAGGTGCTATCTGCTATCTCTACAGCCATAATGTAAACGGTCTGGACACCGATTATCCTGTTCTTTTCATGCACGGCGCAACAGTGAGACACCGTTTCTCGATCCCCCAAGATATCTGACTCTTACCATGCCAACCTCGCCAGAATACCATGCGGATACTTTCTCACGACCATCTTTCTCAACTCGTCCAAAGTCAACAGTCCAAGACCAAACATCATGGGAATGAACCAGTGTTCCACAGGGACTTTATCGCACCCGAGGTAGTCTATATCGGGTATAAGGGTGAATATCAATGCGACGACGAGCGCAAAGAGAATGGCCGGGAAAAGAAGTAGGTTCTGTGTCTTGCGGTTGAAAATGGGCGGGTGCGAGAAGATGGAGAGGTGGCGGGTTCGCAGGGCCATGAGGTTGAACCACTGCATCACCACGAGCGTGACGAAGTAGATGGAGCTCGCTACGGTCAAATGGTACGACACGTCGTCCTCGGTCTGGCCCGCCGGGATGGGGATGTTGCCAAAGGAGAACCAGAGCGTGCCAAAGGGGAGGCCGTGGCGCTGCAGATACCAGAAGCTCATTGCGAACGAGCAGATCGACTCCAGCATACCGACCAAGCCGTACGATTGAAGCAACAGCCGCCAATCCACGAGGCGGTCTCTGTGAATATCTCGCGGGGGCCGCAGCATGACATTGGCTTCAGGCTTCTCGTACGCCAGCATCGTGGCAGCGACACAGTCGGTGAAACAGCAGATGATGATCATGAGAAAGCTGGAGAGGACCTGAGGGAGACCAAAGACGACGCTTGTCATGACGGGCCAGAACTCCGAGAATGAACCAGCAGGCAGGAGATAGGCAATGGTCTTCTTGAGGTTGTCAAAAACCACACGGCCATACAAGACAGCCTCTGGGATGGCAGAAAACGAACCCAAGAGGACCATGTCAGAGGCTTCGATCGCAATGTCAGACCCGGAAGCCGGCGAAATGCCGATATCTGCCTGTTTGAGACTGGGGGCGTCGTTGACACCATCGCCAGTCATGGCCACGACAAAAGCTTGGGATTGGAATTCCCGGACTATGCGCAATTTCTGATCTGGCGTGGTGCGTGAAAAGACAATCTCGCTGTACTGAGTCGTCAGGGTGGTCCATTGGTGTGGTAGAAGCGTCAAAAGGTCGGGGCCCGTCAATACAATTGCCTTGTTCTCCGAGGGCAGCCGATTCGACTTTTTCTGACGTTTCTTCTCGACAACGTCCGTGGGGGGAAACCGGGGGAGGTTTTCAACCGAGTGGATTTCATTGTCGGCGACGGTGATGATACCACATGACCGAGCGATGGCTTGGGCTGTTAGCTTGAAGTCGCCAGTGACCATCATTGTGCGGATCCCTGCACGGCGAAGGGTCTGTATCACACTCGGCACTTCGTCTCTCGGTGGATCAACAATCCCCACCATCGATATCAGAGTGAGTCCGGCCCCGGCGTGTCGTAGGGCTTCAGCCTCGAATGTATTGTCATTGGGCGACGATTGCAGCATGCCCGCCGGAAGATGTTTGCGGGCAAGGAGAAGCACCCGTTTTCCCTGGCTAGACCATGCATCTTTAGTTGCTTCCATGGTCGATCGAATGCCGTCGTCCAGATTGTAGATGCCGCCATCTTCTCCGACATATCTCGTGCACCGGGGAAGGAGAATGTCCGGGGCACCTTTGATCATCAACAGCAGGTCGCTTTCAGCATTGAAAGAACCAGCCTCGGTGGTACTCATAGTCGCCGAAACTGCCGATGCGTTCTCGGGAGAAACCACTCTCAATGCAAATTTGTTCTTCGAGTTGAACGTCAGGTCGAATCTCTTGCGCCACATATCGCGGGACTGCGTGACAGGACCAAGAGACTCCGAGAGTCGCAAGATAGCTTGATCGGTTGCATCTGCGATTATTTTTCTTTGGGCAAGAGGCAAGTGAATCGTGGTAGGGTCGAACTCGCCAGCGTTACAGACCGCCGACAACACGCGCAATTGTTGAAGTACGGCCTTCTTTGATCTGTCGCTGGTGTCTCCCCTCGCCATGTCTTGAGATGCTTCCTCGGCGGTCATGGTACTGAACCCAACAAGACAGTCGGTCACCACCATTTGATTTTTCGTCAACGTTCCGGTCTTGTCAGACAAGAGGACGGAGACAGACCCAAGCGTCTCGACCGTCTTGAGTGACTTGCAGAGAATATTGTTCTTTTTCATGATGTTCGCCGTGATTGTGAGCGACGCTGTGAGAGCAATAGGCAAGCCCTCGGGGACAAACGCAATGGCCACACTGACAATGTCAACAATGAGGGTCGGGACATTGATGTAGCTGTGGTGTGCGTGTCGGATATACCCTGCCCAAACCGCAATGACGATGATGTTCATAAAGACCATCAAGCCGACAATTATGAATACGAAGCGCAGCACCTCTTTCTGCAGATTTGTCCTGCCAGTTGAGGGCTGGCTGGTTAATTTGGCAATGTGGCCAAAGACGGTATCGTCGCCAGTAGACACCACGATGCCAACCCCGCTGCCGGAGGTACAGTGAGTGCCCTGCATGCCGATACATCTCGTCTCGAGATAGTTGGGTTCCTGGGACTCGGTGACGGCGGCCAACGGGAACGATTCTCCTGTCAAGATGCTCCTATCGAACTTGGCGTCGGTCGAGACATCTTTGAATCGAACGTCGGCTGGCAGCTTATCACCCGCTTTGAAGTAGAGGACGTCACCTGGGACAACGTCAGGCGCTTGGATTGTCTGCTTGCTTCCATCGCGTAGAACACGGCAGGCTTCGGGCAGCATGCCAGTGATACTGTTCATGACTCTGGACGACGAAAAGTCTTGCCAGGCATTGAACGCAGCCTGGATGAAGAAGACTGCGGCAAGAACGATACCCAGCGCAAGGTTGGCCACAGCTGGCGGTTGACCCAAGGGTTTCCAAGAGACGAAGACGAGTATGCTGCCGCCCAGCAAAATAGAGCCGAACCCTCCAAAGAAGTAGCCAAACAGCTTCTGGGCCAACCTCGAGGGCGGAGGGGAGGGCACATTGCGACCATATTGTGAAAGCTTTTCTTTGACGGCCGAGGGCGACAGACCAGTATCGGTGGAGGTATTTAATCGATTGCAAATCTCTTCGAGGGTGAGTAGATGCCACTCAAGACCTCCCACCTCTGGAAGAAAGGGGAGCGGTTAGTCGATCTCCAGATATGCAAAAGGTATCATGGCTCTCTCACCAATCGCAGCCTTCTCACGGGCATTCTTTGCACTCTCTATTGCCTTGACATTGGTGATATCATAGCTGAGAGTACGGTATTGGACTGGCAGAATGATGGACGGCTCGATGGTACGTTGTCCACTGCGGACGCTGGAAAGCGAATGTACAGAGTAGGTCGAGCCTCGCCTCTTCAATGGATGACCAATATCGGTGGCAGCAGATGGACCACCGTTCTCCTCATCATCGTCCATGTATCGGATACGGCGTTTTACTGCGAGGGTAGGGTTAAGGTCTTCGTCATCGTGGTTGGACGCTTCCACGACTGCGGTGGCCTTCTCAGTGCTGTCGCCCATGTCGTCTGTGACGGCCATATTGACAAGATTCAAGGCAAGGTTTTGCCGGAGATACAAGCTGGACGCAGGGCTGGGAGGGAGAGGAGGGAGGTGGGAAGAAATCGCAATGTGTGGAAGGGAAAGTCCTGCTCTGACCTACCTTGATATATGCGCTGGTACCATGGCTGGCACCATGGTTGGGAGCACATGCATGGCTCGTCCAGCTTCCTCTCGGTGAACTATGCAGATGAGCAAGGTAGAGCTGCGCGAATTTGGCGAGGTCAACAACGCCCATGGAATGAATCGCCCAATGCATCCAGGGCGACAAAGCTAGCAAAGGCGCACGGGCCACACAGCCCCAACCGATGAACAGGGGAAATATGGAGAAGTCCCAAACAGGATCTGGGTAAATAATAATATCATGCACGAGCCAGGGACAAAAAATGCCTCAAATTTAACGAGAAAAGGCAAGTCAAAGGCTGGAAAGATGGGAATGATGTGGTGGGATGGCGGAGCGCAATAGAGAGATTCGGACGCAGGAGGAACATACCTGAACAATATTGCCTGAAGTGGCTTAGATGCCAACAGAATGCTTCTGTTCCGTCTTACCGGGAGACTCCTCTGTGTCCTCGTGTCCAGGGTGAGTTTGGCAGTCAGAGCCACCCAAACTCTGCTTGCGAAAACCCAGTATTCGGCAACGTCCAGCGCTCGACCAGTCCTAGCGTGTCTGGCGTGGCTATGCTCTGCGTGCGACGCGAGCCATTGGTCTCGGACCTGGTCAGCTTTCACGCTCATCTCCATATCAAATGAGAGGATTGTGGATGCACTTTTGAGCAACACACCTCCATCCAGTCCACGATTTAGTCTTTGGAGACAGTGGGCAAAACTGGGGATTGGCGACAGGCAGATTGTCCATTAGCCAAAGTCCACACAACGCCCGTGCGAAAGCAGGATTTCGTAATACGAGTATGCTTTCTCTTCCAGCTCCTCGTTGATCTCCTGGCCCTGGCCACAGGCCGCGTGCAATATCCCTTTTCCATCGTCGCACCAGGAGTCCCTGGGAAGATCCACAAGATGATGGGCTCCAGGATTCGGTGAAAAAGTCTTTCAGGGTGTCTGCCGGAGAGGATCATGTCCACAAAACCTGCGGACCAAACAGCATTCCAGGAAGGAGAAAGAAAAAAGTAAACTGCAGTATGAGGCATTTTTGGTACCACTATCACAGACAACATACACGTGGGCAAGCAGACCGAATCCAATCTCAAGTGGTCATTTACCTACCTATAACCGTAAAGGGTGATGTGGGATGTCCTGTATCACCCAGATCCCACCGCCGTTTTTCTTGTTGTCAAACTTTTTTTTTTCTCGAGCCACTTTGACTGGGGTGATAGTGTGCAAGACGTGATTTGAATTGTAAGGGAATTGTTGACACCAACGTCGAATTCGCACATAAGCGACCCATTGTCTAAACTGTCTGCCACTGCGAATGGCAACACGTTCCTCGCTAATCGATTTCAGGGTGGGAAAAGAAGGGCCAACGTCGACCTGTCACGACAGCACTAGGGTCTGTGCTCGCTGTCTTAGTCCGTGGGAGGTATTCAGGAGACAGGATCTCGTGGGAGTGTCCGACTTCTCCAGATTCCTCTTGTCACACGAGACAAGGCCCCTCGGTTCTACCTATGATATAAGTGGGCTTGTACTGTGAATCCGCTGTGAGCATTGGGAAGGCTCAAGGGATGCACTTGAGGACCGGAGATCTCGTCCAATTGTACTTGCACCCTTGGGTTTCGCCTCTTCGCAGCGGAACAGTACCACTGTATAGTCTTAAACGATGATGGGTCGTCCTTTGCTGTGGCCGCCACGGTCGATGCTCTCGCTGAGTAGTCAAAAAAACGGATAGACTTGCATCCCTCAACATCTGACAACCACAATACCCTACCTCGCGAATGTGGAAGGTACCTTGAACGAGTTCCAAGTGGATGGGTATTTGGGCGACTTCTGTTGGCGGGTCTATTCTCCCTTTCATGGGGCTACCCAAGGAATAGGTATTTTGTTCCACTGAGCTTCAAGCCATGCCCTGTACTGCGTTGAGAACTTCACAGGCATATGATACACCTGAATATCGCCGATTTGTCGACCGAAGCTGCTGCAGGCAGGCGTGGATGGTAAGGCCTGACATGTTCGTTCAGGCGCAGAGCGCAAAACTGACAAATATGCCGAGAGTGGCGCAGGTGGCGCAGGTGGCTGAGCAAAACTCGATTTTGTGCGATGACATTCAATGCGACAAGGGACTCACCAGCCTGCAATCCTGCCTTGTCTATACCCGCAACTCTGTATCTCTGCGTCTTTGGCCATCTTCAGCTGATCGGACGGAATTTTCAGAGAGATGACCAGCACAGGCAGGTGTCTGTCTGGGCAGCTCGTCCTCAAATGGGGCTGGAAAGGATGCAACGCTAAGCAATACGGGGGCTGCGACTAATCTGTCGTCCGATCGCAACTCGAGAAGAGAGGATGGGAGATGACAAGGAGATGACACTTTCAGGCACTGTCGAAACCCCTCTCGCCCTTTTGCCGGGGGACCATTCTGCCGGGCTCGAGACGGCAGTTGATGGGGCTCATCGGACGTTGAATCTCATTGATCTGTCATCCCCAGGCACGGATAAGACCCGTTGATCAATGCCGTCCAGTTCCCTTGTGGGTGTGTCATCAGAAAACCCCCACGACGATGAGATAGACGCGTGTGGAAGCAAGAATGAAATGGTAATATTGTGTTCTTCCCCCATTCCCCGTCAACTCGTATAAGGAAGTATAATCTCTTCTCTGCTGGTTGTCTCGCCTTGTTTCTGGAAAAGGCCTCTCATGTCCTAGACCTCGATTAATCTGTCAGCAGCAGATGTCACCATCCCTTCCTACCCTGATTCTCTGCCATGGCGCCTGGCACACCTCAGAATATTGGAACACGGTCATAAACGACCTCGAACAAAAGGGCTATAAATGCATAGCGCCGACAATCATCTACAATGGTGGAGAGAAGCCGGTCCCATCGATGGCACCTGTTGTGGCTGCTCTGCAAGAAGTCATCGCCGATGAAATCGGGCTGGGTAACAATGTAGTCTTGGTCAATCACTCCATGGCTGGTATGACAGGTTGCAGCGCTGTCAGGGGCTTCACAAGAAAGGACCCATCAAAACGCAGAAGTGACAACTCTGGCTATGTCACAGGGTTAATCCAGATCACTGCGTGGACACCAACCATACATGAAACTTCTCTGGCCGATTTGAGCGAGGACTTTGCACGAAGACACCCGGAATTCAAGATGGCTCGAATGAAGACCAAGATCGACGACGAAGGCTGGTCCGAAGTGCAGGGCGAGCCTGCAGAATACTTCTACAACGACATGCCTCGCCACGACGCAGACAAATGGAGCTCCAAGCTCATCAAATTCTCGGCTGTAGTGCGGAATGCACGGGATTCTGTCTACGCCGGATGGCAAGACGTGCCCGTCTGGTATCTGATATGTACCGTCGACAATGCGATCAAGAAAGAGCTGCAAGAGGATATGGTGCAGACATGCCGAGCACTCGGTGCCAACATCACGACGAGGGAGTGCGAGGCTGGTCACTCACCGATGCTGAGTAAGCCTGGGGAGACGGTGGCCTTCATTGAGGATGCTGTGAGAGCGTTTGGAAGTGTGTCCGCTTAGATGTGGTATCTCAACCAAAAGGTTCACCAGTAGTAAAGAGTGTCAGTTAGCGGTGAAGGACATGGCTAACAGTAGGAACATATGCATGTCATATTATCTGGCAGCAGCCGGTCGATCGTAGAGTCGACTCAAAGGCGTGATTGAGCCGAACGTTCAACGGCTTATCGAGTCTGCCAGACGATAAAAAGGTAAATAGCCTTAGTTCTTCCTTGATGAAACGCACGAGAAAGCCTCTTTCATGAGTCGGGACGGAGATTTTGTCGTTTATCAGGACCGACCATCCGGCTAGCCTCAGGAACAGAAAAAAGTGGCACAGTCTGACAGATGCCATCGTGCCTAACGAGGTTACCTTTGAGTCAATAGTGAATCGCTCCTTGATGGTATTTCTTGTCAGACTGTGCCACTTATCTTGGACATCGGCTCGCCGGGTCCTTTCTTGGCCAGTTTCGGCATTTCTAGAGGTCAGCTCAAACCCCTGGCCAGCTGAAACCAAGAGCATGGTGAGCCACTGCGATCTCAACCTGTCTGACGTATACGCGAGGGATTGAACAAAAGTTCAGCTCGTCACGCCCGTGCAAGCCAAATGTGGGCAATATCTGATGGACATTTCAGCCACAGGGACAGTTGTAGGATTTTCCTGACACGTGGCTGCTGTGCCGTGTCTTTCGCACAGCTTAGAGTACGGTCGGTTATGATCTCTTAAATTTGTCCATGTGTACCAAGGTGATGAATGAGTCTTGACAGAGAACAACACTCCACGACGTGTTTAGACCAAGCACTGACCGGGTGGGGGAGCATTGGGATCTGCGGTTCGCTAAATCACGAGCTCTTTGACGATGCTTGTGAGGAAGAGGAGAGAAGAGAAAAGGTACAGAGCATCGAAGACAAGGCGACTTGTTTGTAGTTTGGGGCTATTGTATAGGCAGCACATCTGATGATCTTCCCAACCCATCTCTTTGAAATCGCGGCTGAGCCAGTCCCTGCATAGTGAGGAATGGCGTGGGGATAGCCCAAGTCCTACCCGCACTCAGCACCAGGCACTCTTGGGCGATCGAAACTTGGCACAGGCTGCAGGAGCCCAAAAGGTTATTGCTTAGAACTGGAGTCAGCGCAGGTTGCTTGACCGGCGGGCGAAGGGGGATCGGAGAGCAAGATACAGCGACGGGCACGGCAATGTTGTCGTCTTCTTTGCCGCCTGACCGCCTGATTGTGCAGGGGATGTTGGGCTCTGAACGCGTTATCCACGCACATGTGAGTAACCGTAGGAATGAACAGAAGCGTAGCGAGATGTGCGGTGTACGTGGATAGAAGATCCTCAAAGATGTCATGATTGAACCGAAAGAGCAGGGGGGTAATGACTACTGCTCCGGCGGTAAGTTCAACAGGCTGTGGATGGATGGGTAGCAGGCAACCTCGCAAGCAATGATTCGAGAGGGACAGATAAGGAAGCCCCAACAATCTAGGGGGCGGCTGGGGGCGCATGGGTCTGTTTACAGGCGACCTTTCTGGCTGATGAGGCTGTTAGGCTGTTAGGCTGTTAGGCTGCGTGGCTGCTAGGCTACTAGGCTGCTGGTTGCTGAGGGGCCCTTAGCAGTGATGCTTGGGTGCGCTTGTTTATGAGACTCACAATAGGCCCCCGACCCTTTCCCCGGGGGTGGGTGCCAGGACTGCGTAACTGTAACAACAAAGTTGTGCATTCGTCCGCATTTCTTTAACGCGACCTGCTCCCCTGAAACAAAGCCCATTCCTCTACTGTTCTCACTATCCTTTTGTCCTACCATCTTCCATCAACAAAACTATCATCACCAATCATCTCTCATAGCTTCGGTTGGCCAGGAGTGACGGTCGAAGCCCACCCACGCAACACGTATCCAATCTTTCCGTGGCAGTACCGTATCGCGCAGCGCAGTGCAGCACAGTGTAGTGCAGTGCAGGTGTCTGGAGGCCCGCGCCAGTGTCTTAGCCACATCCACACTAAACTCACCCCGAAAAGGTGCTTCCCTGACAATCATCTCTCAACCTCTTCCTTTAAACATCCATCTCCGTCCTACACTCCCCTTCTTCCCTCATCCTTGCGCCAGCAACCTCATCATATCCGTCAAAGATTGCTGAACCGCCGGCCTTTCCTTGACACCCTCATTTCGGTTGTCCTTTCAGAAACCTTTTCTGACACTGTCCGCAGCAGCCGTTATGGCTGAGATCCGTCGCAAGCTCGTCATCGTTGGCGATGGTGCCTGTGGGAAAACTTGTTTGTTGATGTATGATCATCACCCAAACATCGACTCGTGGCAATTCAATTACTGACTGCTTCTTACTACAGTGTCTTTTCCAAGGGCACATTCCCTGAGGTGCGCAATACAACATGACACAATCCCAATCCCTTCGATCCATCCATGTGATGCCTATCAACGCCCCCTCCATCGAGACAAGGATGAAAGGAGCTGGATTCGTGCAGACACAGCTGACATCTGATTACACCAGGTCTACGTCCCCACTGTCTTTGAAAACTACGTTGCCGATGTCGAGGTCGATGGAAAACACGTCGAATTAGCCCTATGGGATACGGCTGGCCAAGAAGATTACGACCGTCTTCGACCTCTATCCTACCCGGACTCTCATGTGATCCTCATTTGCTTTGCTATCGACTCCCCCGACTCGCTTGATAACGTTCAGGAAAAGGTATGATCTCGTGGTGGAAACATCATCCGACAATCGAGCTGACAAAATGATCAATAGTGGATTTCCGAGGTCCTTCACTTCTGCCAAGGTCTTCGTATCATCCTCGTCGGTTGCAAGTGCGATCTGCGACACGACCCCAAGACCATTGAAGAGCTGGCAAAGACATCTCAGAAGCCTGTCACCCCGGAACAGGTACGTTTCTCGGCACCGGAGCTCCGTTCAGCTGATTGCATCGAGGGCTAACATGAATTGATTTCAGGGTGAGGAGGTGCGCAAGAAGATTGGTGCCTACAAATACCTCGAGTGCTCGGCCAAGACCAATCAGGGTGTCCGCGAAGTCTTCGAGTCTGCCACCCGTGCCGCCCTGTTGACCCGCAAGAGCGGAAAGAGCAAGAAGTGCTTGATCTTGTAGATCAAAGCATGCCATCTTCCTTGTTGCCAATCACATGGCCCGCACAAATCCCCCGACATTATACCAGGATATCGCCAGAGGGATCCTCAGATGTCAAATCAAGGACTTGCAATTTCTTGCTCCGGCTTTACCAAGGATCTGGGTTGGCGGCTTGACTGTGCTACTCTTCGGGCGCTGATACATTAGTTTTGTTTCCTTACCGAGCGAAGGATGGATGGGTTGATGATTGTGGCAATACAAAGAATTGCACAGAGGCCAGGGATGGATCAGATTCGGATGGTACTGGCAACATGACGGCGTTTCCACAGTCGAGACATGTCGAGTCATCATCGAGATAGGCAATCCATTCACGGCGTTTTGTCCTCAGGCTTTCGGTTTCTACAGTCTAATCTAGCACTTCTACATCCCATTCCAAGTTGGTTGTACTAAGGGGATTCTCGAGCAATGCAATCAGATAATGTCCAATCACTTCCTTACAATCTCGGTAGCAAGAAGGGGTTGTCAGACAGCTTCCGAGGTTTGGCCTGGAGACTCCGATTTGCTCAGGGCGTGACCTAGAGATCTGGGCATATGCTGGTGCCTCTTGAAACATCTTAAGCTGGCTAACTCGGTCTTTGGGGTCGACGATAGCTGCTCTGCAGACCGCACGGAACACTTATTTTGTCATCTCTGATCCCGGAGGACAACATCCGCTGGAATTCACCCTCGTGTACTCGGTACATGCAAGGCTCTCACGTAACAGACGAGTATTCAACAATCAATCATGTCGTCGCTGTGGCACGTGCCCTTCTTCGAAATCTGAAACCAGGCTAACAGGATTAATATCACGTGCGATATGCAGCCTCGCCAATGACGTAGACCCGCCACTGATAGGCTGGAACTGAATCCTCTCAGAAAGCGAGCCGCAGCCAGGTGTTTGCAAACGCTCGCAGGATCTGAAGTCCAGAAGATTGGTGGTCCGACATGATCAGCTAACATTCGTCCTCTTTGATGTGTGACAATTGAGCATGGTGCTCATTGTGACACACCATAGAAGACGCTAGTTCTGTTCGCGATGTCCGCTCGTACTGTTATCCCAGCTCACTTATCCTACCTCGCGATATACAATCCATCTCTTGGACCAACCGATGAGACCTTGCGTGACCAGATTGTCTTCTACTATTCGCACGATGTCGAGGCGGAGCGTGAGAAGCAGGCAAAAGGGAAGGGTGCAGCGGAAGGAAAACACCATCCAAACTCAGAGCAGGATAACTCGCCCAATGGAAACCAGAAGGAGGAGCAGGAGGCAGAGGAGAATCTCAGATTGCGGCAGGTCGGGCTAGCACAAGGTATGGTGAACTTTGCAAAGTACGTGGGCAACCGTTATCGCCTCACAGCAGCAGCTGTTCAACGGGCAGTATGATCTGACTTCTCTCCGGCTTTGTAGGAATTTCTCGAACGGCGTCCCTCTCGAGTCCCTGGAGACAGAAAGGTCTCGCATTGTCCTGAAAGAAGTCGAACCTCAGTGGTGGATTGTTGCCGCTGTCCACCTAACCCAATTGCCTGCCATCTCACGATTGCCCTCGGGAAACAAACCATCTTCAAAACCAGGAACCACCATCGGCTCAGGTGGCACCGCTTCCAAAGGAGACGTTGAATACTCGTCGCGGGAAGTTGCACCGGCACCTCTGCTGCTCACACAGCTTATACAAGGCTACCGTGGGTTTTTACTTCACCACGCAGCCTCCTTGTCTGAGCTGTGGAAAAAGCACGAGCACAATCGAGACCTGTTCTGCAGCCTTTTACATAGGTACTGGACGCGTTTCATCTGGAACTGGGATGTCCTCTTGCACGGCCATCCTGCGACAGACATCTATGACGCCGTTAAACTCGCCGGTGGAGGAGAGCTCGGTGTTGGCGTTGGCGAAGAAGAGTGGGGAAGTGGTGAGAGAGAAGTGCTGGAGGAGTTTGCGCGCCGGACTGAGGGACTCGTCGATCTTATCGTTGGGAGGTATGGTGATGCTCCCCCGACCCGCATACCCGGAGATGTGAACGCAGAGCCTGCTTCGCAAGAACCGCAGCCTTGGTTGGGCAATGGTGAGGATTCGAGGGCCGATGATGGAGTTATATTTTCTGGGGTCGATGGTATCTCACGGCCTTCTCTAATCACATTGTCCCAGTGGATGGAATCCATCTACATGCATGGCGATGCAGCTTACGGTGTGGGTGAGAACCCAGCATCCCGACTTAAGCATCGCAGCAAAAGACGGAAGTTAGACAAAGGCAGACCTCGAGAGCCACACTCAGACCGAACGAAGCAGCAAGCGCAAGCGTTCCATCCCAGAGTGAAGTCCCCCGGAGGCAGACCGCCGGACCTACGCCGTAAGGCGATTGAGAACAACGCCACACCACCAGGTATCCCGCCACCTCTTGTTAGCGCCGTAGAGCGATCATTAGACGACGCACTGGCCAAGTTAGATGCGAAGTCTACCAACTTGAACGACGACCGCAGCCATGAAGGAGATGAGGACCCGAACCCTGCGGCCTCTGAACAGGCATCCATGTTCAACACGGAGAAGATGATGAAGTATCTCAGTCTTGGTTATGGCACTAGCTGGACGCTGAATCCCAAGGGGTTCGGTGCCGACAAGACGCCCCAAGATCTAGACGACAAAGACCTTGGTCAGGACACAGGTACAGGTCAGAGTACAAAATCAGTGGCTGAACAATTGCAGGAACTTGATCCCACTCCAGAAGTGAGCGACGAGGAAGAAACACCATTCGTTCAGCGGCTTGAAGAGTCCATTGGCAAGTTCCTGATAGGTCTATCTGGCGACCTGGAGAATGCAGAATTTGAAGGCGAATCCAACGATGAAAGATCTGAAGCCAACTCCAGCAAGTCGAGGTCACCATTACACACTTTGTCAAACCGGATATTCCTCCGCACCTTGGTCGTTGAGATGTCCAGTTCCAGATTCTCCCAACAGGATACGGATTTACGTCCTTCATGGTCACAGTCGACTAAGAACGATGTGGATGCAGAGTTAGGAGAAGGCAAGACAAGTGCGTCGGCATCTGTCGATGGCGTTCGTCCCATCGTCACACACGAAAAGGTTCAGGTTGCGGTCTATGTTCACCAGCCATTCATCTTCGTCTTCTTATTCCGGTTGCACACACCCAACCTGACCATGCCTGGGTTTTACCGCGCGATACACCACACTTTAGGCCCATTGCAAAAGAGTCTTCTGAGATGCACCGATCCGCAGCGTTGGAGGGAACGAATGAGAGCGACCTTGGGCCTGGACGCAAGTGCAATTCCGGAGAATGAGGATAGTCCAGAATCACCTGACACAACCGATGCCACTGAAATATATGACCTTCTGTATGATCCCCTGAAATCAACGCTTCGAACTTCAATTCCCAACATCCCGCTTCCAGGCAGTCTTGCGGCTGAGGGCCTGCATCGGGCCCCGCAGAACCTCCGCCCAATCACTGTTTCGGGTTCATGGTACACCCTTGGGATACCCATGGGATCATCAACAGCGAGCGGTGCGAGCGGTTCTAGTACGACAAGGATCATCAAGAGTGACTGGACCCGCATCGAGGCTCTGAACGTTCACACTCATATACTCAACGCCTGGGTTTCAACTCGCGACAAGGACGCTGGTATTTTCCATGCTGGGCCAAACAGCGAGGAATTGGAAAGGACGATCAAAACAGCAAGAGGCTGGTGGATAGTGTGGATGAAAGTCTTGCCTTCGGGGCGAAGGGGAGATGGTGGTGATAACATTGTAACAGGATTGACAAGTCAAGACAAAGTAACCCCTCTTCCCGCGGCCGAGGGAGTGGCTCTGGAGAGAACTGAGGAGCTTTCCAAAGAAGCCATTCTCGTCAGAAGATCCTCTCATGAACGCAATTCGACAAGCACAGACACGTCCCGGTCTAGATCCGAGTCTGGAACTTCTCGCCTTTCTGGGAAATGGCTCCTCCGTGATCAACCCCGGACACGAGAAGTCAGCGGTAGTGGACGTGGAATTTCTGGCGTTGTTGGAATCCCTGGAAGTACGACTGCGAGGGGCGTCACCGAGGGTGTGGGAGTGGACGCTAGAAAGTGGGTTGAAGCGTTGATTCGACTGAGTTTTTGAAGCGTTATCAATAGTCCCGGGGGGTTAAAATATTCACACCTTGCATGCACGAATGGTCGACATGGTCAAGGTACGAATAGTCCGGCGCTTCGTCCTCCCAAGCGAGGTGACAGTGAACACAGTCTGCACGAAATGGATTGCATAGTTGTCGACCAAGAGAAATCCTAAGAGGACCCCCTTTCGGACCCAGTAGGCACGAATTCAAAAGGCAGCAAAATCATGACCGGTCTCCCAGGATCCAAGTCGTCGTCATTGGAGGCCCTGCCTGCGCAGAATGCAACGGTCGTCTAGATTCGAAGTTATCACGTCCTTGCAGAGAGGTATCAGACATGGATGGGCGACGACCTCCTCTCCTTGACTAGTTGCATTACTGGTTGAGCAACACGAAAAGCACGCCCGATACCAGGAACAGCCTAGATGCCATGAGGAACCGGGGTTGGGAAAATGGATGTCCGCGGAGGCGGTGCGAGGCGATGCTTGGTGACGACGCTGCTGACTGGATGCTTTGCCCCCTGATATCGGCCGCCAAACGGATTATCCATTACCTTTTCGATTTGGTGGAGTTGTGTTTCCGCTTTGGCATTCCCAGACCGCCCAGGCTTGCGAGCGACAGCCCACGCTACCATGCTTCACTCTGCATGAACCCCAGTCCTGCAGAGGGTGCGTGCGGAGCTCTTAGTCCCTGTGATGAGCTACCCGTATAGCACACACCTCCGTCCAGCTTGCAGGCCCCTAATCAGTGGAATGATTGCTTTGCCTCTCTGGTCGTGGTGCTCGTCTGCAAGTCCTGGGTATTTTCCAAGGGGGATAAAGCTTCCAGGATCGTCCAGCATGGTTCTTTTCTCTCCTCGAACACGAACTCTGACCTTGGTTTAACTTTCATGCCTCATTCTCGAGTGCAGCTCCCCGGTCAACCACCTACGAGCTCTGCCAACCAACCAGTCGTGATGCCATCAATCACAATGCCAGGGCCCTCGGCTATGATGGGAGAGAACACAGGCCCTGACGGCTTCCCGCCTCCAAATACACAACGTCCAACCAAGAAGAATGCTTCTATTGCCTGCCAGGCCTGCAGAGCCTCAAAGCGAAAGGTAAGCCAAACATTGTCTGCCGGCCAATAATCCTCGCGTGTCCAATTCGTGCAGCCACCAATCGACCTAATATTGTCGTTAGTGTGATCAACGTCAACCGTGTTCGAATTGCCAAACGAACAATAGGACGTGTATCTATGACCCATCACAAGATGGAAGAAGAAAGCAAGCCCGCAAGAGAAGGCTTGACGAACTCGAGCTTCGAAGTCACGCTCTTGACAGGATCCTGATCAGTCTCAGGAACTCGTCAGCCCCTGAATCACGACAGTTGCTCGAACTCATCAAGCGGGATGCTCCTCTCGAGGAGATTCTTGAGTTTCTTGACGCTCATCCCGGCCCCGTGGCGAATGAGACACGGAGGGCTCTCTCTGCCACGCCTCCTCCAGATGGCGGCGGCGGGATACGCCGTATGCTCGCAATCAGTGAGCTGGCTGACGATCCAACTTTCAGGGTTCCTGCGGCTCCCTGGACCACCGTTACCAAAGATGACCAATTTGTCTCCCATCTGGTGTCGGCCTACCTAAATTGGTACCACTTTTATTACCACAACTTTGACGAGAAGTTGTTTCTTGATGCTATGGTTGCGAAGAATCTACAGTCACCTTACTGTTCACCATTCTTGGTCAACGCCGTGCTTGGAATGGGATGTGTGGGTGTCTTGTCGACGCGAAGCGTGCGAGAGCACAGGTGCTGACGACAATGGACAGTTCTTTTCAGACCACCCTATGGCCTTTGCGACGCCCGGGGACGCGAGCTCACGAGGACTTCATTTTTACAACGAAGCCCAGCGGCTTTGGGCAATAGAAGCGGCCAAACCAACGCTGACCAATATTCAAGCCTTCACTATTATGATAATGACGTGAGTTGGAGCCCTCGCGGTTTGGCCGATACACCCGTTGATATACTGAATTAGGTCAGCTTTCTCCGGCAAAGACAGAGTGAGCCTTACCTCTTTGAAACAGCTCGAAGTCATGATGCCCCAGCTTTTTCGTCGACACCAGAAATCGCCGGAGGTGTCTGAGGATCTGCGACGGTCCTTCCAGATTGTCGAGTGGGCGGCGCACATATATTCAACGTGAGCATGAAAACCCCTCTATCAACATTTGAGCACTCGATTGACGTGTTCATCAGGGGCTTTGGTACGGGGTTCCTTGTCCCCCCACTGAGTCCAAAGCCTTCCTTGGAAGCGCCATATGCTTCCGAGAGTTGGCGCAACCGTCTCACATCATGGTCACCTTATCCCATGGCTGGAGATCCTGTACGGCTGCCACTCCAAGCTCTATATCACTACATGTGCGAGCTGTATATTTTTGCGAGCGATGTCCAGTCTCTGATCTTTGCCGACTATGCCAAAATGGATGCGGTAGAACGGCTCCACGCGGCTCGGGATATGGACAAGAAAATGTTGGAATGGTATGGATCTATACCTCAGCAATTTCAGGTGGACGACCCAGATTTCGTTCTGGTACCGACAACGATCGACTTAGCGTACAGCACCCCTGACCCATCCGTCTTGGTTGACGTTGATATGCTGACATCTACACCAGATTGAGCCTTCATCATTTCCGGCTGCATTTGTGGAATTGGACGATCCCGCTGCCCCAGAGTGCCATAAAGGCCAACGCCGAGCCAACACAGGATTCAGCGGCAGCAGGAACCGAATCAGCTACACTTCGCCCTAGTCAAGACGAGCTTGCGCAGGTCACGCGCGAAACAAAGGATATGTGTCTGCAAATCACGACGGTCACGATACACATCATCCAGAGAGCAGATGCAAGGTACGGGCCCCGGTTCTTCACTGTATTGACGCCACAATCTGGTATCCTCGCCGCCAGTTTCCTGCTGTCTGGCAACCTCAATTCTGCGGTCGAGGAGGAACTGCTGCTGGAGATCATGCGAGCCCTGGTAGGATGCTCGAGGCAGCGACAACTGGTCAAGGGTGTCACGCACATGTTACTGAAAACAGCTGAAGACAAGGTCGCTGCCGTCGGGGACGGACCTACGCCTCCCGGCGGTGTTAGTCAAGCTCTCCTTGAGAAGCTGACGGTCATTGTGAAGGACCTTGCCTGGACAGGCCATGAGCACCTTACCTTCAGCTCCAAGTACCCCAATCATGTACTTATCAAGGAGGATCCGGATACCGAGTTGAGTCAGTTGCTCGAGAAATGGGCAGACATGGGCTTGAACGAGAAGAAACCTGGTGAGGGCGCCGGGGTTCCTGGCGACAGCGACTCGACGGACAAGGAACGGAGTGATGGATGATGGGGGTTGGATAAATCAAGGCGATCGAACAGACAGACCACAAGGAAAAGTCTCTCATACGATCGCTCCACGGGAATGCGATTATAGCTCTCGTTCCCTCTTTTCCTCCTTACCTCCTTACCTCCTCTGCCCAACCACCCTCTGGATAGAATGGCAAACTCTCGGTAGGCAGCATATCTACCCGCTCGGCAGACAAACGAGGAACGATTCAACGGGATCCCGTTGGCCGTGGACGGTTGGTGTCCCGACATCACGACATGATGATATCATCTCCATCCACTTCCAACTCTCCAAATACTTCTACCATGCACACCAGACAAACCACAAATTCCCTGCGAGAACAGACGGAAAACCCCCCTAACTGTGCTGATATGTTGCTTTGTGTGTCCTTCTCCAGGGTCTAGTTAGGTCTCTACCCTCCTGGCTGTTATCGGACTTGTCTCTGTCGATTCTCTTCGAGGGAGGCACTTTATGATCGACGGACAATGGCAGAGCTGACGCTGTCCGAGAACCGGTCCAAGTTGAAAGACTTTATTGCCGTACGTATAGTCCGATTGTGTTTGCTTGTCCCTCTCTGTCCCCTTGGTTCTGTGATACTGGCTCTTTTTTCCCGCTACCCTCCCCCACCAACCCTTCCTGAGATCATCGATCAGGGGAGGGGAGGGGGGAGGGGGACAGGGAAGGGAAAATAGAGCCACCACGGCCTAGAACTTTCCCAGTTTCTGCACCGTATTGGTGTCCTGTTGGGGAAAAAAACAAAATTGCAATTCATCTCGCATGGCCCGAACATATCCCACTCACTGACAAGTGATGCTCCCGTTCAAACAGTCCATCGCCACCATCCGCGGCGACCTCTCCAACATCACCGCCCCGCCATTCGTCCTCGACACCAAATCGGCCGTCGAACTGCCTTCGTTCTGGGCCGAGAGACCCTCCATCTTCGTGGCTCCAGTGGCCGCACAAGATCCCGCCGAGCGAGCTTTGCTGGTGCTGAAATGGTTCCTCTCGTCCCTGCGCAATCAGCAGTATGCGGGTAGGTCGCCGGCCGAGGGCGTGAAGAAGCCCATCAACGCTTTTCTCGGCGAGCTGTTCCTGGCCAGGTGGGAGGACGACGACGACGGCCGAGATGGAATTGGAGTGACGAGGATGGTCAGCGAACAAGTCAGGTATGTTTGTGGCCGTCCCTTCCTGTCTTTCTTGCTCTTGGTTTGCCCCCTATCTCTTCTATTTTCTCTCCGTCGTTGGTATTCGTCGCTGCAGGCATCTCTCTGATTTCTCGCAAGTCATCACCCGCCTGTCACTGCATGTCGGGTTTGGAACGAGAAACACGGCGTCACGGTAAGCTTGTCCCTCGTGTGTCTTTCTTCTCCGCAACCTCTCGTTTGGATCTACTATCCAAAACGATCTACGGCGGTGGTTGTTGTCCCGAAAAAACACAACACGTTCTCACATTCCCTTTGGCACCCAGGCAGAGGGCTATACCCGCCAGGAAATTACCTTCAGCGGCAACGTCAACATCCAGCAGATCGGGCACGCCACGCTCCATCTCGCGCACCACAATGAGACATACCTGGTTCCGCTGCCCAACATCAAAATCAAGGGCCTTTTGACCGGCTCGCCCTACCCAGAGTTGCAGGGCACACACCACATCCCCTGCACGAGCGGGTACACTTCCACCATCGACTTTAGCGGCAGGGGTCTCTTCTCGGGCGCGGACAGGAAACATAGCTTCGAGGCCAGTGTCTATCGTGACGACCGTCACAGTGACGAGGACGAGGAGGAGGGCCATGCTTCTCCCATTTACACCGTCTCGGGCCACTGGGATGGCCAGTTCGTGATCCGCGACCCGAGGCAGGACGTCGAGCTCGAGACGTTTGACGTCACGACGGCCGCGACCACGCCGCTCGTCACAGACCCCATTCCGGAGCAAGATCCATGGGAATCCCGACGTGCGTGGCGCGAAGTCCGCGAGGCCCTGCAGCGCGGGGACATGCAGGGCGCGGCGGACGCAAAGGCAAGACTCGAGAACGGGCAGCGCGAGATGCGCAAGATGGACGGCGACGGTGCGGACTGGCAGCGTCTGTTCTTCGAGCCTGCCTCCCGCGCATCCGAGGTCGCCGTATCGCTAGCACAAAAGGTCGGACTGGTTCTCGACCCCGAGCACACGGTCGCGGCGTGGTCGTTCCGGCGCGACGAGTGGGACGGGGGGGGACTCCAGAAGCCATATCACGGGGACTTGAGGCCGGACAATTCACACGCCGCTGGCAGTGGTATTGGTGACGGTTCTGGTGCCGGTGAAGGCGAAGGCGAAGAGAAGGACGACATCATCGTCAATGGAGTCACTTCTCCCTCCGACTCGCCCTCTCTACCTACCTCTCCATCTATTCCTCCCCCTCCTCCACCATCGCCACAACAGCAGCGGCGGCGGCAGCAGCAGCAGCAAGGGCAGCAAGGGCAGCAAGAGTCTCCAGATCTTGCAGAGTCAGAAACAGAGGTGAAGGCCGATATAGAGCAACAGCAACCCACGACGATGACCGCGCGAGAAAAGACCTTGGTCGAACGGTTCCTCCGAGATCGGTACTCGAGCGATAAGCGGTGAACTTGGTCAGCTCTGTTTCAAAGCGACGTATCGTCTTCTATCATCACCAATTCGATCAGAGGTACGCAAGTATGAGGTATGTGACATGAGGTACACTCGTCCGTTACGCAGTCGGGATCGGGTTTCTGATCGAACAATTTCCCTCTGGCTTACCCCCCAGCGCGAGTAGGATGCGTGTGTGTGTGTGTGTGTGTGTGTGTGTGTGTGTGTGTGTGGGATACTCTATACATACATACATACATACATCCATACGTCTGTCCTCGTTTGCTCTGCACCGTGCATTATGCACCATGTCCTGTATAGATATCTGGAATATCTAGATTCATGTATTGACAGGATAGTAGTTCCCGGTCACGCACCCTGGGCCCATACTTTGTATTCTTTTATTCTCATCTCTGTTTCTGTTTCGAAGTTCTTTTTTCGTTAGACGACCTTTAAGCAACCGCGCGTTGTGTCGCGGTCACCAACGCTATGGGATCGGCTGGCTGGTCGGTCGATATCTATCTGCAGAGGAGGGATCTAGGAGGAAAGGAAAAAGACATTCATTCACTGCATTCATTGCTCGGATTATTCCGTTACCCAGACACTCAAGACACCTGGTGATATTACCTCCTAGTACCTCGCTGGTGGACGATTCCAGAAACCCCACCTAACCCGACTCGCTTGCTCGCTTGCTAAGAACGGACAGTAAGAAAAAAAAAGGGGAAAAACAGCTATTCTGCCACTTCCTCCTGCACCCTGACGATTTCCCTGCACATCTTCAAGAACCTCTCGCGGTACTCGGGCGCCGTGGTGGTGATGCTCATGGGGCCCTTGTCGTCAATCATCCTCCACGCGTTGATCAGCATCGTCATGGTCTTCGCGTGGACTTTGTGCTTGGCCCAGAAAAAGTCGAGAATCACGGCGCGGAACAGCCACTTGTCGTCCTGGCTGGGCACGCCCGTCCGCCAGTTCGGCGGGTCGTTGAAAGGGTTCTGGCTCGCGTCGATCTCCACCGACGACTTGGGGATCCTCACCAGCATCAGGCTGTAGTCGACCGCGTTGTGCGTGGCCAGGAGTTCCGTGTCGTGTTCGAGGAGTTGGAAGAATTCATCGGCCTGTTCGCGACTCAACAGGATCTTGTCGTCGAACTTGTCGGCGAGTTTGGACTTGGTGGCCTCCGAGGCGAGTTTGCCGCCAGCAATGTCGCGCTCCGGGAAGAAATACGACATTGGCTTCAGATCAAAGGTCTGCCACTTGGAATCTTCCTTCTGGCCGTGCAACAGGTTCTCCATGACGAGATGGTAAGTCGGGGTAATCCTAAGGAGGCCACCGATGCTCGGGTAACGCCACCCAAGGAAGTCGGTGATGCGGACGAGGAGCGACTTGGGGTGGGACTCCATGTGTGACACATAAGGCTCGAGCAGTTCGTCTCGGAAGAAGGTGTGCTCGAAGTGACGAGGGATGGATTTGATGAGGAATCTGTTATCTGTCGTATTGAAGAATGTCTGCAAGACGTCCTTGTTAGTGTTTACATTTCAAGATGGAAGACATTTGCACATACCGATCCCGAATAGCCCATGTCACCCTTCGACACGAGCGAGGCCCTGTCCCTGAAGCTAGCCCGATACTCATCGTCTGACAGAAGCCATGTCCTATTTCTGAGCCTCTTGAACAACTCGGGGCGAAGTCTGATCAAGAGCAGGCCGTACAGAGCGAAGAAGGTCTTGATAGGACGCCATAGTCTGACCCGCTTCTCTGCCTCGTCGTCTTGTTGGATAGCAAAGACGATTGAGCGCGAGATCTTCTGGTCTCGACGGCTTCCCATGGCTTGACAATTAAGCTTTCCACTCCGAGAGTAGTAATTGACGTAACTGGGTGTGTTGGAAGTAAGTGCCTGGAAACAGATATATTTCAGGGAAAGATTGACGCCAAACAACGGTGACGTCAGTGACAATGATACTAGACACAAGGCTGCGCTAGACTGTTTTTGTCGCAGCAAGGCTGACCGACATTGACTGCGGTTGGCCAAGGCGCAGTCTCGATGATTCGACGGAAAGCCTGGATGCGACCAGACAAGCCCAGGTAAATAACTGAATGACCAGGCCTAACTGCAAGGCTGGATTGGCTTGCCAGTACTCACTCTCTCTCACTCTTTACCCGAGATCTGGTTAACCGAAATACCTCTGCACCCGAGTCGCAGACCTCGGTTACACACCCTCTACTTACCCCACAACCCCGGTCAAGGCTTCCCCGATCAAATAACGGGCTGGGAGGACTAGCCGAACAAGAGGGAACTTGCTCTGCCCACAAAGATTTTCTATCACATTAACAGTGACGGAGTTGGAGGATCGCTCATCCTGCCTTTCTATTTGTTGGTATTGTTTAAAAGAACTTAGAGAAGTTACCCTTGCCCGGCATCAGACATCATGGCTAGAATCTATCGCAACCCCGACAAACCTGTTGTTGATGTCCCGAAGGTGGACCTGTTGACCTTGCTGTTTGGTATGTGTCCCACGGTTTAATTTCTGATAGAGAGACGTTGCTGATAACCAGCCAGAGAGTGAACACTGTGCGGCTCAGGACGATACTGTTTTACATCTGGAAGCAGCGAACCCGTCAAACAAGATCACCAAGAAGCAGCTCCGGAACCTCACTGAGCGCATTGCCCATGGTCTACGGAAACATTATGGTGTCGGTGCCAGTGGTCCGAACAAGGATGTCATCACTGTCATCAGCTACGGCCAACCCATGGTGCCAGCAGCCTTTTATGGTACCATCGCTGCTGGAGGAGTTTATTCTGCCGCCAGTCCTTCTTCGACGGTAGCAGATCTGGCTCGACAGGTCAGCGTCGGTACCAGCCGCCTGATTATCTGTGGTTCGGAACACAAAGACGTGGCAACCCAGGCGGCGAAACAGTGCAATCTTCCATTGGAAAGGGTTCTGGTGCTGGATTCCAGTCCTTGGAGCTTGGCGAGTCTAGATGGCCGCATCAATGTCATCTCCGACCAGACCCTGACGTGGGAGCGCGTTACCGATCCCACGGCGTTGAAGAAGAGTCTGATTGTGATTCTATGGTCCTCGGGCACCACGGGTCTTCCCAAGGGAGTCATGATCTCCCACGAAAACCTCGTGCAAGAGTCATTTGTAACATCGGTGGCCGGAAGAGAGTGGGCTGCGAAGCAGATTGCAGCCGGGAAGGAGCTGAAGCCTTACCGGACTCTTGCTCATCTTCCTATCAGCCATATTGCTGGCCTGTTCGGATACCTTGTCGCACCCTTCTATTCGGGCGGGTTGGTGGTGTGGATGCGCAAGTACGAGTGGAACCAACTGTTGAAGTACGCCAAACAGTACGAGATCACTGCCTTCTACACCGTCCCGTCCATATATCTCCGGATATCCAAGGCTCCTGAGGTGAAGGACGCCTTCAAGTCTCTTGATGCCGCGACAACTGGCGCGGCCCCCATGGACGGCGATTTGCAGACTGCTGCAAATTCCAAACTTGGTCAAGGCGAGACCTTTATCGGTCAAACGTGGGGATTGAGTGAGACGACAGGTGCGGTGACTATGATGCCGAGGGGTCAGAGTGATACGACTGGAAGCATTTCCCCGATCCTCCCCAATGTCGAAATCAGGTAAGATGATATTCCGGATTTGTGCCTACCGCTCCTGGTTACTCACTGTTGGTGTAGGATGGTTGACGAAAACTACAACGACGTTGAGCCAGGCCAGGAAGGTGAAATGCTGGTCCGAAGTCCGCTCGTCACGCAAGGCTACTTTAACAATCCCCAAGCGACGAAAGAATCATTCCACGGGGACTGGTTCTGCACTGGCGATATTGGAATTCTGCGGAATGGCAAGTTCTACATCGTCGACAGAAAGAAGGTTCGTTTTTCTAGAAGCAATAGTCCGTCCATTCGAACATTTTGCTCACAACAAATGATTTCTAGGAGCTCCTCAAATACAAGGGCCTCCAAGTGGCGCCCGCCGAGATCGAGAATCTACTCTTCACCCACCCCAAGATCCAGGAAGCAGCCGTCGTCGGCGTCAACATGCCAGACGACCCCGGGACGGACCTGCCACGGGCCTATGTCGTCGCCGACCCCAAGGAGATCAGTGAGGAAGAAATCAAGGACTTTGTCAAGCAGCGTCTCGCGCCGTACAAGCAGCTCCGAGGAGGGGTCGTCTTTGTGAAGGAGCTGCCGAAGAACGCGATCGGCAAGTATCTGCGGAGGGAGCTCCGAGACCGAGCGAAGCGGGAATTGGGCCTGGTCAAGCCGTCGAAGCTGTAAGGGAGGACTATAGACGTAGATACCCTCGGGGGCCGAGGAAGGGTTACTAGTACTTAGTATCTATAGTATATATGGCACCACAAAGAACTCTCTGGCGCTCGCTCCAGCTGGCAATATCAAGGGTTGTCTCCCATGAGGATTACTAGTAGTAGAAGCAATTACATTGAGCTCGCGCCTGACTGACTGACTGGATGAGACAAGTAGGGCTGCTAGTTTAAACGTAAGCTTTCCTTACTCTGTACCCTTCCTTGCCCGTGTCAAGTTGACCGAACATCAGATAGTAGTAATTATCAGATACAGCAACGCTGTGCAGCTATGTAGTCGGTTAAGAAGTGGTAGGTGGCAGGACTAATCGAGGCATTCTCACATAGCCCAAATAGGTAGTTAGTTACTAAGTAGCTATAGATAGTACTAAGGGAGTAAGTAAGAACTTTACGGGGCCCCTAAAAGAGTTTGATACTGTATAGATACTACGGCATGGATAGTACAGTGCTGATGCTGCATGATGCATATCGACGTAGCATCTTGTAAGGTTTAAATTTAAGGACGCATCAGTGTAGCTAATGCGCATCCGAGGGTACAACACATCAGAGCAGCATCAAAACCGTATCGCAATATACCAGTAGATAGTGTAGGGTCTGTTGTGCATTATTAAGAGGTGTACAGGCCAGATTCATCGACAACTTGAAGGTACCTACGCTGGGAATTGATCTCAATCTAAGTCAGTTGAGCTGGATTTGGTCTGGGTTGGGAGGGGAGAGAGGCTGTATCCCCATTCCGATGGTCTTGGCAAGCGGGTTTTGAATCATGCCGAGAGAGGCTGCTTAAAGCGCCTGTATCTGCAGGCTGACACTTGATTCGAATCATCTACCTCGCTCGATTGCTTCCCGGTTGGCCCATCTAGTGTTATGCCTAGTGAGCACTACACTCCGAGTGACTGACCCAGTACATGGGAGTAGGTACACATCGAACTGATTGCAGTAGTACACTCGAGATAGAGCTAACGTCGACTATTTGTTACCCCGTCATGTCCCGTTCTACAGAGTAGAGAACTCCTCGGACGAGAATATGTGGGAGCAACGCTGACAGAGGATAGACACCAAAGGTCAGACTAACTAACTGCTCCTCGATCCTTCATTCCAGCACACTGCTAATAGAGTGTCGAACACCAATTTCGTGCAAAGGGTACATTGTAATATTGAAATGAGTGTGTTGTCCAACAGCACACTTCCGCGAAGTTTTGCCCACTAACTGCCAGAATGAAACGAGTCACGAAATTCGCTCAAAGTGGTCTAGCTGCGCTTCTTCTGGCCTAACTTGGTATTTCCCAAAACGGTGCTGCAATAGCAACTGACTACTGGTACTACTCGCAAAGATTGAATGAAGACAATTAGAATAGTGGTAGAAGACAATTCCGGATCCCATAAGTATATACTTAGTAGCACTCTTTCACAGCTAACTTTGGTCAACTACTTCACCATAGGTCATATACTAAGACACCTAGCAACTCAGGTGACGCAGGGAGCAGCGCTTACACCTGCGTTCCTCAAGCGTTGCGTCTTTGTCGTACCGAAAGATGGGGGGCTGGAGGTTGTTGGGTTACTACAAGAGTTACAAGGATTGGGGGCTATACTTGGGCTTGTTAGTTGTTGGAGGGACTAGCTGCTCGGTCGAATAAATTGAGTATTGTCCCCTGACTCTGTGCTCCCCGCCGCCCCTATGCTTCCCCCTCTCTGGTCAGCAGAATGATGTACTTAACTATATACTAGTACCCTAAAGCAAATGAACAACTATATACACTAAAACGAATACTAACTGCCTCGATATGTCTTACCACTTGTATATAAAATGTGGATCGGAGTCACCCAACTCCGGCTGAGGTGGGATGGGATTTCCAGCCTCCTCTGCGCGCGATAGTTGCTCTCTACGGCCCTTGTTGACCACCTTGATCCCAATCATCATACTCACAATTGCCAGGAACGCCACTCCCGCCATCCCCATGGCGACATACATGCCGCGGAGATATCGAGGTGCCGAGTCACTGGTGAAAATCTGACCAACAGCAACACCCGCCGTGTTGGCGAGGGTAGTTGTAGCACCTAACATGGTCGCTCGTTTGAAATGCCTTGCCACATTGTCATTCAGCCACATCAGGGAAGTACCGGTGTTTGCGTAGATGGCGGTTGCAACAACTGATGGAAATCGCGGTCAGCTTCTTCTTTTTGATATTGGCTCTTGAGCCTGCACAGCTCCGGTGTGCCGGTGGCAATGACAAGACTTACCGAAGCAGCCAAAATATCGAACACCGAGAGACTTGACCGACACCAAGATCGAGTACCCGATGATGAGAACCAGGAGATGAAAGGCGATGAACGGTCCACGATAACCAGATCTATCGGATGCCCAAGCAATGAACAGACACCAACACATGCCCCAAAAATAGATTGGCACAGTCATCAAGTTGGCTTTGACACCGCGGTACCCCAAGCCACTGATGATCGAGGGAAGAAATGTGGTGAAGGAATACAGGGAGATGTTGATAGAAAATTGGTAGATCCAGCTGTTCCGCGAGTGATCAGTGAACACAGACAGACACGGCCAGGCAGAGCGAAAACTTACAAGCAGTACCACTTCGGGTCTTTGACCACCTTGATGACTTCGGTCCAGCTGAATTTTTCATCGTAACCCCAGTGAGGATCATTGTCGTATCGAGCCCTCATAATCTGCTTCTCCTCGTGACTGAGGAACCAAGCATCAACCGGCGAGGTAGGGAACAGGAACCAAAAGGCCGGTACCAGGACGACGGTGATCAGCCCCTCGACGACAAACAGCCACCGCCAGCCCTCAAAATCGCCTGGGCCACGCAGTTGGCAGAGCCCATATGCCAGAATGCCACCAAAGGCGCTCGAGCATGCTGAAAATGCGAAAATGACGGCTGATCGCTTTGCCCGCTCCTCTTTCTTGTAGACGAGTCCCAGATAGACATCTATCGCGGCGGAGAAACGCCGTCAGTCAATAACACATCCCATCCCCAAGGGGGTCTGAAATTCAAAAACTAGGGTGCTCACTAATGCACGGGATCAATCCAGCTTCAAAGGCACCAATCAACAGCCGACAGGCATACAAGCCCTTGTAGTCTTGAATGAAGCCCATTCCAAGACATGCGATACCCCAAGAGAAGGCACACACAGAGAGGAGCGGTTTCGCACCGACAATCTTCAATAGGACAGCGACTGGGGTCTCAAAGGGTACGTAGGTGGCAAAGAGGAGTGTTGTCGCGGTACCAAATTGGTTACCAGCGAGGCCGATGTCAACGTCCATGCCGGCGACTTTGGCATTCCCAATGTTACTCCTGCGGGTGAGGTGAACAGTCAACCACCAGCTCTCTGACATTCATCACATGGACGGGTGCATACCGATCGAGATTGGCGGCCATGTAGAAAAGTCCCAGTAGACCAATAGCGTAGAACTGTCAAGGGATCAATCAGCACATAGTCTCACGATAGCCGGGCGACAAGCGAGGGGCCCACATCGAATTTCCTCATCAGCTTCCTCTCCTTGACAGGATCGATATAGAAGGTCGAAGTTCCTGGCGTATCGACGCTCTTGCACTCGTCGACGACGGTCTTTTCGGTGGCGGTCGCAAGCTTAGGTTCGACTGTGCCTAGGTCCTGCAAAAGACCATGGTTACTTGTCTCAGCCATGCTTGCAATTTGTTAAGATTTTGGCCCACAGAGCTCTCCACCAAAATGGATTGTAACTTTTGTTGCGAGAAGATTGTGAGCTGTTCAGAGTCTCCATCTACAAGACGTGGGGACTGGATTATAACATAGTCCAACACATAAACTTGTCCTATGGCCTGCACCGGGTCGAAGCCAACTGGAGTTGTGAATGCCACGATCGGGCTTCCTTTGTCAAGTCCCGGCCTTTTGGACTAAAGTCTAAGATAGGAAAGATCGGTATAGGGCGCAGATCGCCGAAGTATAGTGATAGGGCATGTGGGCTCGGCATAAACGCCCATCAACCCCGACAGAGCGTGAGGCCATGCCCTTGCCCTGAGATGCCCAGTACTCCTTCTCTAGTGGTCAAGTCCGCGGTATAAGCTCTCTTAAGACGGATTGCCAGCATTATGTGATGGCGAAGAGAGCGTTTCATAGACCCAAATCAAACCTTTGATATTTTGGTGCCTCGATTTTGGTGATGGGGTCCTACGACAACCGTTCCACGACGCTGGCAACAGAGTTGGATTGTCCAGGAGTTCGAATTGCAGTTGACCGGGGAGGCACCTTTTGTGACTTGTGAGCCAGAATACACTTGTTTATTTTTGCTGTAGCTAACCCGGTGTGTCGGAATATAGCTGGGCACGGATACCGGGGCGGGAGGATGCACTGGTATTTAAACTTCTCTCAAATGCCCCTGATCAGTACGAGGATGCCCCTACGGAAGGCATTCGAAGGATACTTGGCATCGCCAGGGGCGAGGAAATCCCAAAGGGCGCTCTCATCGACCTCGATGGAGTCGAGTCTATTCGGATGGGCACCACGGTAGCCACCAAGTGAGACCTATCCCTTGTTTTTGGATGAGCAAACAAAACGCGGAAGGAAAACACGCTGATTCTTTGTGACCAGTGCACTCCTCGAAAGACAGGGCGAGCGCGTGGCTCTGATGATAACCAAGGGATTTCGCGACTTGTTGGTCATTGGAAATCAGGCCCGGCCCCATCTGTTCGACCTGTCCATCACCAAGCTTGATTTGCTGTATGAGACGGTTGTCGAAGTCGATGAGAGAGTCACCGTGGAAGGCTTCTCCGAAGACCCCGATCCGTTGCCTATTGACGTGACCTCAGATGTCGGGCTCGTTGAAGGTGTAACTGGCGAGGCAATCCGCATCCTCAAGCGACCTGATCTGGACGCTGTCACCAAAGACTTGCACAGGCTTTGGAAAGAGGGCTATCGAGATATCGCACTGGCCCTGCTCCACTCATACGCCTATCCGAATCATGAAGCAGCCATTGCCAAAATCGCCCGCAACATGGGCTTCAACGTCTCCGTCTCATCAGAGTTACAGCCGATGATCAAGATCGTGCCTCGAGCCCAGTCAGCGACGGCAGATGCCTATCTGTCCCCAGTCATTACGCGGTATTTGAACAGCTTTCGAACCTCGTTCAAAGGCCACCTTCTGGACAAAAACGCAAACAAGTTCCTCCTCTGCCAGTCTGATGGCGGACTCACCCCCATAAATGCATTCACAGGCCTTCGAGCCATCTTGTCAGGGCCAGCAGGCGGTGTGATTGGCTGTGCGAAGACCTGCTTTGACCACGAGTCACGCACGCCCATCTTGGGCTTCGACATGGGAGGCACGAGCACGGACGTGTCACGGTTCAGCGGAGAGTTTGAACATGTGTTTGAAACGACGACGGCCCAAGTGACCATCCAAACACCTCAACTAGATGTTCAGACTGGTAAGTGTTTATCTAGTGACCAGTACTATTGCATTATGATCCGTTGCTGAAACTTTGTTTTTACAGTCGCCGCTGGGGGAGGGAGCCGGCTCTTCTACAGCAATGGCCTCTTTGCAGTCGGGCCAGAGTCCGCCGGGGCTGATCCTGGACCTGCGTGTTATGCAAAGGGGGGGCCACTCACAATCACCGATGCCAACTTCTTCCTCGGGCGCATCTTGCCAGATTACTTCGCTCGTCCCTTGGACATGGCCGTGGTGGAGAAGCGGTTTCTGGAATTGACCACCGAGATCAACTCGCAGAGACAAGACGTCTTGACCCCGGAGCAGGTTGCCATGGGATTCTTGCAGGTCGCCAACGCTGCCATGACTCGCCCGATTCGCTCTCTCAGCGAAGGCCGCGGGTTTGAAACCTCGTCTCATCATCTCGTCTGCTTCGGAGGTGCCGGTGGCCAACACGCCACTGCCATGGCGAGGGATCTGGGTATAAAGCGAGTCATCATCCATCGCTATTCGAGCATCTTGTCGGCGTACGGCATGGCTCTGGCAGATGTCGTTGTCGATCTTCAGGAGCCCGAGTCTGTCGTGTTCTCCTCGGCTGCCGCTCAAAGGATCCAAGGACGTCTCGAGGTGTTGACGGAGCGGGCGATCGGCCAACTTGTTTCCCAGGGTTTCCCACCCGAAAGAATCACCTGCGAGAGCTATCTCAATATGCGTTATCGCGGCAGTGACAGTTCTCTCATGATCCAGTCGAGTCCCGATCAAGGGTTTGACACCACTTTTATAACCCGGCACAGGCGCGAATTTGGGTTTGACCAGCCACGAGAAATCCTGGTCGACGACATTCGGGTCCGAGGAATAGGAAAGGGAATGGATCTCCCCACCGCCAGTCCGTTTTCTGAGATGAATCAGATCCAGGCCTCATCGATCCCGACGCCAGAACTGGGTGAACAATTCGTTCGAAAAGTGTATTTCGAGAAGCAGGGCTGGGTGGATGCCAAAATCTACCATCTCAACACCACCCCGAAGGGTACGCGACTGCGTGGTCCAGCCCTGGTGGTAGATGAGACGCAGACAATTGTCCTCGACCCCGACAGTCAGGCGAGCATTTTATCCGAGCATATTGTCATCGAACTGCTGGATACAAAGGACGCGGATATCGGTATCAAGGAGATCGACCCTATTCGCCTCTCTGTTTTTGGTCATCGATTTATGAGTGTTGCCGAGCAGGTGAGAAGACGTCTCTCTCTTTCTTTTTGGGGAGGGGAGAGAACCGCAAAGTGTTCAGAGAAACTAACGCTGGCTTTCAGATGGGAGAGACACTCCGGAAAACGTCAATCTCGACCAACATCAAGGAACGTCTCGACTACAGTTGTGCAGTATTCGACGCCAATGGTAGACTGGTCGCCAACGCACCCCATATTCCGGGCCACTTGGGTTCCATGAGCTACGCGATCCGCTATCAAGCCGAACGCTATGCCAAAGGTGAACTGAAGCCTGGCGACGTCCTACTCGCCAATCATCCCTGTGCGGGTGGCACGCATCTCCCCGACCTCACGGTGATAACACCCGTCTTCGACGACGATGACAACCCCAACGAAATCCTCTTTTTCGTCGCCAACCGAGGTCACCACGCGGACATTGGCGGGATGGCGGCCGGTTCGATGCCACCGAATTCCACCGAGTTGTGGCAGGAAGGCGCCGCCATTGAGTCCTTTAAGCTGGTCAATCAAGGTGTCTTTGACGAGGAGGGTTTGATACGCCTCTTATTTGAGATCCCCGGCCAATACCCGGGCTGTTCTGGCACGCGGACTCTGAAGGATAACATCGCAGATCTCAAGGCCGGGATTGCCGCCAACCAGCGAGGCATCAACCTCATCCACCGACTCATTCACGAATATACGTGGCCCGTCGTCGAGTTCTACATGGACGGGATTCAGAAGAATGCCGAGAACACCATCCGTGCACTCCTCAAGGTGTTCAGCAAGAGATTTCACGGACGGCCCTTGCGCGCCGTTGACCATCTCGACGACGGGACGGCGCTCGTTCTGAACATCACCATCGATCCCCAAGATGGTTCGGCCAAGTTCGACTTCACCGGGACCGGGCCAGAAGCCTGGAACAATCTGAATGCTCCTCCGGCGATCATGTTCAGCGGCATCATGTACTGCCTCCGGACGATGGTGGCCGCGGACATCCCGCTGAATCAAGGCTGTCTGACGCCGATCGAGGTCGTCTGTCCACCGAATTCCATCCTCAAGCCGAATCTGAAGGCCGCGACGGTCGGGTCCAACGTCGAGACCTCCCAGCGCATCGTGGACGTCATCTACAAGGCCTTCCGCGTCGCTGGAGCCAGTCAAGGAACGTGCAACAACTTGACATTCGGCTACGGCGGTACCGACGACAAGGGCGGTGTTGTCAAGGGGTTCGGGTACTACGAAACCATCGCTGGAGGCTCAGGCGCCGGAGCCGACTGGGACGGCCAGCATGGAGTTCACACGCACATCACGAATACACGGATGACGGATCCGGAAACGTTGGAAAAGCGATACCCCGTCCTGCTGCGCGAGTTCTCCATCCGGGCCGGCAGTGGCGGCGCCGGCCGTCACCGCGGAGGCGACGGCTGTGTGCGAGACATCGAGATACGCCGCCCGATGCAGGTCAGCATTCTGTCCGAACGACGGGTCATTGCCCCCTACGGCATGGCCGGCGGGGAGGAAGGCGCGCGGGGGATCAATCTCTGGATTCGAAACGACCCGGACGACCGCTCCACCCGAACCATCAGCCTGGGTGGTAAGGCCAGTGTGGACATGAACGTGGGCGACCGTATCGTCATCCTGACGCCAGGCGGTGGCGGTTATGGCGTCTCGCCGGATAAAGTCGCGGAACCCGAGTTGGAGACCGAGTTCACAATAAAAGACCGGGTGAGACTGTTTTGAGAAAGCAAATCATTTATAGGGGATACAGGGAAAATGTGAGAGTGTCGGTATTCGTCCCTTTGTTCGACAACTGTCTTTTTGCATGAACGGACCATGTTAGAAAAGCCCCATTCTGAATTCTAGATCTAGGACGAGCAACACAAAGAAAACACATATGATCATTTGTCCACTGATTGTCTACCAAACATGATGTTGAGAAAGGCACATATTTCTGCTGGGTGTTCGCGTGTGTTGCTCTTCATCACGGAAGCCTGCGGACGACTTGATCGATTGCGTTTGCTACGTACGCAACATTGTGCGTGTTCACTGTAATTTCACGTCTCCGTCAGTGCGTGCACAAGGGCAAGGTCAAGGATGGATGACAGCTCACAGCCAGCGATGGATATTCGGCCCGAAGCAAGCAAGTAGATACTGTAATCTTCTCGGAGCAGCTCAACTTGCGCCGGTGTCAGTCCGGTGTAGGAGAACATGCCGATCTGATCCACGACGTGTCTCCAATCGCCGGGAGTTCCCAATGCGCGCAGAGCGTCGTACAACGCGGATCGCATGGCTCGGATACGTCCACTCATTGTTTCCAGGTCGATTTTCCACTCGTCGAAGAGAGTCTGATCGCGTAGCACGGTTGCCGCAATGCGCGCCCCATAGACAGGAGGTGTTGATATCTCGCCCCGCGAAAGCCGTGCGAGTTGAGAGCGGACGTTCATTACTGAATCAGCCGCCGTCGACGTGACCAGGTGGAATGCGCCCACTCGCTCCCCATACAGACCCAAGTTCTTGGCGAATGATTGTGCGACGCCGAATTCCAGCGTCTCTCTGGAAAGAAAGTGCCTGATCGGCCAGGCATCTTCATCAAGAGAACCGGTGGCGAACCCTTGACTTGTGTGTGTTTTCCTGTCAGACTCTGATTGGCGCGAGGAGAGGCCGTGGGTATCGACTCACTTAAGCACAGTCGAAGAAGGGTAACAACTTCTTGGTCTCACAGAGGTCAGCAATGGCCTTCCATTGTTCTCGGGAGGGATCGATGCCGGTCGGGTTGTGAGCGCACGCGTGAAGAATAATGACATCTCCGGCCATGGCTTTCCTCTGGATCACGTCCACCATCCCGTCAAAGTCCAAAGACCTCGAGGTATTGTCGTAGTAGGGGTAGACTCTCTGTTGAATCTTGTCATTTACCAGAGTCCAGATCAAGTGATGATTGTCCCATGTCGGATCCGAGATCCAGACTTGCCTGGGTTGGGTCGTGTCGGTGAAGAATCTGGCCCCGAGGTGATTTGCGCCCGTCCCCGAAATGCACTGCACCGAAGCAATGCGGGAGCACATGTTTTCGTCATCTGTACCAAAGACGAGCGATTGGGCGGCGGTTATGAACTCGGCGTGGCCGACAATGGGAAGATACTCGTGGTTCACCGTCGGATCTGCGTCCAGTCTCGACTTGGCCTGTTCCGAATTAGTAGATGAATGTAGTCTGAAACTCGAACGGCGAGGAGCATTGCTGACCTTCTTGACGACAGGCAAGACCCACGGCTCACCATTGTCATCTCTGTACACTCCAGAGCCTAGACTGACTTTGTTGGGAGATGTGTCCGCATTGTAGGCTGTCGTCAGGGCGAACGCGGCATCTGATGGCGCCAGTGGAACTGCTGAAAACAGCGATCCGATCGATCTGGTCGCCATCTATAATCCGGGTGGTCGTTCTGGGAGGCTGGAAAGTAGAAATCGTGTAAGAGAGGAGCGTATAGTCAAGGTCAAGGTCACGGTCACTGGTATTCGACCGTGCTCTGGTCTGATATCGCCTCGAGCGAGCTTCCATATCGTCTCTCGCCAACTTCACTCGGTCTTCAAGCACGAAATGCCGAGGGGGAAATTCTCAAAAACCGAAGCGTGAAAGACCTGAGTACGAATCGGTGACTTTTAAATAGGCCGTTTGCGTCCTGTTGTAGGTTCAGCATACCACTTGGAGAGGCCCTGGCTTGTCACCTAGCACTCGTGGAACAAGCTCTTAGGGGGGACACCAACAATGGCCTCTATCTCTGCCACCTCAGTACCACCTTCCGGGATTTGGTGCCCCGCTGTGACATTCTTCAATCCTGTCACCGAGGACCTCGATCTTGAAGCGCAGTCCAAGTATTACAAGTACCTGAGTACGACCGGTCTCGCCGGCCTTGTCATTCTCGGCACGAATGCCGAAGCCTTTCTCTTGACGAGAGAAGAACGATTCCAGCTCATCCAAACAGCGCGGGCGGCGACCGGTCCGAACTTTCCCATCATGGCCGGTGTGGGATCCCACTCAACGCGTCAGGTATTGCAGTTGATAGACGACGCAGCTCAAGCCGGAGCCAACTATGCCCTGCTTCTTCCTGCCGCCTACTTCGGAAAAGCCACCACGCCAGCGGTTATTGTGGACTTTTACGACCAAGTTGCTCGAGGGTCTCTTCTGCCTATTGTTATGTACAATTTCCCGGGAGTTTGCAATGGCGTAGATCTGGACTCGGAGCTGATCACCCAAATCGTCAAGCGGAATCCGGGAAAGATCGTGGGCGTCAAATTGACCTGTGGCAGCGTAGCCAAAATCGTTCGCCTGGTAGCGAGTCTCCCTTCTTGCGACTTTGCCACGTTCGGTGGCCAGTCGGATTTCTTACTCGGTGGTCTTGCCGTCGGCTCGAGTGGGTGTATCGCAGCGTTTGCGAATGTGTTTCCCAAAACCATTTGTCGGATCCATCAGCTCTACAGTCACGGCCGGATTCGTGAAGCTCTGAAGCTACACCAGAGGGCGGCTTTGGCGGAAAGCCCAATCAAGTCCGGGATCGCGGCCACCAAATACGCCGTGGCGACATACTCGGCGCCGGCGGCTGGGATCACGGACTGTGAAGGAAAGCTCTTGCCTCGACGCCCGTACCAAAAACCCAGCGAAGATGTCAAAGCTGGAGTTCGTGCGGCAATGGACTCACTTGCGAACATCGAAAGGTCGCTAGATTCGACGTCACCTATTAGTCCCAAACTCTGAACATTACGGGACGCTGCTGGTCCAATCTTGTGGCGGCATAGCCAGGTCAATGATTGGTGCTGTCTTATCTAAGTCGGCCAAAGTCATTACTTGTAGATTAACCTCGGATAGAGAGGCTCGCTACTTCCGGGCGGTGCTCGGGATAACCATAAGATATGCCGGAACAGCCTTGATCCTTGGGCGAAAGGGCACTCCTTCCCTTCTGTACTGCTTTGCTGCACACCATCGAGCCCTAAACCATCTGTGGTCGAGCCCCTTGAATGGGACTGGATGGGCGGACAATCTCTTCGGGCAGCTGCTTTTATCCAGAAATGCTACCAGCAAAGGGTCACAAGAGGTACCCCGTTGACTGAAGAACCCCCCAGCGATGAGCAATATCAATTCTCAGGATATATCTCGATCTCGATCTCGATCTCCGAATGATGACGCTGTTACAATACCCGTCGCAAAGAGAGTGAGACGTGATGGAGCGTGCGTAGCATTCTTTCCGAGCATAACAATCAACGACGTGGGACTTGATCATCTAACTCACCCTCTAGCTGCGTACGCTGCCATTCTCACAAGATCAAATGCTCACGCGAGCAGCCTTGTCGGAATTGCGAGCAGTCCAAAACTGCCGTGTCATGCGTGTACCCGACGAAAGATCGGAAGATCCTCGTCCATGAAAGGTTTGTTTGCCATTGCTGCCACATGACAGGCACCTTCTTTTGTTGGGGACCGCTAAAAAGGATGCCGTCTCAGCCAGATCAGTCAGCTGGAGGAGGAGAATGCGAGATTGAAAGCAGCAGTCCGCCGGCATGCGGCCGCTGGCGACACAACCAGCAACAACGTCCCTCCGTCCAAACCGATCGCGCCCACGCAGAATCACGACCACGAGCAGCAACACGAGTTGGAAAGCCCCAGCAATGCCGACGTGGTGATATCGAATCCATTGGTCGAGGATCGTGCCTGGTTTGTGCATGATTCCACCTCGTCGCAGGCAGCCTATGTCGGGGAGGCATCATGCACTGCGTTCGGCACCCGTTTGTACCAGTACCTCGACCGTAACACCTCTCCTTCGCCCATTCCGCGGGCGCGCCTGGTGGGGGACGAAGTGCTCTCACAGAACATTTTCACCGAATACGCGCTTCCCCCGCGTGCTCATGCCGTGTTCCTCATCCGTGTGGCCATTCGTCTCGTGGGTTTGGACTATCACTTGATGATGAGGAAGCAAATCCTGGAACAGCTCAACCAACTCTATGTCGGTCGGCTCACCATCGAGCAGGATCCCCTTCTGGCATGCCGTATCTTTACCATTTTCGCCCTGGGGGAGCTGTACACCAATAAAGCGAAAGAGAGCCAAAAGGTTCAAGGCGCGCCAAACGTGCCGGGTCTGTGGTTCTTTGTCCGTGCCATGAGTCTCTTTCAAGAGATTCGGGAGGAAGCCACCGTGTCCTACATCGAAGCCCTGCTCCTCATCGTAAGTCGGATTGAGTCACATTCTGGCTGGTCTCCATAGACGCACTCGAGACCTTGGGCATCCAAGTCCGGCTAACATATTTGCCAGTCCATCTACTCGCTAGCCTTGAACAGAGCCAATTCGGCATACGTCTACGCTGGGACCGCGCTGCGGTTGAGTCTTACGCTGGGCCTCCATCACAACGTCCCTCCAAATCAAATGTTCAGCCCGATCGAGCGAGAACGCCGCATCCGCGTCTGGTGGACGGTCTACATCTTTGACCGCAACTGGAGTTCCAAATTGGGCCATCCCATCATGATACGAGACGACGACATTGATGTGGCCATGCCATCCATGAAGGGTCTCAGCGCTGCAGAAATGGCCGAGTTCTCCGAGCCCGAGCACCTGATCGCCAATGTGCATCTAGCGAGGATCACGGGAGATATTATGAACCACATCTACAACAAAAATTGCCGTCGCCAGGTCTTCGTGCAAAGCGTGCAAAAGATCTTACGCCGATTGAGGTCATGGGCGGAAACCCTCCCCGAGGTAATTCGGCTGCAGCAGGACCCAACTCGCAGGTACACGGCCAGACATGTGGCGTCCCTTCATCTCTGTTTCAATCAGGTATGCAGTCCCTGGAGTAGTAGATTTAGAGATGATCCTTTCCATGTATGTTGACTCCAAGGGGAATAAAAAAAGTGTGTCATACTTACGACGCGGCCGATCTTGTTTTACGCCTTGAAATCAAAGCTCCATTCCAGTTTCGAGGGACTCAACGGTGAGCCACCACCACCACCTATATCGACCATCACCACCGCTCTCGCCGAGGCGTGTGTCCATGCTGCGCGAAGCTCGAATCAGATTCTCGACCAGCTTTGGGTCGATGGCTCGCTTGCCACATTCGGGTTTTTCGACGCGCAATACCTGTTTTCGTCGACCCTGGTCCTGCTCATTGAAACACTGTTGCGGCCCGACACGTCTGATTCCGAGGCTGTGAGCACGGCTATTTATCTGTTGAAAACCATCTCAGAGGAGGGCAATCTACCGGCCTACAGATACTACGGCCACCTCATGCAACTGCAAACAATAATAACCGCCTTTCAGACAAAAAGCTTGCGACAATCGGGAGAAGGTCTGGATCTGATGCAGGACGGAGGCGGACTGGAAACAGATGTCGCAGTCGAGTCTCTCCCGACCGCGTTGCCAGCACCCTTGGGGGACGGCCTGTGTCAGGATGCCAACGCAACTTCAAACGCATTGATTACCGGGTCTGCGCTCGACGATCCCTTCCTCCAGAATTTTCTCGCTTATTCGGATTTACAATGGCCGGCAACAATTGAAGGTCTCGGGGCGATTGGCAGTAGTGCCATCTCACCTCCACAATGGGTTTTGGAATGGGATACGCAGAACCAGGACTTGTACGGAAATGAACCACTGACCAGAGACGATTGATCTCAGATTCCAGCGGAGGCGCATCTAGGCCAATGACGTGGAGGTGCAATTCCCCCCCCCCCCCCCCCCCCAAAATTGTATACCCTGTTCTCTCTCTTAACGTCTGGCTTTAGTCACAGCACAGAGATTCGGCCTAAGCAGTCCCTGTGCCGAGATATGCTCATGGCGAGTGAGGAAGGCGTGTTGGGGCCGGTAGCCTGATGGTAAAGCACCCCGCCCGCCACCCGTCTCAATGTGCTATTATTATTGCAAGCTCGCCGAGCAGAAATGTTGGTATGGTGTCATCTGATGCTGTCACACGCTCACGTCTGGATCTAGCGACTTGTCGAGATGCTTACCGTCGAATGCAGTGGCACCCCTTATGAGGTGTGTCAAGTTTTGATCCCACCTCACGTCACTTTAGCTGGATACTGACCATTCGTTCACGTTCAGGTTGGATATGACCATGGGCACGCAGCCAGACATGCAATCGCACGCTCCGTCGACTTTTACTCTGGTCTGTTTGTCCGTTACAGTAAACGTCAGTGGCCCCAGGTAAGGGAGGTTGCCCGTGAGTTCGGTGTCGAGATCAGTCGACGATGGCCTCAGTGCTATGAAGAGATGCGAGGTATGGGAACAAACCCTCCAGTTTCCAAGACCGAGACCGCCGTGGCAGAACAAGCCGAGTTGGCAGCAGACTGATCGTCATGTGACCAAAAGGGATCGCCCGTGGAAGTCAGCGCGACTTACTCGACATAATCGCGCTGAATGTGCGGACCGAGATCGCTTTCGGGCTCTTCAGCGACGGATGTACAAGCCTCTACTGGAGGACGAAGGGCAATACGTTTCTTGCTCAGAACTGGGATGTATGTGGTACCTCATGGAGAGCAGCAACACACACACAAACTTTGGATTTCGCTGACCCGTGTCCCATGCGTGACGCTTGCAGTGGATGGAAGACCAAAAGCAAAACCTGATTCAGTTGAGCATCATCCAACCTGGACAGCCCATGATCAAAATGATCACCGAAGCAGGCATCATCGGCAAGATTGGTCTGAACTCCTGTGGTGTCGGAGTCTGTCTGAACGCGATCCGCGCGTCCGGCATGTCCACGGCGGGCATTCCAATCCACCTAGGTCTGCGCATCGCTCTCGAACAGACGTCCGCACGGGCCGCGGTCCAGTTACTGCAGGCTCACGGGATGGCTAGTTCAGCCCACCTCCTCATCGCCGACTCGGAAGATGCAACCGGCTTGGAGGTGACAGCTACCACCGTCTCAGGCCTCCACCCGGATGACCGAGGACGGATATTGCACACAAACCATCTGCTCGGTGTCCACCCGGGCGTCACGGAGACGCAATGGCTACCAGATTCCGAACACCGCCTCGAGCGCACCCGTGTCCTGACGGACGAGCTTCATTCCAATCTCGTCAGAGATGCCTCCGCCGGCGCTGATTGTCGAGAACCGACGTGGAGGGAGGTGGAGTCGATTTTCGAGGACCAAGACAATTGGCCCGCAGCGATTTGTCGATCCCCCGACCCCAGCCGGGGCAGTCACAGTGCCACTTTGTTCAACATCATCATGGATTTGAAGGCACGACGGGCCGTAGTGAGAGTGGGTAGACCGTGCCAAGAGGATGAAAGGATAGAGATGAGCTTTCTGACCAACAACGAGTGAAGGGGGCCCTTTTTTTTTTTCCTTCTCTTCTCATCCAAGTCAAAATACCAAGTAGTGGTATGGCCCCGAGGTATTCTTCAACAGTGACCTGGAGATTTATCAATCCTGGTGTCTAGCAGCTTATCCGACGGTTCCAGGTAAAAAATAGCACGATGCTTTCCAAGCACGAAGACCTCATTGCGACGTGACCTTCGTCGACCGACATTGGTTAATTGAAGCGACTGCGTGTGTATCAACGGCCACGGGGGGACAAAAAACACGGCAGAATAAATCGGTATAAGAACGAACTTGGCCGCTAACGCACCCTTGCACCGTGGCTACTCCACGAAACTGATCGGCGTAAGGGTCATTCGTTTCCGGTGGCCCCGAATTCCGTGGCCGAAAGCCGATCTTACACAGAAAGCTCCACTCTTTCATCTAATCTAACGGTATCGGATGAAGTCGCAGGGGGTCCACAGAGTCAACCGCCTGAAGGAGGACCCAGGGCTTGATAGACCTCTGAACAACCTCGATTACATCAAAAGGTGCCGCAGAGATGGAGAGATGAACGAGGTGTCTCCCCTTTTTTTCCTCGTCTAACCATCCAATGGGTTCAAAATTCCCCCCAGCTGCGGCGTCCTCAATGAATATCGAAAAGCCAACCGTCTTGTTCATCAACTCTTCCACGGGCGCACAAGATGCGACCAGGTGGGCGGGGATTGCGCAGAGATTTGAGATGCTCGAGTACGACTGCCCTACGGTCGCCGAGTTCATTTCACGTCTCAAAACGCCAAATCATCCCTACACGCGAATAGAAGCGCTCGTCTGGGCGGGCTGGCTGAAGGCCGGACCATATGCCGCACAATCCGAACAGCTCCTGCGTGGGGAGCCGCTGGAGCTGATGCCGAATACTCTGAAGCTGATCAGTTGTTCGGGACACGGTTATGACCATGCGGACGTAGGCCGAATGAGCGAGCGCGGCATCCTCTTCTGCAACACGCCGAACGCGTGCACCGAGGCGACGGCGAATGTGGGACTCGCGTTGATCCTCAACGTGTTCCGCTATCTCTCGTTTGCTGAGAGATGCGCCCGCACCGTGATGACGGGCGGCTGGCAGAGGAGCCGGATGCTGGGTTCTGTCGCCCAGGATCCGGCAGGTCAGGTGCTGGGGATTGTCGGCATGGGATCGATCGGGCGGGTGATTGCGACCAAGGCTGCAGCAGCCTTGGGCATGAAAATCCACTATCACAATCGCCGGCGGCTGAGTGACCAGGACGAGATGGTCGGGCCGGGCCATCAGCGGGCTGTATATCACGAATCCATCCACTCGCTGCTGAGAGCGGCCGACTGCATCTGCTTGGCTTGCGGATGCACCCCGGAAATGCGCCACATGCTGTCCACGGAAGAATTCAACCTGGCGAAACCGACCGGTGTACGCGTCGTGAATGTCGGCCGTGGTCCCCTTATTGACGAGGCAGCGCTGCTCAAGGCCATGGAAGACGGCAAGGTGACGGGTGTCGGGCTCGACGTCCATGAGGACGAGCCCAACATCAACCCCCAACTACTGGACAATTACATGGTCACGGTATTGCCTCATGTGGGCACCTGTAGTCGGTCCAGTTGGATCAATATCGAGTGCCAACAGCTCCACGATCTGGAGGAATTCTTCTTCGGGTCGGGTAATCCTGTCAACGGGGTCAATAGAGATCAACTGAGAGATCACTTACTTGGCAAGACGACCATCAGATGTTAATCGGGGGCGGAGCCATGTCTGCCAGAGGGTATTACGAAGAAAACCACCAGCTGAGCATGTCTCAGGTGTTGTGTGGACTTGCGCCGGGGGGTGCTGGGAATTCTAGTAGGCGAACTGGCTTGAAAACCCAATGTCCAACCCTCGACCGTACAAATTAATTAATTGTGCTGTATCTTTTAGTGATAACAAGACTGGATTATTACTTCGGCGATTTTCCTCCTTCCCCGATGAACGAGATAAACGAGATATCGATAAAAGACCCACTATCCAACCTTCCCGCCTGCCCCCTCAGTCAAAACCTATAAAGAGCTCCAGGAAGGATATTTAGGTGGCGAACACCCCTCCTCATATAACTCATACGGCGAATAATTCCGACTGCCATCTATAGACCAGTGTTGTGTTTACAACCATGAAGCGCGTTCTGGTAGGATATGGGATCGACCTGGACGCCATCAGCGGCTGGTAGGGCTATTTTCAGAAAATATAACAAATACTGCTTGAACGATCTCGAGCCTGATTCGATGGATTTTCAGGATCAATACCAGAAATGGATCGCCCGCATCGCCGACAGATGTCTCGCGCGGAGTCTTCGGGGCGACTTGTGGCACGGATCGTCTCCTGCGGTTGTGGGACAAGTATAATATCAGGACCACCTGGTTCGTTCCGGCACATACGGCTGTGTCGTTTCCTGAGGCGGTGCGAAAGGTCAGAGACGCTGGACATGAAATGTGAGATTCATATTCCTCTTCGGTCTAAGTGCCCATTTCCACCCGCTCAAGTTATTGATTGACAACATCTGTATAGAGCGCTCCACGGATGGACGCACGAGTATGTGACGACGCTCGGGGAGGACCAGCAACGCGAAGTGCTTCGAGAGTCGATCAAAGTCCTGACGCAATTATGCGGCAGGAAGCCAAAGGGATGGACGGCGCCGGGCTTCGAAGCTTCGCGTCAAACAGTGCAGCTTCTGGAGGAGTTTGGGCTCGATTACGACCACAGCTTCATGTACCACGACGCTCTCCCATACTGGCTGCCGTACACGCCGACCTGGAAGGAGACCACCATGATGGCGGCCGACAGAGATGGGGATGGAGACCCGGTCACACCGTCAACTTGGATGGAAGGCATGTCGGAGTTGAAGCCGAGTTCAATCGTCGAGATCCCCGCCAACTGGCACCTGGATGACTGGCCACCGTTCCAACTGAACCTCAAGCAAGCCAGTACCCATGGGTTCGTCGACCCCTACGTGGTGGAGCGCATGTGGAAGGACCAGTTCGACTACTACTACCGTGAGTATGACCAGTTCATCTTCCCCATCTCGATCCACCCGCAGGTCAGCGGCAAGGCGCACATCATGCTCATGCATGAGAGGTTGATCAACTACATCAACGGTCACAGCGGCGTCGAGTGGTGCACCATGGCCGAGATGAACCGGGAATTCCGAGAGGGTCGTTTGGCAGGGACAACGGTCTGTGGCGGTGTGCCAGTGACTGAAGCGCCTGGTATCATGGCTTGAAAGCAAGCCGCCATTTTTTTTTTTTTTTTTTGACGAGATTATTTTACTGGTTGCCATTACATTTCTACGACATGTGATAGCTACTCGGGCGAATAGGCTCACTCATGTCCAGTCTATCGTGAGGCAGTCCTTGACAAAGGAGCGGATCGCGAGTAATAATAAATGTTGGCCAGGTGCCAGTTACGCAGGCGGCTTGACGAATATACCGCAGTTTGCTCATCACCCTGGTGGTTGTGATTTGGTGTCAGTATTGATTGACCTTGTGCCAGTTTCATGGTGGTTGGCTCGACATGCTGTAGTTTGGCGGTTGGACTATTACGCGCAATTCAACGAGGGTGGCACTCCCTCGAACCTCGTCTCTCATTCTCTGTCGCCGTTCCGCCCGATGCCGACGTGATGTTTCACGCAGCCTCAAACAATATACCAGCCCTTAGAGAACTATTTTCTTCGGGAAAGGCCTCTCGCCGCCGCATATGGCCACTTGAACACGATCAAAATGCTCCTTGACAATGACATCGATCCAGAAGTGTGCTTGGGCCAGGGAGGCAGGCAGACAGACAGACAGAAAGTACTATGAGTGAGTAGGCATTGCAACGGTCAAAGGTAGGCAAGGCAAGGAACCAAGGCTATTATTGTCTGTAAAATCTTAATTGCGAAGAATCCATTCCTGAGAGGGTGCCAAGCAAAAAGGTAAAAAATTTTGGGGACAGTGAGTACTGACTACCACTATTCAAGGGGAAAAAAAGGAATGTCGTCTGTGTGGATTGAACACACGACCTTCAGATTTAATGACCGCAAGTTGGAACTTCAGTCTCTGTTAAGAGTTAGTTTTCTGCCTGTGTGTCCAAGTCTCGACGCGGCAGTAGGGACTTACGACGCTCTCCCAACTATTTTGCTCTGGGTTAGTTATGATGTACAGCGCCGCGAAGTGAAGGCTGAAAACGAACCTGAGCTAAGACGACGCTGATTTGTGGTAAGGAATTCGTGTAATGAACATATATATCTCCGGAAAAAAAAGGCCAAGTAGTGGGTAAGTTTGCGTGGATGGAATGGCGAACCTTTGCGTATTAGTCAGCTTATTGGGACCGCTAGTGCCGAGAACGTTTACAGCAACATATGAGAGTTAATGAGCCCCTCTACATTCGAAGTACCTGGGATTCTGCCTGGAGCAGATGATTACTTTGGTTGCGATGTTATTGCCCGCCATGAGGATGGGTGGCTGATCCCGAGGTCATCGTCTTTCCTAGTAGTAGTCAGTGCTAGAACTCATGACACCGACCGCGGAGGCCATGGTGGAAACTTGATATCGCTCTGCCAAAACTTGGGCCACGACAGGTCCCGGTGGAAACCGTAACAGCCTCCTTGCTTTGCAGACACAAATCAAAGATTGTAGAATAAGGCTTGGGTTAGGCACGCATTGGTATTTGGGAGGTAGGTCGGCCAGACCAGAAAGCGGCGTCGGTTCAGGACCAAGACAGGCCGCCATCGCAACTTTGGTGCACCTACAGGCGACCGCTATTGGAGGCTGGTACGGGTTGCTCCTGTTTCTAGGTAGGGAAATTGAGCCTCATCTGCGAGATGCCCCTTCCTACTAACATGCTTGGACGTCGTCTTCCATATATATAATATACTACTACTACTACTAGTCATCTCATTAAAGTTCCAGGTCTGCCATTCTTTCCCCGCGAGAGGGTCCGTGGGTCTCGCATTCTTGCGCTCATTATGCCTAGACAGCAGGTATGACTGGAGTTACGGATGAAGATACTGAGTAGTAGAAATGCTGTAGTACTGCGATGCCTCACGCCTAGGGGCTCTAGGACGGTCAGCCTCGCCAAAGGAGAGAGCATTAGCGGAGGGTTATAGGGACGCCTGTTGTGCAAATAGTGCAGACGGTACTAATCATCCAAACCCTCCAACGAGAGACTTGGCCACTCCTCATTCCGTTTGAAGGAAGACGGGGACGGTATCTCGGGCGTAGGTGCATCTTCCAGAAGGCGTTTGTTTGCAGCCGTAGTATGTACTGAGTGTCGAGTACTTGTGCAGACTGCAGATACTCTTGGTCATCATTGCGCGCGTGGCGCGTGGCGCGTGGCGCGGACACACAGAACTTAGAAGACCTCACTTTTGCTTTGGACATACCTAGCCAGCTAGCCAATGTCAGCAGCTAAGCGAAAGGATGGCGTTTTCACCAACTTGTTTCCCCAACTGAGGATTAATTAGGATGTTGCACTTTGTCGGACATGGTTGAGATGAATGAATTCATATGGGCCCGAACTCGGCCTCTCCGATCGGCGGTCCCCGCCATTTCCCCCACCCCCCACCTGCCGTGCCTGCCACTCTCCCTCCGATGCGGAGGTTCAGTAACTCCAATAGAAGGAAGGGGGAGGCAAACAGAGACAGAGTGGCCGTGCAACTGTATTTGCGATCTCGCTCTCCTCAACCCGAGGTGATTGGACCTTTTGGTGTCACTGCTTCCGAAGGGAAGTAACTCGGTAGACCAACTAGCAAAGTCCCTCCTCGCCTGCCACGAACAAAGAGAGGGCGGATAGGTACACACTATACACCGTGTGACCTTTTCATTGTCATTCTACAGACAGTGTATCTACACTAGTTACGTATAAAATATAAAAGGGATAAACTTCGAGTCTTGTCCACGAAAAAGCCGTGCAATCGGGATTCGTATAAACAAGGACAAACACCCCCCACACGAAGAAAAGGAGTCGCAGCTGAGAGTACTGACTTCGACTGCTGCAACTGAATACCAACTACTATTTCTTTTGCTGTTCGGAATAACAAGCAAAGCAAGTACTTACTTACTTACTTACTCCCTTGCTTGCTTTTTTGTACCCGGATTCAATAAATTCCCAACGCGACAGAGAGTACGGACGCCACAATGAACGGACATACCACTGGAGGACAGCCGCCCTTGACGCCAGGTCGTCGACTGCGACAATTGCTAGAGCCTGGTCGCGACATAGTCATGGCTCCTGGCGTGTATGACGGGTTCAGCGCGAGGATTGCGCTCGAGGTCGGATTCGATTGTCTCTACATGGTATGGACACCCAGAACTTGACCCCTTGATAACTTCCACGTCATGATTGCTGTTGCTATTGTCATTGCTAAACTTCTGTGTAAATCCAGACTGGAGCGGGAACCTGTGCTTCAAGACTCGGACAACCCGACCTGGGTCTCGCGACCCTCAACGACATGCGCGAGCACGCCGAAATGCTGGCGAACCTCGACCCGACCGTCCCTCTCATCGCCGACGCCGACACCGGGTACGGCGGTCCCAACAATGTCGCTCGCACGGTCGAGCAGTATCATCGCTCCGGCGTCGCGGGGTTGCACATCGAGGACCAGATCCAGACGAAGCGCTGCGGTCATCTTGCAGGCAAGGAGGTCGTCAGCGTCGATATCTTTGCGCAACGCATCGCTGCCGCGGCACAGGCACGGGAGAGGATCGGTTCCGACATTGTCATCATTGCTCGAACCGATGCTCTGCAAACACATGGTTTCGACGAGGCGACCCGGCGGTTAAAAGCCGCCATCAAGGCCGGAGCCGACGTCGCGTTTCTGGAAGGTATCACCTCAGATGAGGAGGCGAGGACAATATGTCAAGTCCTCGCGCCCACTCCTGTCCTGTTGAACATGGTGGACCACGCCGCCACGCCGTCGTGGACGGCCAAGGAGGCACAGAAGCTCGGATTTCGCCTCATGATCACCCCATTCCTCGCGCTGGCACCCGCGTATTATGCCATACGTGAGAATTTTCAAAATTTCAAAAAGACTGGTCGCACCGGAGTGCCCACTGATTTCACCCCAAAGAAACTGTTTTCCACCGTGGGCCTGGAACGAGCCACAGCAATCGATGCGGCGGCAGGCGGCAGCTTGTATAGCAAGGTTTAGGGGCGTTGTTATCATTTCTGTGGCTGTTCCTGGTAACGAACGGCCCATTTGAATCAGAGAGAAAATCATGCATGGCATAGCTGGAATGATGTTGTGTCCAAGATCAGATTGATCAGTGGCATCTGTCCGGAGTTAGGCAAATAAATAGACCAGAAATGTAAACAATTCGCTACTCTGAAGTAACCTACCTCGTGGAGCATCAGCAGCTTGCAATCCATGTAACCAATATACCTAGCCGCTAGGGAAGGTGGTCCTGCGGGAATATCTTCGGATGAACACCAGACGTTCAGCAAATGCATTCGATCATGGGCCGTCAAAGTTCGCTGTGCTCGGGACTTGTATGGGAGCACTAGACGGCCGACTTCGACCGCTGACTCCTCATAGTAATACGATGCTCACGAGAACCAGTCCAGTTGGAGATCTTCCCAGTAGATGCCATTCAGCTCGGTCAGGTCAAATGCGCTGTCAAAGCCCTCGTTGACGCCGGTAGTTGCAGTCGCATCTGTGCGGAATCAGCCTTTGAATTCTTCTAAACAGAGGTGGTAACATTACCATTGTTGAGATCTTGCGACTCGGCGCCTTCGACTTCGGTCCGAAATTGCTCCCGCCACCTCCACAATGAGTCATATACGACGCTCATGCTCATTCGACTTCTGACTTCCAGCTGAAGTCTGTCCACCCCGCTTCCGCCCAGGATAGACGGATTCGGGTGCGTCCAGAGATAGGCGAGTACATCGCTCAGTCTCCCGGGGAGGTCATTATTGGCCACCGACATTTTCCTCAGTGCTGAAACTGAAAAAGTGATGAGCTTTTTGCCCGAATCGACATCAATTATCGCAGCAAAGTAATCGTTCTTTACGACCTTGAGTAAAACTAAGGCGGCGCAGAGGAGGACTTCGTAGTAAAATACAGGGCAGAATTGTAAGAAATCCCGAGATTGGCTGTCCAGGTCGCGAACGTGCTCGACCATGGCGGTCGCGGTCGAGTAGAGCGTTACGATCCGCTCTAGATAGCCCGAAGCTGAGGGATCGTCGAGAAGGCAAAACGCGTGAAGGTGAAGCTTGACGATGTGGAGATAGAATACAGTAGTCGCTGAACGCACAGTCAGCAGGCTTAGTCTGTTGACTCACGGGCAACAACCAGTCATGTATGTGCTCACCTCGAGTCCACTCCCTGCTGTTCTCCAGGTCGACAATCTCCTGCTTCAGAATCATGTAGAGGGGAATCCGCTCCCGAGTCGGTAACAGCCCAGCAGAGTCGAGAACACTCGAGGTCAGAGCTTGGGATATCCTGTTACACGTCAAGGCACATTTCAGCTGAGCGTGCAAATCTTCATCTATCCTCGAGCCGTCGAGCGAGGACGCGAGGATCGACCAGTCACAAAGCTGCGCCGGAGTTGGGAGTCCAACACCGAAGCTTATGCTACGGAGACATCATCAGCCGCTCCTCATCAGGATACGTCAACGCCAATGACATACCTCTGCGTGACAACATTGCCAGCAATCCAAGTCCTTCGTCGGTCCTCGATATCGCGAGGACTGAGCTTGACGCGGAACTTTGTGAAATCAAGCGGGCTCCGGGGACGATGGAGGCCCATCTGGATGCTAAGCTGTATTATCATCCCAGAGAGCATGTAAGTCGGGTCGGTGGTGCTGCTGCTCGTCGGAAACGGCCAGGTGCATAAAAGGACCAAGCTCTGGACAACACCCAAGGACTGTGGAACTATCTGCAGAGACTTCCACAAAAGATCTGTCACTGCTCGAGCGAGCCTCGTCAAGAGGGTGGGGTCTATCAGGTACCGACGAGAGGCAACAGAGATTATGGACCAGAAGAGAAGAGTCGAATGATCGTAGTATTGAGTGGGAGAAACCCCAGGGTCAAGAAATGGTAGATATGCATGGTATTGCGAGAAATATCTTGGAGGGTGACGGTATTAGTCCATGGTCCTGAAGCAGCAAAAGAGACATACATGCGGAACAGGTCATTAATCACATCCGCTGGGAGCTCAATATCGCGTAAAGTCCGCGACGCAGCCACCTTTCCCTTGCCAGTGGAGCCACTCTCGAGCAAACTGTTTTGGGGGATGGTGGTTGTTCCTGGCAAGCACGTTCCATCGGGAGAGTCTGGCGATATACCACCAGGGACGGTGGTCGAGAATATTCGGTTCGTCAAAGGGTCCGGTAAGTCTCGGGAAGCCTCATTGGTGAGCCTGTCTCTAGCAGAAGGAGGACCGTCACCCTCGGTCAGGGTCCGCGCTGCAGGGTCGATGACAGCGGGAACAGTCACATCCCTGAGACCTGCGCCTTCATAGACAGACAATTGGCGCTTGAGCTTGTTTATTTCTTCTTCCAACTCGGTGGATACCCTGCCAGGAGGACGAGGGTTAGTGATTGACCGTTGTAAAGTCCCACTCTTGCCAGTCTTACTTCCGCTTCCTCGTCCTCTTGAACGTATCATCTACTCTGCACTCAAGCTCGAGCCTCTGACAACGCGCACATGCATTGGACGACGGAGTGTCGAGCTTGGTCAACTCGCACCGCAGCTGGAGAGGTCAGTAGTGGTCTCGGAAAGGCACAAAACGCTGGCGCCCACCTTTTGCTGTCTGCAATTGTTGCAAGCTTTCGGCTTCAAGCCATTGGTGCGTGGTTGCGTCTCGACACTATCGTGCCGTTCGCCATGGCTGTCCTCATTTGCGACGGAAACTTGCGGAGCCTGCTGATGGCCCGGCATCATCGAAGAGGCGTCGCGAAACTGCAGTGGTACATCTTGACTTCCTCGGTCGCCGCAATCTGTTGACAATGCGGCGCTGGACGCAGACACAGGTAGGCAGGCACCAAGTAAGGCAGACTGCGGGGAGGAAGTGAGAATGATGAGGCTGAAAGTGAGCCAACAGGTCAAGGGAAGGTCAGCCGAGATGATGTCCACGCCGAGGCTGCAAGACTCGCATCGCTGCAGGGCGCAAGGCTGATGCCCTTCTTCCCCTTTTCTCCCCTCCAGCTTGTGTTTGTCGAACTAATTGAATTCAAAGACATTCGGCTTATTGCCTGGCCAATTCCGCGACTAATCAAATGATCTCAATCTCGACTGTGTGCACATGATTTCTTCTTCCCGTTATGGGCTGAGAAATGCCAGCTTTGTCTGTCGCTCTCGCCATCAACTTGTACTTCCCAGGCTTGGGTATTGAGACCTTTGCCTGGAACGATTGCCATTCGAATTCGCTCCGTGCTGTCAATGTGACCTGTGTTTGCGGTAGCCACCACTCACCGCCGTCGACGCTGACATCGACCCGGCTGATCTCTTCGCACCCCCATGCGCGGCCTCGGATGTCAATGTCTGGTCCTTGCAAGATTGCCCCCGGCTCGGGCCTAACGATCATGGAATTGGGCTCAACCACCCACACGGGTCGTGTCTTCTGTCCCTGCGGGTCGGTTGGGTCGATCTCATTATAGAATGTCGTGGTGAACGGCCCCACGGCGCGATGGTCTTGTAGTGAGAGCCGACACAACCATTTGGTGCTATTGGTGCCAAAATACCCTGGTACAACCATTCTCACCGGTCCGCCTCGATTCTTGCCTAGTGGTTCGCCGTTCATTTCATAGGCAACCAGAACCTCGCAGCGCAGCGCCTTCTCCAGGGGAAGATCTTTTTCGTACCGATCCGCGGACACCCCGGCAAATGAGCCGGACTCCAGTCCTTGCGACCACACGAATCTTGCGGTCGGTTTTGGCCTGGCCAGTTTGAGCATATCCGCCAGCCTGACACCAGTCCATTTGACGTTCCCAATCCTCCATAACGCGTGGATCGGAGGAGCAATGGGACTGCCGTAGCATTCATGAAAGGCGGTGACAGTGGAAGATGGCATGCTTTTCAGTTGCCCAAGGGACACGGAGAACGGTCGCTCGACCAAGCCGTCCACTACCAGCTTCCACTTGCCCTCATCTACCACCGCAGCGCCCATATGGATAGTCTGGAAAAGCTGGGATTCATCCGTGAGGTCGGCATCGAGCTCGTGTGGCTTTGGCGGGTGTCGTATGAAGAATCCAGCTGGGTCGATGGCCAGTAGAGACTCGCGCTCTGATCCATCGCACTCACCCACCGTCGCTGGGAGGAAGCTGACGTACTTTGCATGCGTTGTCTCAAGCTCGGTGGCCATTCAGGGCACGGGGTGTGATGCGTCCCTCGGACGGTGGAGTAGTTTTCCTGTCTCCGTACCTACGACGCAGGAAAAAGGATCGCGCGCAAATCGGAACCCAATAATCAGGGGTTCTGTTCGCTTTCGAGGTAATTATGGGGTGGAATGCTCGTTAGCACGTACACGGAGGTGGCAACCAGCACTAAACTATGACGACGCGGAGGCGACGCGGAGCCGTTGGACGGATGCTGCTCGACCTCGGTATTAATATCAGTCGTGCGGAAAGCGGAAACCCACCTGGGCCAGAACCCAGTAAGCCTTATTATGATATTAGGTCAAGATATTCCCACAGGGCTCGCTACTTGATTCCACACAGTGACTCTGCTTCGGGGAGCAATGGCGAGGCCCAAGCTGACGCTATATTTCGACCTACATAGCCCATACTCATATTTGGCCTTTTACCTCATCAAGGTTGGTATTTGATCCCTCCGCAAAGCCCTGGGGGGAGGACGTATGGAGAACAATCTTTGCTGATACTAAACATGACTTTTCCAGAATTCCCCGGTCTTCAAACCTTGCGACGTGACATATACCCCCGTGCTGCTTGTGGCATATATAGATGCTGTCGGGTTAAAGCCCCCCTGGAGCAGTCCCAGTATGTGACTGTCAATCCCCTGTCCTCATTCCCGCTCCAGCAGCTGCGTGGGCTGATTCTGACGTGGTCTCAGACAAGGTGAAATGGTTGCACACAGACGTCGCCAGATGGTGTCGAGAATTCGATATCCCTTGGAACCCAGGCTTACCGGCAAACTACCCATTCGACGTTACCACTTTAAAGGTGATTGGCTATCGATCCTTCGCCGACGACCAGCACCACGCACTAATACTTCAAACAGGTACAGAGGGCCCTGGTGGCATGTTCCCTCGAATGCCCCAATCGATACCCAGATGTGCTAGGCGCCGTGTATCATGCATTTTGGTGTGAGAAAAAGGGTGTTCAACTGCCCGATGTGCACGCACCGATTATCACTCAGGTAGTCGGCAAGGATGTCGCCGCAAAGATCCTGAATAGGGTATGCAAAGCCAGCGCTGTGACATGACAAAGGATACCGAATAACTCGTTCGACAGAGCACGACTGAGGAAGTCAAGTCGCTCCTCAAACAGAACACCAAAGCCGCCATTGCTAGTGGATCTCCAGGGCTTCCCTGGATCAAGGCTGTAAATGGAGAAGGACAGGAGGAGTTCTTTTGGGGATTTGATCATCTCGGACAGGTGATAAGATTTCTGGGCCTTGGGGCGACAGGCGGGCCGCATCTGTGATTTTGCAACTGCCTTCAATGCGTAGGTTGTGTGTAGTTCAACGAGACATCTGCCGTCCATTGCTCGCGGACCTCTGTATGTTTTTCCTCACTATGAAGTGGCTACATTTTCGACCCCGTCTCCTTCGCAGCGATCTCTCTCAGCTGTCGCCGCAATATCTTTCCCGACTGGAAGAGAGGTCAGTAACTGCCATAGCACAAAACCGATGTGACGGATGTATAGTTTTCGTCACTCACCGGGTTTTTGGGAATAGCATCAACAAAGGCCGCACCTCCTGTCAGGTTTTTGATTGTCGAAACACGAGCCTTGACAAAATCCACGACATCCTTCTCAGTAAGCCGCGAGCCTGGTGCCAGCACAACGTATGCGCGTGGTCGCTCATCATCCGTCGCCCTGAGAGACCAGCATAAGCACAAAGAATTAGACATATACGCGCTCATCGACATACGTCTTGATGCCAATCACCGCAGCGTCCACAATCTCGTGATGTTCGAGAAGAAGAGCTTCGAGCTCCGCTGGTGCCACTGCGACGCCCTTGACTTTGATCAACTCCTGGTCCAAGTTAATAGACTGGCAAACAAGATAACCATCGGTGAGTTTTAGGCGACTCACCTTCTTCCGATCAACCATGTACCACTTTCCAGCCTCGTCTCGATATGCAATGTCACCGGTCTTGAGCCAACCATTGCTGATAGTCTCGGCAGTAGCTTTTGGATTGCGCCAATATCCCTTCATCGCGTTCGGAGAGCGGATCCAGAACTCTCCTGTCTCGCCTGGCCGCGTTTCTTCCTCGCCGTTCTCCTTGACCACCATTGCTTCTGCACCAGGAACCAACTCGCCGATTGATATAGACGACGGACCCGAGCTCTCACGTTCGTCCCAGCATAGAGTGATTGCTGGGGTCCTGATGACAAGCCCGTCAGCAAAAGTTTATGACGCCTACAACGCCCACCACTTACTCTGACATCCCCCAAGCCTGCCGCACTCTTACTCTACCATTCCAAAGCTCTTCGAATTGTTGTGTTACTTCCATCCCGATTGGCGCCGCACCTGCTGCCACCTTTCTGACACTGCTGATGTCGCAGGTGCCATCTCGAACCGATGGATGCTTCGCCATCGCTACCAGCATCGGCGGCACTAGAACCAGTTCCGTGATTTTGAACGTGTGAATGTGATCCAAAAAGTCTGCCAAATTAAATCGCTCCATCAAGTACGTCTCGAGACCCCATTTGGGCGCCGTGAAGGTATAGTAGCACAGCCCGAGTGCGTGGTACATTGGGACCGCACAAAGAGTCCGCCGAGCAGTAACGGCGGGGTCAGACATTTGAATCGTTTTGAGCTGAAGCATATTCGCGATGAGACTGCGATGAGATAACTCAACGCCCTTTGGGAGGCCGGTGGTGCCTGAGGAATATATGAGGATTGCAGTGCGCTCCGAGAACGTCTCGATGTTACGCTCTTCCCAGACAAATGTTCGACCAATTTCGGGCTTTGCAAGCAATCTACTCCAATGCTGGACTTTTGTACTGGTGAGTGATTGTTCTTCCGTAGGGTCGATAGACACCTCAGAGAACAGAAAGATGCGTTTCTTGTCAAAGCCAATCAAATCAGCGGCTTCCAGAGCTCGGTCTATGCAACTCTCCGCAGCGAGGACGATTCGAGGATCTGAGTCTTTGAGCTGGTGTGCAAGCTCACGCGCCGTATAGGCTGGATTTGCACTGTTGTAGATGGCACCAGCCATCAAAGCACCCATGGCAACCACCGGATAGAAGATGCTATTCGGGGAAAACAGGAGCACTCGATCGGCATTTTCAAGTCCTGTAGACTGAACCCCCGCAGCAAATCTCTTGGACCATTCGCGATAGGTATGAAGAGTGAGAAAGTGAGTGTTGGGGCGTTTTGCATCAATGATAATTTTATCAGTCGAGTTGAGGCTGGAGGACGAAGAACCAAACATGAACGTCGGAACCGACAATGTCGGCGGCGTCAACTCCCATCTTGATTTCAGGGGCATGTTGAAGTTCTTAGATCAGATTGTTCTGGTGCAGCGTCGTGTGGAGATCGAAGAATTCGCGTATTCCGAGGAACTGGTAGCCTATGAGGATAGTGAGTACGACAAGCCAGGGAAGTAGCTGAAGATATATGATCGCCTGTATGACATTCGAGCTGTCAAGCTGCAAGGTTGCCCTGGTAGTGGCTGGCTATCACGCATGTGTGGGCATCAGATGAAGAGATGGATTCAGGATGAGGCCACCAGCGGCGGTTCAGGGTCCACAAGCACAAGGCTCGGTACGGCTGACATCGGAGCCGCAGGACTGTACCTAGATGTTCGACGTCAGATCGAGGTATCAGTGCTGCCGCTCAGCTGGCGGCCCCTCGCTGGGGGTGTTGGGTACATTAATGGCACACTGTTCTTTGCCGAGTGACCTACCCGATTACCGGAGGGTATCAGTGGTTCCCCCGAAACGGTCATCATGTATGTTCGCCCACGTCTTCCTGTGACCAGCAATCCATCAAGATGTCACCATACTGCTGCATCAGCCTCTGCAGCGCTGATCTCGCGGTGATCGCTCCAGACACTGTAGAGTCGAGCGTCAACAAGCACGTAAGCAAAGGTTTCATCCTCGCAACCCACTCCGAATCTGAATTCATGTCGGAAAACATCGTCAAGACCAAGTCGCCTTGCTGTCTGGCTGATACATTCAGATCGATCGTGTGCTCTATTGCTTTTGACAAGGCTAGGACCACCAAGGCCGTGTTTGCGTGGTGTGAGATGAAGTGCATCTTTGCCTGGACACTGTTAATGAGTTTAAACTCGCCCGTTGCCGATACGTCCACAATTCGTTGTGCTATTGTGAGAAGAGATGTGACTGCATCTCGCTGAAAAGACAGTGCTTTTTCCAAGACGGGCTGTCTCTCCGCGGCAGGTAGTAGGTTCGAAGCCTGATGGAGCTGTTCTACGAGCAACAGGCTGCCTAAGCCCCAAAACAACAACATAAACGCTGATTTGGCTCACGGTCAGCATGAAGTCACGTCCGTGGGAGGCAGAGAATTCACCTGACGCCAGTTTTGACTTCTCCGAAAGTAAATACAGAGAGATGGTGCACTGTTGTAGCCATGAGCCATAGGTCAACGCAAATTCGTCGTTGATGGCCATTGCTACGGTGATCGCACTCTTCAGCATGGGTACGTTGTTCGCAGCGTCCCCAGTCAAGAGGACTTGTCTGAGATTAATGGTCCCTCTGAAGACACGAAAAAGATCCCCTGCCGCATTCTGGCAATGCTTGGGAACTTCCTGATCGAATACGGATGGTTGCTGCCATTCTGGAGCCAAATGCCCACCCAGGAGGGTTTCTGGAGGAACGTTAACCATCTCAACAACTGTGAAGCTGTGTTGCAATCCCTACCTTTTGACCTTGGCATCGCGTCCTCCAACATGCACGGTCGCTCATGGAGCACGGAATCTATGGTATCGCGCAGATAGCCATACCAGCGAATAATACCGACAGAGGATTCAAGTAGGAAACGATAAATTGACTGCCGGCTAAGATTTTTGCAATAGGCCTCCACGAGATCCCGTAGCTCCTCCATCTGGCGCAGAGCCTCATCGAGCAGGCCAATCGGAGTGTCTTCGTAGCAGGGAATGGACGCTGCTTCTGGTGGTATGCTGGTCATCAGAAAGAGGAATACTGAGTAAAGTCTTACAAAGGATCGAGTTTTCTTTGACGAAACCAGATGAGAGTGAGCATTGAACCATGCTGCAGTGAAAACGTGTTGACTATTGGTGCTTCGATCCCCAGGAATGGGGTCTGATAGCGAGCACTGGTTGCCACCCTGGGTGTCTTCGAATAACCGTGTCAATGGATCATCTGCCGGCCTAGATGGCGCAAATTGGAGAGCAAACGCCTGTAGGACCGCGATCAAGGTGTGCTCATGCTGATTGCGTGTTTTCTGGTCCACGACATTGCCATAAAAGGCGCCAAAGTTGTCCAGAAATCGTGCAACTCCAAGCATGGTAACCTTGTTGATTTGGCTTGCCAGTCTCTCTGGAGCCATATTGGCCTGAATTCGAGAGCCATTGTTTTCTAGTGAAGCTTTCTTCCACGAAGGAGTCAGTATGTCGCCCACAGATTGACCGCCATTAATGTCCAAAGTTGATGGATTTGATTGATCGGCATCAAATGAATATTTGTATGACCCAGCGAATAGATTACAGTTGTAGTCTAGATACCGTATTGCGATGCCGGCCATCATGGAATTGTAGACCTCACGAAGATTCTGATTTATCCGCTGCGTCTCAACACTGGAGTTGAGGAGGTGGATCGGACTGCCCCGCCAAAGCCCCAGAGACAAGTTTCTTCGAGCTAAAAAGTCATTGGGTGCTCTGTATGGCGTCTGGTTGTGGCTCCTTGAGTCTTGAGTGTTTGGTGACAGTGCGCTGCTGCTGGTGCTGCTTTGATAGTGCTCTGTAGCTGGACTCTCTGTGGCAAAGACCTGACGGTCCAGGTTGGTCCACTCCGACACGAGATTTCCCATAAACATATCAACATCAAGAACACCGGTAGAGGAAACCCCGTTCCACGAGCCATTGTGTCCTGTTGCTTGAATGGAGTCCACAAACCCCTGATCCGAAGGAAAAATGCTCACCTTCTCGGCTCTGGAGATGGCAGGGGCGATAGGTTGTTCCGGTCCATATGAGGCTGGTTGCTTAGTTTTATTTTTCTTCTGATTGAGTCGGGAATTGACAAAATCAAACGTGCAATTGTGCCCGAGGTGCATGCAGTTCAGACACCTGTTTGGGGACCCGGGATGGACGCCTTCGGGGAATGCGCATCGTCTTTTCGAACGGCGACACGGGTCACAAGACGAGTTCTGCTTCCGAACCGTGGTAGCAGGTCCCATGGGGATTTGTGGACCTTGAGAAGCGGTGCCGTGAAGCATGGGAAGCCAAGACAGTAACAATATCGGCGTAGTTCTTGTGTCTCAATGCTTCTGGGAAGTTTTTATCAGAATGTCGCGGTCTCGGTGAGGGCGCACCCGGAGGTAGCCTCGAACATGAGTTGATCAGTCCAAGTTGATTCCCAACTCCTTCGAGACCCCTCTGCGATATTCCATCTCGCAACTCGTAACGGCAGAATTGTGGTCAAAGCCCAGGTCCTTCTTTTCTGACACCCCAACTTTCCAAGTTTGGCGGCTGCCGCGGTTGCAGGAGGCGGATCCGACGGCGTGGAGGTCAGGATGTCGGTCCTGGAGTCGTAATGGGATTGGCGCATTCTTTCCGTGGTGATGACCTGATTATGACTGGGGCCAATCAAATGTTGATTTGGGAGCCGATGCCTGTCAATTCGCATCACATCGACTGTCAGACATCCAGTCAAGCCAGTGGAATCCTTTTTGCTGGACAGTTGTGACGCTTCCAGACACAGGAGAACGAGGTTGCCTGCGTCAGCAAGTGACCCTCTTGGCATTTTCCGACCTTTGCAGCGACATCAGCGATGACTGAACATACGTAAGGCCATTGAACGACTTCCCTCCATTACTTGTAACAGTGACTACTTTCCAAGGCCGAAGCAACAGGAAATACCAGCGCAATCGACAAAACCTCCGTCGCCTGTTCTCCGGGCTCCTCCTACGAGTTCCTCCAATGCGGCAGCGTCTATACTATACATGAACGAAACCTCTGATGGTGTGATGCAGCGGGACATGGCCGAGGAGGAAAGAATATTTACTACTACCATAATGCTAATTGAGTTGAAGGACAAGTATCGGCTGTACTCGAGCTGACGGGCCATAATAGCCCCTGACAAGGTACTGAGTAAATCGAACCAGGCCGTTCAACATTACCGATCTCCCCGTATGGCGCGTTTCAGGTCCATGCGAAACCCCCAGGAAGAAGTCAGGAAGCGGTAATATCCAGATCTGGACAAAATATTGAGGCTTCGTGATCACCAGGGAGCATCAAACAAGGTAACTTCAGCTCCCTTTGGACCTACTCATAGACGGCCAGTCTCGAGCTACACCTTGCGACGGTTCTGCAAGCAACGGAATCCTCTCAGCATGTTACCCTGATAGACATACAAAGCCCGATACATCACCATTGCAGATTCAATATCACTGCACTAGACCATGGCACAGTAACCGTAAGTATGCCGCCCTGCGTGATCTGTAACACCTCTCCAGAAGTGACGTTGTTCAATTTTACCGGCTTCCCCTGCTGAAGTTCGTGGTTATATGACCAGCCATCGAAAGTGATACCCGTGATGGCGTCGCTGCCGTTTGCCATCAAACGTTGCACGCTAGCTCCCCTCGCGGTTGACGCAGTGTTGGTGGTTGGCAGTTGAAAGCTGAATGTCTCAGACGGTCGAGGTTCCTGCGTGCCACTGGACGTGTAATTGTATGCATTCATTTGGACGATGGCTATTCTCTCTAGCCGGCCATTGACGTACGCCGCATAGGCATTTTGATGTATATTCCCGAGTTCGATGTCACTTATGCTGACGTTGTTTTCGGTCAAATCCCCAAGAAAAGTGGCTACCATAATGTTACCATAGTACGGCGCCTTTGTGCCCAAGCTCTCGTTGACGGTCGGGATCGGCTGCCACGAAGCGTACCTATAATTGGTGCCTTGGTGCATGTGAACTCGAGCAATACCGGTTGCGGCGCAGTAGAGGTTGAAATCCACGCCCCACAGAGCTGCGCCGAAAGAGTTAGACAGGCCTGGTGCACCTTCATTGTACAGGCTATTTGTCTCTCCCAGAATGTATGGGAGCCCCGTGTAGGCGAGAAGACTCGATTCGTTCAGGTGTTTGCTAACGGACAAGACGGTCGAAGTGTGGTTCATCAAGGTGCCCTGGAGAGTCACACCCGGTTGAGTCGCACCACCAATATAACTGCCCACTATCAGCAAGAGTGAGTCTGGTTTTCCCCAATGACTCACTTGTGGCTGTCGATGAAAGCAATATTGTTGTCGGCGTCCAACCCTGCTTGCCAGGTGGTGATCAAGTTCAAACTATTTGAAGTTCCCGCAAAATTGGGGGCGTAGAATTTGAACTTCCCCTGACTGATGATCTCCGGACAATTCTGCTGCACCAGCTGTCGGATAGTGCGGGTTTTGTTGAGCCATTCTTGGACGTAATCCGTCTCATTCCACCAACTTGGTCTCACTGGCCCTTGGGCACTGGTCTTGTAAAGATCCGGCTCGTTTCCCACTTCCCAATAAGCAGTCTTGGTGGTCCCCAGGGCCTTACAAACAAGTGGAGCAGTCCCTATCAACGTTTCATAGCCGATGGACCCATTCTTTCCCATGTTGAAACCATGGATATACGTAACCCCTGGCCAGGTAGAGTAAGAGTCGAAGTAGTTCGGGCCGATGGATATTGTTGTTGGGTAGTCTCTCGATCTTGTGAAGTTGAAGGTGCCAATTAGGGCGGCTTTCTGTGAAGCATTGAAAGCGGCGTAATCCCTGGCCGTTCCTTTGGCATTAGTCATTCAGTCGAAGTTACGATTGACATACTCTGTGTTCCCGCCAACTCGGACGATGGGATAAGATCCTTGGAGGTCACGCAAATTATTCAACAGGTTGTATGAAAAGTTGTTCGGATGACTGATATTCCCTGGCCAAAGGTTGGTAACGACATCCCGCCGCTTCGAGGGAACTTACCTGCGAAATCCGGAAAAGATGAAAACTCAATCGAGTACGAGACAAAGGACTCAAGAAGGGGCTTGCTAGCATTCTGCGGAGGGGCGACTGACAATGATATAGTGCACGTAGTCACCTTTACCATGAGCAGAACAGCAACAATCCGAGGCGCGAGCATCTTGGACGATGGTTGCAGAAGAACGGAGGACCAACGGCTTTTCCCCTACCTTTTCTCATTTATGACTGTGGCCATCCTAATATTGGATGCTCAGAAGCAACGTCTTTTCACTCCCTGCATTCCGCGGAGGGGTGGTTCGGCACATTCAAAGCAAGGCATTCCCCAGGTTTGCAAATATCGCGATTGGTGGGACGAATTGCATTTCAGGAAGGTGTTGGAGCATTTGTGGAGTGGGAGGTCTGCGGATCGACACACGATTGTTTTGGGCGCGGAGAGGTGACAGGATATCCCGCAATGGAGGGAGACAGATCGGCGTCTCGCAGGAGAGAACGTCATCTGCAGAACTGAAGTGATGAAGTTGTCTTACGATGGAGGGATGGAAGGTGATCCGACGGTGTTTTCCGGAAAAACACATGATGATTGATGGAAGAAGTTAAGAAAATCTGCCGTGCTGCCAAGACTAAATAGTGGTACGGCGAAGTATTTCTACCCAGGCCGCAGATCCCCATCTGGTAGAACTAAAGTACTTGCTTGTGCTGGGATGAGGCACGAAGCCTGGCCATTAAGATTTGAACTACGCCAAAACATCCGATCCCTCACCTTTCCTATTGTCTTCTCATACCAGAATATGTTCTAGGGCCCTTTTCTCGACTCTGCCCTCAAATCTTGTCCAAAATGCCTTCGCGATCGCCGTCACGAGGTCGATCGCCTACAAGGTCGCACACGCCAACTTCCATACAACGAGCACCCTCCCCGCCCTTCAATCGTTCGCATTCGCCGCGTCGATCCCCTTCACCACGTTCGCGCTCCCGTTCGCGTTCAAGGTCTGGAACCAGGTCATACTCTCGGTCGCCTCCACCACGCGATGGACGCGATGGTCGCAATGGACACAGTCGGGCGAGAAGCCAGAGCCGAAGCACGTCGCGGAGCAGGAGTCCAAGTCGCGGTGACAGAAGGTCCTATCGAGAAAGAAGCTACACGCGCAGCCCCAGTAGAGACAATCGACGGATGCAGAGCTCCAAGATTGTGGTGGAAAAACTCAGTAGAAACGTGACTGAGGCTCATCTACGAGAAATCTTTGGCTCGTACGGTCGCATTGAGTCGATCGATCTCCCTCTCAACAAACAATGTATGTCTAATCATGAGCCGGCCTAGAAGACGTCTAACGTGGAACAGTCATGACAAATCGCGGCACCGCCTACATTCTTTACGATCACCCTTCCGGCTCGGAATCTGCAATTGCCCACATGCACGAAGCCCAGCTTGACGGTGTCGTCATTTCCGTGAGCATTGTACTTCCTCGACGGGCCTTCTCGAGATCACCGCCACCAGCACGATCCGCCCGATACGGTCCACTGCCCTCCCGGTACGGCCCACCACCAAGAGGGCCACCGCCACCAAGATATCGAAGCCCTCCACCCAGGCGAGGCGGGTATGGTGGAGGAAGGCGAGGAGGAGGAGGGGGAGCAGAAGACGACACGTACGTTCCCCGTGATGCATACTCCAGGTCTCCTTCACCGCCTAGGAGGCGTCGGCGGTCACCATCATACTCCAGATCCTCATCTCGGACACCGCCTCGAAGACGTGGTCCACCAGGTCGAAGCCCACCACGGCGCAGAAGACGCAGCCCAAGTTACAGCTCTCGGAGCAGCTACAGTCACAGCAGGAGCAGGAGCAGGAGTCGGTCAAGGAGCAGACCAAGATATGGGGGAAGAAGATGAACTAGCTGGATGGAAGTCGATGGCTTGTCTTTTTTATCCCACAAAATAAGGGAAGGAGAATACGAATGATACCCAAAATGTAGACTTTGACAGCTATGTGCAAAAGATCAAAGGTTCTCTTGTGAGGTGCTTGGGACACGGGACGCACCGCAAGTGCTCCAGAGAGGAACGGACTGAACAGATCAATCCAAATCTGGACAAATGCCCATGTCTATTTTGTCGTCTGTCAAACTTCAAGACTTGTGCGGACGACAGGTTTCAAAATGTGACGCGACGAATAATGCCTGGAGGAGGTCCTTACCTAGGTAGCTTAGGTACGACATAATTACCTACACCTCAGGTACCTCGATTAGGCAGTCCCCAACCCTAGGCACCTCTGCTCAATGCCCACTGGCGGTATTGAGAGCCTATTCGGTTTATTTTAGCGGGTGATTTACCTGAGCTTGTTCCTTGCATGAAGGTCGCTTGGCGGGAGGGTGGAGCCTCGCTCAGTGACGGGTCATCTCTGTTTTGGCGAATCCTCGACCCCCGATGCCCGCGCCAATTTTCAGAGTCCGCTCACTTTCACTTTCTGGTGCGCATTTCAATGCAGACAGTGAGTAAGGCGTGAAACTCATTACTTCAGGTCTGCAAAGGATTAGTGCCTGTTTTCGGATTCCTCGATCACTGTTTGCCCTCTACCGGACCTTGCCCACTGTGCACATTCCGAATGATAACGCGACCTCTTTTCATCCTGCGCGGCGCGGAGCATCCACATCCCTCCCATCATTAGTCGATCGTCAGCCCACTGCACACTACCCGCGCGTGTCGATCATCATGAGCACCGACCCTGAGACTCCCGATGCGCCAGATGGCCTCGACCACCATGACGAAGAAAGCGAAGCGGACGATGAAGCTGCCAACGACACCAGCATGCACGATGTGGAAGATGACGAAGGTGCCGCCGACGGAGAAGTTGAAGGTGACGGTGAGGGCGAGGCTGATGCCGCGGCTGAACGGACAATGTCAACAAACGGCAGAACTTACGCCGTGTCTGATGAACCTGAAGGCTACAGCGTCTTCGACAACCCGCCTAATCTCGCCGAAATGCGACAGAGACTTTTCTCTCTAGAACACCCCATCGAGCTGCCTGTCGCGGACTGGCAAGCTTACTTCCCTTTCGTCGACAACATCTGGCGCAAGATGAGAACGACAGACTCCCAACCCGAGAATGTTGCTGCCACGGTCGACTATTACGCGTGCAGACTCCGACGCGGCGCTACCCCAAAGGTACACACACCTCGTCCCACACCAGAAGGGAAACAACAGAGAAAGAAAAGAGTTCGAGAAGAAAAAACATGTGCCATGACGATGAAGGTGGTCTACAACCACGGTCCAATAGAGACTTGCACTATTTCGAAGGCTACTGATGGTGTAATGAGACATTCCCACGATTTGGACTATGTCGATGGTACGAAGCGAAATACCGGGATCATGGACACAGCCCGCCGCGAGGCCGCCAAAGCTTACCTGCCCGCGTCGATATTTTGGAAAATGTGGGAAGAGCCAGAGAAGATGCGGGCTGCCGGCGGAAAGTTTATGAAAATGTCAGACGTCCGGAACGTCCAGTATGCATGGCGCCAGGGACATCAGCAAGTCGTTCTGAAAGCACACAAGGGCTTCAACCAACAACGTGCACCTCGACAACCGCCAGTACCCCCACCACCTCCAAAGCCTCAATTCCAGCCTTCCATGCAGCCTGGCGTCTTTGGCCGGTTGGAACCTGTCAAACCAAATACAAGGAATGAGCCTACAACAGCAGTTCATTGGGACACTCTACAGTACCCTCATCATGCCAGAGGCTTCCTGGAATCCTACATCCCCGATCCCAAACTTACGGCGGTCCGAACTCGTCCCCACGTAACCCTTACCTGGGCAAGCAGCCTCGATGGACGGATCAGTCAAATACCTGGAGTTCCTACGGCCGTGTCTGGCCCAGAGACGAAAGCAATGACACACTATTTGAGAAGTCGACATGATGCCATCTTGATTGGAGTTTCTACAGCTATTGCCGACGATCCTGCACTGAATTGTCGACTCGCGAATCCTGCCGGATATGGTGGACTAGGCTGGGAGTTCCAACCCCGACCGATCATTGTTGATCCTCATGCCCGCTTGCGAATCCATCCTGGGATGAAGGTGCTCAAAGCGGCGACGGAACGACGCGGCAAGGCTCCATGGGTGATCGTTGCTCCAGGTGCCTTGCTACATCCCATGGCTGTTAGCACGCTGAAAGCGCACGGCGGAGAATATTTGATGATTAATGATTATCACCCAGCACACGGAGGGCTGAACTGGGAGGGTATTTTCCATGTGCTATTTCGAGAAGGTATTAAGAGCGTCATGGTCGAAGGCGGGGGAGTCGTCCTTTCAGAGCTGCTGAAGATGCACCGCTCCCACCTGATCGACTCTATCATTCTCACGATAGCTCCGACGTTTTTTGGCAAAGCAGGAGTGATGGTCTCCCCAGATCCGGCATTTGACCCTACTGGGCGACCCATAGCCACGAGATTGAGAAATGTGAGGTGGCAACCGATGGGAGATGCCGATGTGGTTATGTGTGGCCACATGACTGTCGACCAGCCTCCGATTACGAACGGCATGCTACCTGGCATTGAGGAGTACTCGCGAACAGCACCAGGCATACCAAATGTGCAACAACAACCGCAGCAGCCTCGACCCCAAACAGCAGGACAACAACCACCTCCCGGCCCACCACCACCGCAGGCGCAACCTCAACCGTCTTCACAAACACCTCAGAATGAGGCTCATGCTTCGGCTGTGAATGCTCCTGTTGCTACGCCGCAACCAGGAGCACCTGCGTCCTCAGCACCGGTGCCTCCTTCCGCATCTAGTGACGCACAGCCTTAGGTTAGGCAACCAGCACAAGAGTCGGATTTTTCTGCGACAACGGGTCATTTTTCGGTCTGGGGACATGAAAAATCGCTCGGCGGAACAGTGTTTGTACAAGACCTCAGTCAACTTTAGAGCCTAATGAATCAAGTGACGAAGCCAATCGCAAGTATGGTCGACCACATTGGAAGCCACTGATTGGCGTGGGGATTGCGAAAGCTGGCAGAAAGAATCTTCGACTCTACCTTCTCATCAACAACGGGAGGAAGAAGCGACAGGCTTGTGACAAGCTTGATAACGAGACGAGCTAATGACTTCTACGATGCAGGAACATGGGAACATGGAAAATTGGGACGAGGAGGTGGGCAAAGGTAAACAGACCCTTTTCGACGATTTCTGAGTGTTGAATGCAAGCTGGAAAAGCAAGGGGGGCCGATCTTCTTATTGCTTGTTTAGTCAGTCATTGGTACTGCTAATTAGGTAGTACTGGTAGTATCTTTGTTCCTCGTACCAGTACTAGTACTCAATCCCTGAATCAGGGATCAACAGGCACGGACCGTCTGGGTGGGTGTGTTGAGGCAGGAAGGGTGACAGGAAACAGGTTGCATCCTGCCTGCCTGATACTAGTACTTATGTAGCAACAACGGCCGTGATGAATCAATACTAGTACTACCGTGAATTTAACAGTGGCCGGTAGTAAAAGCTGCGACGATGCAAAGATACTACTTACACGGCAGTACTCAATGACCGAGATAGGTGCAACCCATTTCGAGAGTTACCCTTTTAGGAAACTTTGGTGTCGCGTTTCAGTCTCTGCAAGGACGCTTTATTTTTCAAGTAAGTGTTGTCTGTGTATTCATCCATCCATCCTCGTATTATTAGAGACATTTGTTTTGCTCCCAGAAAAGAATGATTTCAATTGATGGGTAGGGGATGGAAAATTCAACCCATGCATGACCTTTTGTTGAGTACTATGTCCTACCCAAAAGGGGGTTTCGTCAAACGGGTGTCCCAGGCTCGGCGAGCGACTGTTGTTCCAGACTGGGTCGAAGAAAAGAAGTTTAGGTGCATTCAACCTGGCCGGCATCGTGCTGAAATTGATGGAACCTGGAACGGCTGGGGATTGTGCTCGAACTGCTTCCCCTTTGTGCTCTCTGAAGGCAAGAGCGACTGATTCATACATACAATGTGAGAGGTGGGATTAGCATTAAAACTGGAAGCGTCCAATCTCCAAATGAAATCACTCACTTTATCATACTGGTGGAGCAGGCGCTACTAGTAATAAAGTCATGCTTCAGTTATGCAAGAACTCGCATTGCGCAGCCAATTCTTTATTTTGATACTGTATAGATACAATAGATACAGTGGCTGCATCCGACGTAGTATCAGAACCACATTAGCGCAGTATCAAAGCAGCATCAAAATTGTATTGATACAGCTTCAAACAACTAGTACTAGTACTGGTAGGGCTGCGCAGTTCAATTCCTCAGAAGAGTATATAGCATCTGATCGTGGTAATACTCAGTACTACTACTAGTAGTTCTATCGAGAGACGTCCTTTGGATTTAGTCAACATGTCTGATTAGTCATCTCGTGAATCTCAGTTCAAAGTTATTAGGAATTGCATGCTTCTAGGGAACTCGTACTACTTACTATACTACCCTGTACTACTAGTATTATTCCAGGGCAGGTTCTTGTTACCTATGAATGTTCAGGCGCTCATTACTCGCGTCCTCTGATTTCTGAATGCACGATGCTAGCATTGACTGGCATCTCAGTCATCGCGGCTTTTCCTCTCCTCCTTTTGGACTTCAAATGCTTGCACTTGCGGCCTATCTGGAAACACGCTCGTCAGATCAAGCTCGAGTTCTCACCAAATGACCTTTCTGGCGTCGATATCATTGTCGTCATGGCCGTCTTCCTCTGGAGGTCTCTCAGATACTCGATCCTTTCGACTTGCATGCGCATCTCTGAGGAGCCAAAGTCCCCAAGCGGTGACGAACTGTCACTGGTCATGCCATTTCGAGTGACACGAACAGACCTTGACGCATATTCAAGGGCGATCCGGGACCAACCAGTCACAGCGAATGTTGAGTTGGTGGGCTTACAGTTGCTTCTCTTCCTATCGGCTCTCAGTGAACCAGCCATGCTGCTGCTCCTGGCCCACCCGGCGTGCAGAGTGCGGCCGCTAGGTGCCGTCAACGTGAGAAATCGAATTGAATTGCTGAGACCTGATCTATGCACGATGCAGGCTTTGACATGTTTGAATGGAGCTTTCCTGACGGCGAGGCTCTCAAAGGATTTCCGCACCGTCAGACGCGGGTTCGAGGTCGACCTCGTGGTAAGCTTACATATTCCAAGCAAGGATTCGCATGAGTCGAGCGTAGCCTTTCGGCAACATTTCACGATCTTACAGTTTGCGAAAGTACGTGGAGAAGTAGCAACTGCTGCACAGCGACATGAAGCTCACAATGGGAAAGCTACACCAGTCTGGGCGGATTCGACATCACTCACCGTCAAGTACGATGATCCAGCATCCTGGGCAAGGCTCTGCAAGGATTACAACCCGATACACACATCAGCTCTCGCTGCAAAGCTTTTTGGTTTCCCAGGCAAACTGGCTCACGGCAATCATGTCGGCGCTTTGGCTGCAAAATACATTACTAGTACAACGAGTCAAAATGACCCGTTGTTCATGGAGATTACGTTCAAGCGGCCGGTGGTTGTCCCTGCGCAATTGGATCTCAGAGTCTCTTCTGATGTGGGTGTGACGCGGTTTCAGATTCTTAGCAAGAATAAAGTCAGCATCGAAGGAACAGTTGGCCAGCTCAAATAGAGGCGCCAACGTTGATATCTGTTCTCGGTACACAGATAAATCACTCCCTCACCAGCCAACAATGGAAAGAGGGAGGCGGATAATGACGAAGTTAATCCCGGTCAAGCCGCGGAATCGGTCGGCTGCCCTGGAGTCGGTAGAGCTTCATTGACTGGCGCAACGCTTGAAGCGAAATTTCGGAATGGTCAGCGAATCGTAAAGCGCTCGATCTGCAGATCAACGTATCGGCGGCTTGGGTCCAATTTGAAAACATTTTCGCGCATGTGAATGGAGAAACCCCCCGAGACCTCAACGTTCCTCCTTTCCCTTCTACCTCTGTTTGATGTGTTCAAGGGCGCAATTGCGGTGTCTTGGGGGTTATATATACTAAGTATCACCACTCACTATTATACTGGTCCAGTCAGTTGTGAGCAACCTCCCCTGTTATCCGAACCTATTTCTTAGTCTTTTTAGCTTGAATCAATCAGCCATGTCTTTTATTCTTGCCTACCGAAAACCGAAAGAGAAGCTGGCCAGGGCACGGGCGCGTGCACCAAGTATTCCCAAACTCCATGAGAAGAATCTCTCAAAGCTCAAACCGAAACCCTACAGGCTATTGACGTTTGAAGAACTGCCCGAATGGTATCAAGACAACCACTTCACCAGGTCGGGATATCGCCCGGTGGCCAATTCATGGGTCACTTGCGTCTGGTCTCTGGGTCACCTGCACAACGAGTCGGTCAACATCTTCACTCATCTGATTCCGGCCCTGTGTCTTGTCGTGGGACAGGTTCTTGTTTACCGTGGCCTCAGCTGGTTCTACCCCGAAGCGTCAGTGGCTGATTATGCCGTCTTCAGCATCCAAGTGGGTGCTGCCATCGTCACGATGCTCCTTTCCTCCACCTACCACACCCTCCTCTGTCATTCCAAGGACGTGGAGAATCTGATGCTGAGGGTCGACTACGTGGGCATCCTGACCCTGATCCTGGGGAGTTTCTTCTCTGGCATCTACGTCGGATTCTACTGCGAACCTCTCCTCCGCTCGGTCTACTGGAGCATGATCATCTCCCTCAGCCTCGTCACGGCCACCATGGTTCTGCACCCGAGACTCCAAGGCCTGAAATACCGGACCCTTCGAGCGTGGGCTTTCATCCTCACCGCCCTCTCGGGCTTCGCCCCCATCATCCACGGCCTCTTCCTCTACGGCTGGAGTGAGATGTGGGTGCGCTCGGGCATGCCGTACTGGTTGCTGGAGGGCCTCGTCTACGGCATCGGCGCTTTCTTCTTCGTCACCCGGATCCCCGAGTCGATCTGGCCGGGCGCATTTGACATCTGGTTTTCGTCGCACCAGTTCTTCCACGTCTTGGTGGTCGTAGCGAGTCAGATCCATCTCTACGGCGTGTGGGTGGCTTATGACTGGAACTACCAAAACCAGAGAGTCTGTCCTGCGACGGCTGCATAAATAAATTAGTCCGGCGGCGAACGCAACCAAGACTGTGCTCACGAGCAGGTGATCTATCCTACGCGTCCTGGACACACGCACGAGGTCTAAGAGCCAAATTCGGCAACGAAGTCCAATTGGATGCTCCCTCTATATGCGGTCTATTTGCAGTCTAGATTCTATTGTTCAGACGGTGAACTTCTGCAGATTCTCGGGCCCGGATTCCTTTGCGATTTTGGCAACCTGCTCATCACCGAGCTCGTCAAAGATGTCGTATCCCCATCTGGCGGGGAAATTAAACCGTTTGTTCCTCTCCAGCGCGTTCAACTTCTCCATGACGTCGTCGGGGAGGATGGCATCTTGGAAGTTGTCGCGGATGCGTTTCTCGGTAACACTCTTCGGGAGCACGACCGTGCCGCGTTGGATACCCCAGCTCACGAGGACTTGGCCTGGGTCCATGCCCAGTGATTTGGCGATAGCGTGGACTTCCGGATCGTCCACCGTCTTTGGCTCACCGGTCGTGTTGTTCCCGAGAGGGCTGTAGGCTTGGAGCACGATCCCCTTCTCGTTGCAGAAGTCGAGCAGCTCGGGTTGTTGCAGATATGGATGTGCCTCGACCTGGTTGACCGCGGGCACCACGTCGCAGGTGGCGAGGAGCTCCTTGAGACGGCGGATGTTGAAGTTTGAGACGCCGATTGCGCGCGTCTTGCCCGTCTTCAATAATGCCTCCATGGCCTTCCACGTCTCGGTAAAAGGCACGTCTGATAGCCGGAACACACCCTGCTCGTCGAGGGGGAACCATCGGTCTCCAGAGGCAAAGGCCACGGGCCAATGCATGAGGTACAAGTCGACGTAGTCCACCCCGAGGTCCTTCAACGACTTGTCGAGTGCCGGTTCGACATCCTTGGGGTCGTGTTTGCTGTTCCACAGCTTGGTCGTAATGAAGATGTCTTTGCGGTCGACGCCACTCTTCTGGATGCCCAATCCGACCTCTGTCTCGTTTCTGTAGATTGCTGCACAGTCCAGGTGCCTGTAGCCGGCCTTCAGGGCGATCTCAACTGCCTTCTCCACCTCGTGCGGCGCAGCCTGCCACGTGCCGAAGCCGACAGCGGGGATTTTGGCGCCTGTGTTGAGTGTAAAGGTGCGATTGAGGGCCATGGCTGTGCTGTGCTGTGCTGCTGCTGCTGCTTGGATCTTGTGTGTGTCTTAGTTATTGTGAGTTGAGAGGGTAGAATGGAGAGGAAGCTGTTGCTTATCATCATTGCTCTTTTCCCTTTTTCCTTGCCTATTCCCTTTTCCGCATCCTACCCAGGAAACTTTTCCACCGGGTCCATCTGTTCGGCCCTTGTCGGCTATCGAACCGATGTCCAGAGGCAGGAGAGGGTCGCTTGTCGTTTGGTCGTTGGTCAAATCGGATGCTGAGAATCTTCTCCAAACTTGCCGACGGAGGGATCCCGTATTTGCCCGGTTTGCCCGATTTGCCCGGTTTGTCTGCCCAGGGGTGCGTCAAGGGACTTGGAAAATCCCCGCAGTGCCACCCACTTTTCTTCATATGGTCTCTTCCCTTCGTTTGCTGTTCCTACGGGAAATCCAGCTGCTCCAGAATTCCCATGAACCCAGAACTACAGACATGGAGGAGCCCCAGACCTCGTCTCCGTCGGAGAATCGTACTCTGCCATCCAGTCCTCCCAAACGACGCAAGCTCAAGCACCCACGTACAACCAGGGCCTGTATGTTCTGTAGGAGGTAATGCGATCGGTCCTTTGCCTGTGTCTTGCCCTTCCGTTCTGATGGTGTATGGTATATTGCAGACGCAAAGTGCGATGTTCGGGCACTCAACCCTGCGATTACTGCCGCGGTGAAGAGGTTCGTTGCGAGTACGACGATGGCAAGTCGAGGCCACCTCCCGAGTCTTGCAGTCATGGCCGTGGTGCCACGCCAGGCTTTCACCGGGTTTCAGGAACATGGAGATCGCCAGGCGAACCACTGAGCGACCGTACAAATGTGACGATGTCGACCCCTCAAGCCTCGAATCGAGTGCTTATGAGATCACCCGAGAACACGCCTCGTCTCTCTCGCGGCCCGTCGCTCGAACCCACCTTTGCTGAGGGCCACCACATCAGCGCAACGTCAGGCGTGTCGTTTCTCTATCACTCGTGGAATCGAGGCGATGCGGTCGAGGGAGAGACTGCATTGCCATCAGCGCCTTTGACCTGCCACGGAGACATCCCTCCGGTTCAAGTTCGACAAGACCAGCCACTGCCCACACGTGAAGAGGCAGATGCGCTGCTGGAACGGTACTTTCGCTTCGCGACGCCCACCTATCGCTTTCTCCATCGGCCAACGCTCGAGAAGTGGACATCCCACCTCTTGAGTGGGGCTCGACTCTTGAAAGCTGAAGCCGCATGTACTCTACTGGTGTTCTCACAGTCACTCCTCTACACGAGGGAAGGCGACCGGTATGTCGATGGCGGAGACCAGGACCTTACCCGCAGCCAATTTTGTAAGTTGTCCTTGGATCCCCCAGTCACGAGGGATGTGTCCTAGTAGATGGCCAGAACACAGAGCTACTGCACGTACTCTCTGAGACTTTTCCTAGATTGTGGACTGACGAATGGCTGACTTTTCTATCGCCACAGATTTCGAAAAGGCCAAGTCTCTTCTCAATCAAGAACCTGGACCAGCTTCCGTAGCCAGCGTCCAGGCCCGACTCGCCATGTGCTTGTACCTCCTCAGCACTTTCCGGATCAACGAGTGCCGGTTCTGCTTCAGCCTCGCCTGCACGATATTGACCTCGATAGGTCTCCACAGGAAGATTTCGTCCAGACAGAAACTAGATCTGGTGACCCTGGAGTCGCGAAAACGCACGTTCTGGTGTGCGTATGTATTGGATGAGTACATAAGTGTGATGCTGGGCCGGCCACGAATGCTCCGCGACGAAGACATCGACCAGCCGTACCCTCGCAACATTGACGATCAAGACTTGCTGTCCACTGAATCGCCCGAGGACCTTCCCTTGCACGGCAATCTGGAAGCGTTCATAGCACATGCCGACCTGGCCAAGTTGATGGGACGCAATAGCGATCTCCTTTACCCAATCCACCCCCTTTCCGAAGATCAGCTGTTCGATCGGACCAACTGGATGCTTGAGGCGACGCTGGAGTGGAAGGACACTCTCCCGGATTTCTTAAAGCCCCGCGCCAGGACCCTGGCGGGACAGAGGACGTTTGAGCGGCAAAATACTGTCCTGAAACTTGCGCATGCTCATCTCCGGATCCTGGCCACCAGGCGATGCTTGCTCGCAGACTTCAGCCGTCTTGGGCACAGGGCCTTGTCGGTCCTGGATGAGAGGGCGTTGAACCCGATCCGTGAATGCGCCAGTGCCATCAGCACCATCCTCAACACGACGTGCGACTTGATTCAACGAGGGGCACTGTACCAGTCCTTCTGGTTCACGCAGTACATTGCCCTCGTCGCGGTGTCCACCCTCTATGTCTTTGTCATCCAGAGCAGCCGCGCCAACATCCCGCCGGGCGTGTTTCCTGAGATGCACGTCTTCTTTGACATGGCTATGTTATGCCAGGATCGACTGGCGGAGATGTCCCCGGAAGGCAGCCAGGCACGACGCCACTGTCACTTGTTAAGCCGGCTTCGACTCCGTGCCGAAAAGGACGCCGCGCGACTGAGGAGGAGCAACGATTTGACGACGTCAACGTTTGAGCACCCCTCGCCCTCGGCGGTACCACCTCACCAGCTTGCAACAATGTCACAACTGGCTTCGGGGGCCGTAGACTCGGGAGGTTTGGATGTCCAGCTAGACCAGTCTAACCTGACGGCTGCGGTGGGTTCCGAGCAACCGGAGGGTCCTCGCAATGCGCGACCAGGCGACAGCGGTAGTGGTGTAGCTCGTGGCGCGGATCCGACGCTCATGGGACAGTTCACGCCGTCGGACGACGACTTGATGTTTCAGAACCTCCTAGGCTGGGGCTGGGAGAGTCTGGACACGGTTGGGTTTCCTGGGGAGGGGGAGCTGTTCTTCCTCCCGGCGTGATGATTTTGGGGGTTAATCGCAGGTATCCGTACTGTTTAGTACGATCCTAGGAAAGAGGTCTTGGCCCATACAGTACTTTGTAGCATGAACGATATGCTTGTTGCCGTCAGGAAATCACCCAGGGTAAATGATGAAGCGGCAACTGTCTATGATATGCACGCATGGGGACCTGTTCTCATCTAGTAAAATATCCCTGTAGAGTTGAGTCTACCGCCGCTAGACTGGATAGATATTCATATATATCTATCAACCATCATCCCCCTGATCTGTTGTTCTCGGTACATCATTTCTTTATTGTCCCGTTCTTACATCCAGGACTCGCTCACTCACTCGATCGGTATCTCATCTCACCACATAACTCGGCGGTTTCTCCACATCATTGTGTGAACTGTCTCGTGACATCTGTGGGATGGAAGGCGTCACACTAGCGAGGTTGTGCTAATACGGACGGAGAGTGTTGAAATCCGGTCCCGAAATCCGGGGATATACGAAAAGGCATAGCCGCTAGGGCATAGGTGTGCTTGGTACCAGTCCCAGTGAGTCGATCCCTAGATTCATTCTCTGATTGAGAAAGGGGAAATGGAGGAGGAGGGCAGGGCCAAGGAGTGAATTATTAATCTACCGTTGCTCCATCATTGATCTGTGTCAGCCATACTATCCATCTACACCTCCCGTTCACTGTTGAATACTCTTGTCCCCCCACATTTCTCTCCATGGAAACACCACACGACGGCGATGACTCCCAATACAACTCGGCACCGTATGGACGAGCATGTCTTCACTGTGCCCGGGCCAAATGCCGGTGTATACAGCGAGGGCCGGGGTTGGATTGCGAAAGGTTCGTACTTACGCGCATCGCATTTTGTACCTGATCCATCGTGTCGTGCTGATTGATGTCACTCGTAGATGCCGTCGTCTAGGGAAACAATGTGTGCCTGGTATCTCGCGGAGAAGACACAACGGACGCTATCGCCCCCCCTCGAGGACTGCTCGACTAGAGAACAAGCTTGACGAGTTGGTCAATGTGCTCCGAAATCAGAACCATCATCGTCCAGGAGCCGGGGATTTTGATACGGCCACTTCAGATTCCAGTCCAGCCTTTGACACCGAGGACTTCAACACAGACCATGAACGACGACACCCCCAGGACAGCAGGAGCAGGAACAGAATACATCCCCCACCCATCTCTCGGGGTGCAGATCGTGTCATCCCGACCGACAAGTCATCTTCACTCACATTCAACTATCCTATCCATCCGGTATGCGAGTCCCATACCACCCTCACGTCCAGGAGGGGCACTCATATCCTACCGGCTTTCTACTCGGTCACTCCAACCGAGGCAGAGCAGTGTCTGGGCGTATTCCGCAGCCAACATCTCGAGTTCATGCCCTTCGTGCACCTTCCCCCGACCGTGACCGCCAGCCAGCTCCGAGAGACACGACCCTTTCTCTGGTACAATATCATGACGGTGGCGACGCCGGTCACGTCGCTCCAGCTGGCGTGGAGTGAAGCGATCCAGAAGAAACTCGCCCAGGACATGTTTGTGGAGAATGAGAGGAGCGTCGACTTGTTGCTGGGCTTGCTGGTTTATCTGTCCTGGTAAGAATGGTCCTTTTTCTGTCCCTTCTTTACTGCTCCGTTGATCTCAGTTCGATGACATGTGGAGGGTACACCCGAGTCCTCGCTCACTGGAAGCTTCGCAGGTCTCATTTCTACAAGAAGAGAGGACCAAATATATCTCTGCTCTGCTCGCTGGCCATGTCACTCGTCTTTGACTTGGGACTGAACAAGGCTTCGCGCGAAGGTCCTGGAGGGCTCTATGTCAGACCGTCCGCCTCTGAAGGGGACGGAAAGACCATGGACGAATGTCGCGCCGTGCTTGCGTGCTTCCACGTAACCAACCAGTACGTCGTCCCCATCCCCTCCCTCACTCCCTCGCGCGCGCTGTGTGAGTGTCTCAGAACTTTTCCTTGCTACATTGTCATCTCAGTCTCTTACGCAGATGTCCCTATAGAATCTCCTTCACCATGAAGAGAATCGATGGCCTAAACTGGACGCCCTACATGGAGCGGTGTCTGGAGACGCTGGCGACACAGCCCGAGTGGCATCTCGACGGCGTCCTCGTGGCACAAGTACGGCTGCAGCTGCTCTTGGACGACATCAACCGTAACTCGTGGTCTTTGTCTGCAACCTCAACCTCATCGTCGTCGTCGCTATTCTCCGCGTCTTCACCTTCTCATACGACCGCGGCGGCGACGGCGACGGCGACGGCGACTGGACCTTCGGCGTTCTATGTATCTGCTATTCTCGCGCAGATTCGGGCTATCGAGAAGGAATTGGCACCGGATCTCAAGAACAATCGTATGTTTTATCTCTTAACCATTCCACCCTATTTACCCCCTTAACATCTGGTTTCTTTTGGTGGTGCCACCAGAAGACGCGCACATGATGCTAACCAAGAGCAACGCGGAACGTCGTGGGCATTGTTAGATATCCTCCTCGCCCAGCTCCGCTACACAGAGCTGATCACGCACGAGACCACGATCCAGCTGGCCGGACCTACCAATCCTAACATTAACACCAAGCCCGACCACCGCCGCCATCAAGCCCGGAGAGATCTTGTCGCGTGCCTCGGCGGGTTCTTCGACGCCCTCTTCGCCCTCCCCGCCACGGCCTACGCGGGCATGTCCTTCCCCTTCTGGTGCCAGCTGGGCCACTGCCTGTTGACGCTCCACGGCGTCGTCAGCATGGATAGGGATCTACTTTGCGATGGGGACGGGGACAACCGCCTCGACCTGCTCGACATCTGCGACCGCCTCATCAGCAGTCTGGACGAGGTGTCCTCGCAGAGAAAACTCCTCGCAGCATACACGAGCCACAGCACCGGCATTGGCTACGGCGACGGGGACGGAGATTGTAATTCTGGCGCTGGTCCCGGCGCCGACGTGGACACGTTCACCCTTAGCAGCCGCATGATCCGGTCCATGAAGACGGCGTGGATGCGGGAGTTGGCGGCAATGACGGCGGACGTATCAGCTAGTACTACCACTACCACCAACAACAACAGTCGAGGAGGTCAGAGAAATGACAACGTCGACTGCGAGACGGATATACCGACATCTACATCTACATCTACAACAACCACAACATTCGAGACTCACGTTGTTGACCCCGCCCAGATCGCTCCCTGGGGAGATAATGACGACGGTGGCAATCTCGGACGCGCGTTCCTGACGGCGGAAGCAGAGTCGTCGTCGTTCTTTAGTCCCCTCTTCATGGACGAGTCGTGGTTTGTGGATCGGGACACGGCGAGTGCGTTTTCGTGGAGTTGAGCGTATAGTCATAATATATGTATACGTATTATGGTGTGGATACGTATATCTGTATAGTGCCTGATATGCTGATACTGTTGGTGAGGTATTCAATCCGGTTGGCCTAGTAGGCTGGTGGACAAGTGAACAAGGGAGGGAGAGGGGAAGTATTCTTGAGGGACACACACACACACACACACACACACACTCTCTCTCTCTCTCTCTCTCTCTCTCT